ATTCAGAAGTAAATTTTTAAGAGAGGGTAAGAGCAGGTAGGGAAAAAAACGTTTTCGGATATCTTTATAAAGTGGGCAACTTATAAGAACGTGATCTACCGTTAAGGGGGAATTTGGACAAGAAGTGCAAGCAGGACGGTTTGATTGGGTCATCAAATAGCTATGGGAAAAATTTGTGTGACCAATTCTCAGAGAAGGAACGGAGGAAGGAATTTAAGAAAATCAGTGGCACCATCGTGTTTCTCGCGAACTTTTGCATGAGAATCAACAGTCAAATCGCAAATTCCTCACACATGCAACATCTCCATTTCGATAAAGCAAACAGGCGAAGTATAAACTTATTGGCAGATATCGTCTACTTCAGGCTCGCCTTCAATGTCACCGGGTAGGCAACAAACATACTGGCGAGCGCGAATATTTATCAATTCGGGAAGAACACAAAGCTACGGTCAAAGTGTGAAACCACGTATCTCCGTTTGCGATGTCGCAGACTACCCGTCATCAGTGGCGTGGCGTGCTTTGCGATATATCGATTGTTATGCCATTTAAACCTACGGAAAAGGATCGATAAACAGGGTGTTCGCAGCGAACACCTTAATAATCGATTCTTTACCATAGGTTTAAATGGCATAACAATCGATACATCGCAATTCAAGCCACGCCACTGCCCGTCATCCTCTTTTTTCTTAGGGAACCCAGTCAACTTGATTTCTTGAAAACTTCCTTGGATGTTCTTCTCCGCCAGCAGAGTATTCCGTAGAAATTTCAAGCTACATGGTTAACTTATTTCTCCTCGAAAGAATCAAGTAGGAGCACAGATTTTGAGGAACCGCGGCGGTAGTATATGGTTTCGGACTGTAGCCATCGATATATAACTCGCTCCATAAACTTTGATAAAGTAAGCGAAGAGTATGTAAACATATTGACAAATATTGCGCGGTTTAGTCTCGCCTTTTTCGACGAATTTCGACGTACCCAAATGGCAAGGATAGCTATAGATAGACATAAAAGCATAGGAATATTGCTATATTAAATTTTCCGTGCGTGTTGCCTACGCTCTCCGTTGAAGGCGCGGAAATTATTGTAATATAGTTGCTATAATGTAGCAAAAAAATTCCGATTTTCGGTTGTGTCACCTGTCGTTGCCAATCTGCGAATTGCAAAGAGCGAAAATTATCGAAACATGAGCGACAGATGTACCGGGGAGCGCTAGCAGTTATTTTTTTGGATGGAAAAAAGAAAAACACACATATCGATGGTTACAAAACAATACCGCCTACTTGCAAACTGACGATTTAGAGTAAAATCTTGAGATGGTTTTGGACACTTCAGTGACACCGACTTGAGGTTTGGAAAATTCTACTCTAAGAACATTAGGGTAATGTAGCATCGCGTCCATGATATTGGACTCCATGCTCAGCTATATAATGTTCGGTTGCTCATCACGTCCGAGATCTTGGACTCCATGCTCACTTTAATTGGGGGTAATTTTTTCGAAAAATCCAAGTGAGCATAGCGTCCAAAATTGTGGGACGCAAGTATTCTCTGACAATACACGAGCATGGGGTCCAAAAATTTATTAGGACAATTTTTGTGAAATAAAGACAAAAAAACGTGTTCTCGAAAAAAATTGTACATTGCTAAGGTTAGGTTAGGTTAGGTAAGGTTAGGTTAGGTTAGGTTAGTTCAAGTTAGATTAGATAAGCGAAGTATACGATTTTCTATCATGATGAACTTTAAAACTAAGGGAGGTCTACTGGCTTTTGGACTCCATGCTCAAACAAAGAAGTAAGAAGTTTAGCGATGGGCATGGAGTCCAAGATCTTGGACTAGATGAGCAAGCAAGTATCTCAAGAGTGAGCATGGAGTCCAATATCTTGGACGCGATGCTACATAATCGAAAATTAGTGGTATAGAAAATCAACGACTTTCGCGAGAAGCCTAGGTATAGCTACCTTGATTTTCGTCAGTTAGGGGTTGACCCCCCCCCCCCCCCCCCCCCCNATCGCTCTTCCCTAATTTGATTTCACCAGCAAAACGCAAAGTTAACTTAAGAATAAATTAGAGAAAATATAGTGACTTACTGATCTTTGCCGTGTTGTCCTCGCTGATACTGTATCGCGGCATTTTGATGGTTTTCTTCCAGCTGCGCGTATACGAATTTCGAGTCTCTCTACTTGACGGGTACCGATGACGTCAGATCGGGGATTTGAGAGGGCTTGACGGGATAAAAAATACGGATAGGATAACGATATTATAAACGTATAAGTATGATGAGATACGTGTAGAGTGGACTTTGGGGGGTATTTTTGGATTAGAACAATTTCAGCCGATATACTTTGACTAAGCCGCTTTTCTCAATGCGGCACTTTGAGCAAAATCGCGGAATACGTCCTTGTAGTAAAGAAAGCAATCTTTGCGGTATAATTGTTTCGCTTTACTCATACTAATGGCCGAAATTTCAATCTGCCGAGAACACTTCAAGAACGGGGCCCAAAAGTTTGAACATAAGTACCGAAAAAATCTCCAAAAAGCACTGCAAGGGCCTGAGACGACACAGATCAGATATCACTACAACAACTCCACAACAACTCTAGGACAACTCTCCGGAACAACTCTAGCTGCAGTGGATTTGTCCAAGTCGAGAGAACTGTTGTCTGTACTGATGATCGAAAAAGAAAATTGGATATCAAGATCAGCCAGTTGATAACGTTATGGGTGCCTTTTTGCTACGGAGAGGTACGCTTGGACGGATTTATCTCGAGAAAGAGCGTGCCAATAGCTTCTATAGCCGGCAAGACAATGTCTTATAGCCTTTTATAGCCGATGGCGACTAAGCAACAGCCTGGCGATAAAGTGCATGCTAAACCTTACTAATTACGGATGCTGGGACTCAGTGAGTTTTTGGACTACCGCTCTCTTTTTGGGCAGTAGTATCTTGATTTATTTTGCGAGGAAAGCTCCGTACTTTTGAAGGATGCCTGCCATTCCTAATTTGTTGGAGCGCCTTCAATTTCGTATGATACTGTGCAATACCTCTGTTGTGAAATACTTGCTTCAAGCGCCGTGGTACGCTGAGGCGCGCGGCGCGGCGGGCGGGCAGCCAGCGCGAAACGGCGCCTACAAACCTAACAGGGATACTTCACGCATTGCGCAATGCGTGAAGTATCCCTGTTAGGTTTGTAGGCGCCAGTGCGCCGCCGCTCCGCTTTGTATTAGGCTCTAATATTTAATCTCGTGGAGTCAGCGTTTTTCAACTCATGACTTTGAAATGTTTGCACACTCTGTATGGATTATTCTCATTTTAATTGATGAAAAAAAAAAAACATGTAGTAAAGGAAAATATAATGTGCGTTTTGTAAATATTAAGGTGATTCCGTACAAACTTAATGATTCACAAAGCACACGAATTTCTACACAATATCTTATAGCCTTTTATAGCCGATGGCGAAAAAGCAACAGCCAGGCGATAAAGTGTAAAGCCCGGCTATAGGAACTATAGCCCGGCTGTATAATTTTGTATCGCTTCGTGTAGCCCGGCCGTATGATTTTTTCCACTTTCTACAGCCAGCTATATGATTTTCTATCGCATTCTTCAGTCGGCTATACTTAAAAGCTCCTATGGTATTTTGAAACGCAGCTCCCATAGCCAATTTTTACCAGGGGCATGCTACCTATTTTAAGTTGCCTTTACTACTATTACTTAGTGGTGTTTCATACGAATGCTTAATGGGCCTGTTGCAAACTTTTGCTAGAGCAAAACTAAAAGTTGTTTCTTATAGATAATGCCTCAAAAATCACGATGAGCGCATCGGCAAACTCTGAAATGCACTCATAACTTCACAAACTGCGTAAGAAATTTGCGGTTTTTTGAGCTTCCCGCTTCAAAAACGATACTACGGCACAGGTGAACATTTTGTAAGAGGAGTCGTTCCATCGTCGGCAATAATCATCATAGCCGACGCCAATCCGCCAAAACACGTTTGATGGGACGAGATAACACCTGAACTGGATTAGACCAGATAACAATCGGTGTGTTAACGTTCATATTTTCCACGCCCGAATTGATTGACCTTGAACTCTCCTTGAATTACGCGCGGAACTGCGTGCAAGCGTCGGCCATGATGAATATCGCCGACGATGGAGCGACTCCTCTAACAAAATGTTCACCTATGCCGTAGTATCGTTTTTGAAGCGGGAAGCTTAAAAAAACGCAAATTTCTTACGCAGATTGTGAAGTTATGAGTGCATTTCAGACTTTGCCGATGCGCTCATCGTGATTTTTGAGGCATTATCTATAAGAAACAACTCTTATTTTTGCTCTAGCAAAAGTTTGCAACAGGCCCATTGGTTCATAAGCCATAGGTAGCTTTTTTTCAGTGTGGTATCAAGTCGAAAGGAAATGATCCATTTTTCGTTATAAAGTGCATTGGTACGCAAGTTTGAATTTACTTGGAAGATAAGGTCTTAAAAACCGAAATAAAATCACAGAATTCAAGGTCGAAAAAAAAAACTTTGCCATCACATGATAAATATTGGCGAAATGAGGCGATTTATGACCTAGAGAATGGAAAAAAATACGTTTTATAGTCATGCAAGAATGAGTTTGATGAAGAAAGAAACCTCATTTTCAAGTTTAGAAGACTTGTTCATTTAGAAGACTGAGCTGAGTAGGCAGTGGTGCCAATCGTTTATGATTTCTTTTATTTCTTTTTCAATTAGTTTATGTTTTACTACTTTTGCCACACGAGGCTAGACCTCTTGGCATTTTTCATTTTGTAGTGGCCTTAATTTAATTTGTATTATGTTTTTTCTTGTATTAATAAAATGAATCTGAATCTGAATCTGAAGTCGCGTGAGAGGTAAAGGGAGGGGGAGAGGGTGGGGAAAAAGCCCGTCAATTTGAAAAACCCGCCTAAAATTTGAATTTTCGTGTCTCAAAATCCTGTTGAGCCATCATCAAACAGTTCAATCTCCCCAAAACGCACCATTCATCTAAAGTCCTAACCTCGCACTCGCAGTCCAGCTTTGTAAACAATTGAACAATTGAGTTCCTAACTTGCAAGAAGCGAAAGCTTACCGAAAATGTTTTAATATAAGTCTGCCAAATGTGTTTTACTCTTTTCTCTTTTCATGACAAAGTTTTGAGCAATCAGTCAAACCATGTCCCTGTACGATGACTTCGAAACCGTCAAGCAGAAGTCCGACCAAGTTGCAGGATGGTCCTCAGGAATTAAACTATTCCAGTCTCAGCTACAGCTTAAAAAAGCAGCTCAAACTCTCGTAAGTTGGCTTAATCTTTTAGTACCTCATGGAATTCTACCCCACTAAATCAATCATCAGTTAGTGTAATTGCTTTCTTCCCTTTACTTCGTTTACCTTTCGATCGCAATCTGTTCAGAGGAGCTTCAACCGAGTTGTCGAAGTAAATTTGCCCGACTCTGCTTATTTTCTGTATTAACAAATCTTTAAATGCAACCTAATGGTCCTTACAACTTCTGGACCTTGTTGAGTCTTGGTTCAAAATGTAAAGCATTTGTTTGTAACCATGCCAGTCTTTGGGATATACTTAGATGCCATTAGTGGCGACGTCATCATAGGGATTCTCCATTATATCGAATTGGATCCAAACAATAACATTAACATCTTTTGCATTTCCATCTTGGTAAAAAAAATAGAAGCGAAAAGTTACTTTGAAATAATCTCCTTTTTTCTCTATGGAGGAAGGGTGTCAACCAGAGCAAATGGATGGGAAGCTTGGACCTCCGAGATTACGTTGAATTTCTTAAAATAAAACCTAGTCCTTTAAGGCGAGACTTTACTTAATAGCTCACTCAAATAGTGGCCAATAAAATTGGGAAGAAGGGGGACTACTTAGACCTAGTTTTACTCCTTTTCAAAGTATTTGGATGATGATCAATCACAGTCAATCCTGTTCTTAATTATTTCAGCCGAAACGAGAACAAGCACGGAAATCTGCAGCCCTTGCTCCTGTCTTTGATCTAAAAGGCAAAAAAGATGACGATGAAATGCCAAGCAGTGCTCTCTTTAGTTTGTATCAGTATCAAAAGGTAAGCTTTCACATTATCGCTAATCATTGCAAGAACGAGCTTAATAGCTTTTAGTTGCAAAATTATATATTATCCGGACAGCCTTGATGGGAATTAACACAGTTGAAAAGATAAAAATTGCGGCCAATTCCTTTTGTAACGTTACAAACTCTGTTGGCACAATATTTTTCTGTTCAAAAGGAGTTTGAAATTTTGGCAATTTTGAAAGTCTTTTACTCAGCTAAAATTTAATTGAACAAGATTTAAAATACAGGCATTCTCATCTTTACATACTTCCCAAAAACGACTTCAAAAAAAAATAAAACTCAATAGAAAATTTAGCAACGTACCTAAGATGACTTGGTCAAAGCTAGCCATCGTCATCAGTAAAAAATGTTCAAATTCTAGCTACTGTTATACTTTCTTTTGGAAATGAAAAACTGCTGAAAGTTATTTCTCAGATACTTCGGTAATTTTTTCCTATCTATAGATAGGAAAAAATTAGGAAAAAATATGTAAAGAAAATTTTAAGCCAGGATGTTCGTTTGGTCTCCTTCCAAAAAAGTAAAATATGAGTTTTAAAACACTGCAACTAAGTGTCTCTTGGTTGCAATTTCACCATAAACTTAGTGTATCACAATTTAAATGCCACGAAACAAAACAAGAAGAAAATGGATTTTATTAAATTGATCACACAAAGAGGAATCAATATTTCTAACATTTAAAAATCATCAATGAATGAAAAATTATTTCTTGAGCTCAAATTAAAGTGATTTCATTGTAAACGGCCCAATACTGAGTCATGTAGATGCTAATCCAGCAAAAACAAAGTTTCTTACAATTGAAGAAATTCGGCTTCAAAGTATGCTTTTGATTTTTTTTCAGGATGATAAACCACCCATCACACCTCAGCGACATATTCCACCGGAAATGGATTGGGAATGGAATGGAGTGGAATACGATCCAATGTGGCCCAATGATTATGAAAAAGTTGTCATGGGTATGTTGTAATAATGGTTTATAGTCTGGGAAAACCAATTAGACAGTAAAAATACGGGCATTTTCGGGCAAACCGAGAATTGCAACCTTGGATCCCGGCGTGGAGCCGCCGGGTCCGCGCCAAGCTCACCAGGGTATTGTTACTATTGTGTCCTTACTGACCTTTACCTGGTAAGCGGACCCTTGTCATCATGGCCTATCGGTAGACAAAAGTTTGCCAACCAAATTTTTTACTTTTGTTAATCTTTCCTTTATTCCAACGAATTGGGATTCAGTTTGCAATCTTGGTGAAAAATATTCATAATTGTCGGTAAGTATAATGGTAAGTTATTGTATCACAAATGCGGTGTCAGTTGCCCGATAACCTCTGGGAGGACAGGCATATGTGGCGTTTGGGTGTCGTAGAACGCCAGAGTGCGTTGTAAAGCGACTTAATATATATATATTGTATCACAAAACGTGTTGAAGGAATTCGCAAGCTCTGCTCTGGCATGCCTCCTTAATCAGGGTGTCTACAAGTCCGGAAAGTTAGGAAACAGTAATTACTGATTTTTTAAGGGGGGTAAGGAAGTACTGAAAAAGTGCGGAAATTCCGCAAGAGGTCTGGAATTTTTTTTTTTAATTTTTTCATTATTTGAGCGAAAAATTCAAATTTTTGACTTTTTTCAAATTTCGTCAAATGGAGACACTGAAGAAGTTCTGAATTTTTTGGGAATGCACTGAAAAAGTACTGATTTTTGGCCAGCCTGTTTTAGTAGACACCCTGTTAATGCTGACTTTTGCCTCACAAACTTGTTTGGTTGGTGCCATCCTTCGTGTTTGGTTACAGATTATTTGGAAGTTGACAAGTTTTGTTCTTTCATTCCAGAACTGCGTGAAATTCGGGAACGAGAAAGGGAGAGAGAGGATGATGAAAGGAGAAAGCGGAGAGAAGAAACCAGGATGAAGCCACTTGTCAATGGGTATTGCTTTCCTTCTGTTACAAAAAAAAAAAAAAAATAATTATTTAACAGTCATTTCAACTATCCTAAGTCAGCCTCAGTGGTGTAGTGGTCAAGGCAGTTCGCTGCAAACACTGAGGTCCTGAGTTCAATCCCCAGACGTGACTGATATTTGAGGACACTCAAATATCAGTCATCGTGACTGTGGATGACTATGCCACTCCAGTACCCTGACCCTTCGAGGTAACAGGGTGCGGGAGGGACATAGTCACCCAGTAAGTAATTCGTCTGCACTGTGCGCAGTTACACTTTAAAATTTTAGTAACAAGGCAGAATACTGCTCCAAAACCGCCTTAATGAACAGAAGAAAAATGGAATTGACATCAGTCTCAGAAATATATTAATAAATAACTTATCAAAAATTTAAAATATTTAATGTTAATTTACAAAAGAGAATTTGCAGGTGTCTGAAACTTGATGAACTTCGTGTTTAAGTGGAAACTATTGAGTCAAGTGAACACAGATATACCCTTGGTTCATGATTTGAACAATTATTGGAGAAGATATGACAAAATGATCTAATCTGCTAAAATTCATGTGTTTAAATGGGAAATGACGTCACTTGGCGGTGCATTTTTTCGTTTTTAAATATATTTTTATACTGTTTCCCAAATCAGAAAAAAGTTATAGAAAATACTGTAAACCCAGCTCTTTAAGTACTTTCGGAAGAAGCAATAAAAATGTTGCATGCAAATTCTCCATTCTCTCTTTTTGAAGACCTCAAAGAAGAAAAAGGAGACCTGCTCTTTTTGAAAACTCTTCTTCGATAACCTGTACACGAAAAAAAATTAAAAGTTGATCTAGCATTTATATTGTTAAAACATGTCCGACAAGTTTCAAATGCTGATTTTACATTTGGAGAAATGTAAACTTAATTACGCCCACTGTAAAACGAACAAATTCAAATGTTATGATAGCACTTTTGTATTGTAAAATCAGCATTTGAAACTTGACGGGCTTTTTTTTGACAATTTAAATGCTAAACCAGCATTTCATTTTTATCCGTGTAGGCAATTTTTAATCACTTAGGTCAGAATTAGTCAACATATGCCTTTTAATGTCAGGATTAGTCTCTGTGATAAGTTTTCTTTTTTCTTTCAACAGCGATAGCGACGAAGAAGAAGTTCCAGTTCCGCCAACACCGCAAAGAACGGGAGTTGCAATTGCTCCTCCACCATCGTTGCAAGAATCAACTCCTGTCTTAGACCTACCAAAGCCTGTAGTTTCCTCTAATCATGGTGGATCTGTTGCAGCCAAGATAATGGCGAAATATGGATTCAAGGTAATTGAGGCATTTTGCTCTATACCTCATCTAAAGTTCCAATCTTAGATTTCAGAAACTGCGGTAGAATACAGTTCTCCATCCCGTATCCAAGAATAAAATAACAACTTAATTTGGGGAAAAGGCTGCAAAAAGAACAACAAGGGATAAACAAAAAACCCAGAACGTTTCAGAATGTTGACAATTCCATTTTCAACTGGAAAATGAGTAACATAAACAGTAATAAATAGTAATATTTTCCGGTTGAAAATGGAATTGTTAACATTCTGAAACATTCGGGGTTTTTGGTTTATCCTTTGTTGTTCTTTTTGCAGCCTTTTCCCCAAATTAAGTTAATATTTTATTATGTGAATTTTGACTGATTAAGTTGTTTTTCATTCTGTATCCAAGGTTTCTTGGACTTAAGAATAAAGCCATGGAACAGATTAGTATTGTTGACTAGGTGTTTGATGAAGCCTTTTTTTACTTACTTAGTACGCAACTAACGCCTGTTAGTACAGAGTTTCCACAGTTAGGGAAAACGGGGAATTTCAGGAAACCTTACAAAGTCAGGAAAACCAAGAAATTTAAGTGAAAACCCTGCTTGTCTAAAAACCCAATTCAATTCCAAAGCTGAGCCAAAGTCTATTTCAAGACTTGTAAAATATTAAACTCTAACTATCTTATTGTGTTCTACAACAGAAGAATTTTCTCCGCATGCTGAAGTCTCCTCAATGAGTTTTCACTTCTCATGTTACAGAGATTGGGAACTGCATTGCAAAATCTATTGGTAGTAATTTTGTAAACCCACAAGTCTGTCTTTGACGCCTAATGACGCCTGTGAATGTTTTTAATTCATGTGCGTGCGAAAACTTTGGATTGACTAATTTTGATGCAAACTATAAAAGCTAATTTCCAACCTATGATTTGATTTTGAAAATTGACAAGAAGCTTGTGTTCTGTACAAAATTTTGATGAGATCCTTCGTTTTGTCGTACCCAATTGGATTTATTTTGCAAGAGAAGTCTATCAGCCGCTCATCTCCGTAGTCAGGGTGTCCACAAGTCCGGAATTTCCGGAAAGTCTGGAAATAGCACTGATTTTTGAAAGGCGGTCCGGAAGCACTGAAAAAGTACAGAAATTCTGCAAAAAGGTCCGGAATTAATGTCATTTTTGTCGCAATTTGAGCGAGAAATTCCAATTTTTGAAATTTTTCGAATTTCGTCAAATGAAGGTACTGAAAAAGTACCTGAAAAGTACTGAATTTTTCTGTTGAGGAGGTACTGAATTTCTTGGGAATGTACTAAAAAAGTACTGTAAGAACACTGAATTTTGGCCAGTCTGTTTTAGTAGACATCCTGTTAGTAGACTTTCCTTGTGTAAATGAGTCTAATTTTCACTCTGTTTCGTGGTCTGTGCTGTGACTAAAGTTACCAATTCAAAAATTGCAATATTAATTTCAATGTACATTTCGCTTGTCTCATACAGGAAGGTCAAGGATTGGGCAAGAAGGAACAAGGCATCGCAATGGCTCTTCAGGTGGAAAAAACGAGTAAAAGGGGCGGCCGAATCATCCATGAGAAAGATATAATGCCGCCTCCACCGCTATCGCTAGCCTCTGTCATCGACACGCCACCGAGGGCAGGCTCACCCACGTTCGTCGCTCCTCAACCTGTTAAGCCAGAACCTAGCATAACAGAGATAATGAAAAGTCCGTCGAAAGTCGTCTTGTTAAGAGTAAGTATGGACTTGGCTGTTTTTCATGTTTTCATTGTTTTCAAGTGACGAATCTGTCTGATCTTCTCGCTCATTCATGACCCCTCAAAATCAGGATTCATGAAGAGTATGCCCCCAAAATTGTGAAGAGACTCGTCTCCGTAGTCTTGTATTCATGATTGTTGCCCATTTATCTTTGGTACAAGTTAGATTTACAAATTGTGAAGTTGATGAAAGCACTCGTCCCATGCACAAACTGGAGCTAGAATTACAAATTGTGAAGTTGATTAAAGCACTCGTCCCGCGTACAAAATGGAGCCTTCAAACTGGCACCAATTCGTTGATTTCTCAGCTTTCAAGCTTGAAATTCCTTGAAAATTTGGAGATTGATCTATGATGTGTCCCAAACACATTAGCTGCCTTCAAAAATGGTCCAGCCGACGATCGTTGAATGGTAACAGTCAACAATTCCATCGATGAGCCTCTTTGAAGCCTGCAGTTTGTGCGTGGGATGGGCGCTTTGGGTTCCTCATGCCTGCAATTTACATCTTTTAATTAAAGACAATCTACCCTTAGGCTAAAAGCGAATTTTAGCATTATCATGTATGTTTCTTTATCCAAATGTTGCATAGATAATGATTTTTGCATGAAATAGCCCCCAATCAGCAGATTTACCAAATAGACATGCTATTGTTCAGGACTTGTAATTCATGGTTGTTGGACGGAGAAGCTCATGAAAATAAAATAGAACTTTTGTTAGTTAAAGAAGAACATTTTGTGTAAAACCACCCAAGACTTTATTAAAAGTTAGAACCCGTTAGGGGCTTCTATTGCCTCTACAGTAAATTTCTTCTTAGTAAAAGCAAAATGCGGATTGACTCTTGGTGATTTTGCGTCTGTAGTTGCCCTCCTGACTGTTCGTAACTATTCCCACCAAAAATCCTTTATTTTTATGAGGACATTTTATGCTCAAATGAGCTTTTCGCACTAAAATGAGAATTTCAGTTGTATACTGAATTTAATGCACGTTGGAAAAATTATCAAACCTTGTCTAATCCTCTTCTGAAAAATTCAATTCTAAATTAAAGCGCATCATGCAAAAGAAGTCTTTCGCATGAAAACTCTTTATTTCTTCCAGCCCAAGTCTCTTCTTTTTGCCACCTAATCTTGTATTTACAGAAGCACCTCAGCTTCCAGTCCCCCACAATCTTTTAGCTTTTTATCTCGACTCTTATATTCAAAGCCATCCCACAAATAGATAGGTTTCATGGACATGTATCTATTTATCTGTGTAAGGAGTTCACAGACTCCTTTCATCTGTAGCCTCCTTTTGAATAGATGTTTCAAATTTTCTTATTATAAACGTTCAATTTTTCATGTATTTTCTCATTACTTAGAGCTATCCTTTTGAAAGTTGTAGTTTTGTGTCAAAACAACGTGCAATATATCACATCAATTGATTCTATTTTTTCAGTCACTCGTCACTTTTCTCGAATTTTGAGATCGCAATTCTGTTGTCAGGAGACCAAAGAATTCACTTACCAATTTTGACAAAAAAATTTAACTGAAGAAAAGCAAGGTTTTTTCTGATGAAAAGTATTGCATTCGATACTGATATCGAAACTGCACTCAAACATGATATTTTCCCTCTAAAAAAACCACGCCTATATTACGATGAATTTTTTTGTCAAAATTGGTAATTGAATTCTTTAGTCTCCTGACAACAGAATTGCGATCTCCAAATTCGAGAAGAGAGACAGCAGCTCAAAAAAAGGAACCGATCGATGTGATATATTGCTCGTCGTTTTGACACAAAATATGAACACATCGAATCAACTTAACAGTAAAAAGTCAGAAAGTGGAAGCATGTAGTGCTTAAGGAGAAAACTGCAAAAAGGAATGAATGAATATTTTACTAACTTTGGTGAATTTTGCAGAATATGGTTGGGCCAGGAGAAGTTGATTCGGAGTTAGAACCAGAGGTAAAAGATGAGTGCAATACGAAGTATGGAGATGTAGTTCGCGTTTTAATATATGAGAGGCCAGAAGTTCCCGCAGAAGAAGCTGTACGGATTTTCGTAGAATTTAAACGAATAGAATCTGCTATCAAAGGTGAGTGACGCAAATCTTTGTAATGGACGGATTCAAGTGGAATCAACCTAAATGGTATTCCACGTTTCCTAATTTTCTCTCGTTTTTTTTTTTTTTTTTTTTTTTTNTTTTTTTTTTTTTTTTTTTTTTTTTTTTTTTTTTTTTTTTTTTTTTTTTTTTACAGAGAATTAAATTACTTAACACCTTTAGGGCTTTTTTTTTTTATCGCGGAACAGGGTAAATCGTAGTGGAATGCACTGGATCGGAATCCTGAGCGATCTGGACCGATCCAAAGTGTTCCAAGTGATAAAGAAATCCAAACTTGGAATTTAGTTTGATTTGTTATTGTTTTAATTTGTTGGGGACGGCAAGTTCCTTGCATTAGGTTAGGATCACATTGGCAAGCTCGCCCCACCTCGGAAGAGCGATCCAGCGTTCCACCCGGATCCAGTTGGAACGCTTGGATCACGGCTGAGGAACAGAATAAAAAAATACTGATGTTCATCGTGATCCACAGCGTTCCACTGCGATCCGCATTTAAAAAAAACCCTTAAAAAAAGCCCTTAAAAATTTCTGTGAATTCGCCCTAGACTATGCAGAATAGACTCATAAAATACCAAGTTTTAGAGTTACTTGGTTTTTTGTTTAAAAAAAGGAAACATTAGAGAAAATCAGGCAACCTTTGATTTGAATAGGTTGACTTTAAATCAATCCGCTCAACAATGTCAAGCAACTTCCTTTATCCTATGACTATTCCACGCAAAGCAAAAGCAATTATGTGCATCATTAACAATTTTTAAATGGGGTTATCTTATTTTAGAACTGTTTTATTCGATTGCTTGTGCGGTATATCAATGGCCAAAATGCAAAACCAAGCATCTCAATTGTGGTGTTTCAAAATTTGTGCTCCTATTTTATTTTTCGAAGAGAAACAAATCAACTTTATAGCTTGAAATTTATACAGAATATTCTGCAAATAGATAGAGAAAATTACGAAAGTTTTTAAGTCATCATGTCAGCTAGCTTTCCAAAGAAAAAATAAAGTATAACAGGTAGTCTGGGATGTCGCAAATGGAGATACATAATCTTGCTCTTTGGCCATCACTATAACTGAGCCCCCATTTTCATGCCTCTCAAAGTTTTATTTGTCTTTTAAGTCTCTGAATCCCTTCATTGATGGTCTCGTGCCAGGTGCAAGTAAGATTAATCTTTCTGTACCTTGAATATAATTTTTTCATTTAAAAAAATTGTTTGCAACGCGTTGAAATACAACATCTTTTATGCAGAACACCTTCCAATAAAAGCGTAATGATCATGAAAATGTATTAGGCCCCGCAAACGTTCTTATTGATTTTTTTTTTTTTTTTTGTAGATTTCCATTGTGCTGCTTAAGGAGTTGTTTGCTTAAAAAGAAAGTTTAGGTGAAGTGTAAATTTGTGTGTTTGAGCAAAAAATAATATTTATTGAATAAATCCGTTATTTATCAGTTTCACTCATTTAAATCGTCAGGGTGATTAAGGGTCAATCATACTACCTTCAATGATGAAAACAGCGGTTTTATTACCGCCCTGTCATGTAAAACAGCAGAAAGTGGCTCCTTTTACTTGCATTGCTACAATCAAGTCTGATGGTTGGAAGTTGACGACTAAATTCCAAAATAATTTTGCAGCAGCCTGCACTGCTGTCTTGTTGAAAATCATGGCATTTTTTCGGGACTTGCTATTATCTCGAATCTCTCATTTTCTAAGCAGAAGATGCATTTATCAATCCATGCAATGTCAACCAAATTATTACGTATAACTTGAATTAGTTGAATTTTCGATTTTCTTTTGAGCACAATTCCAAAAAGTTGGTTTTGACTGCTATTTTGGATAGCAGAACAGTTGAAGTTTGCTTTATTTTTCCACTCTCTTTGTAATTCATTAATGATTTACTTAAATGTTTGATTTCTTCTTTTCAGCTGTCGTTGATCTCAATGGGCGATTTTTTGGTGGACGCCAAGTCAAAGCTGGGTTTTATAACTATGAGAATTTTAACAATTTAAAACTACTTGATTGAATTCCAATCAATTCAGAACTTCAATGTATAAAGTCATTAATTTATTGGATCACAGAATTTGTAAATATGTACATCGTGGGTGTATACTGTTAATCATTCTTGGAATAAAACACATTTTTCTCTGAATACAAATAAAAATTCTATAAATTTTTTTACCAAAAAAATGCACATTCAGGTTGTCCACAGACTAGACTAGAAGAAATTACCTGACTTTTTCAGGTTGTCCTGACTAAAATACTGGAAGTCTCTTTAACATTGTTACAGGAAATTGGCAAGAATAGCGCAGTCACTAAATCGTGATGTCTATGGTTCTTGACTATGCTTATTCCCTGATTTTTCCTTGATTTTCAGGAGCTCATTCCCTGATGAGGAATCAAAGTTGTCTCCCACTTTGCTAAGATTTTCTTGGAGTAAAACTATACAAAGGCTGCCCAAAAAGTACCGGGACTGGTTCCATAACTCAAAAATTAAAATAGCTAGAGGCTTGATCTTGGTCTCATTTAAAAGATCATCTTAATATCCATCGATTGAGACCAAAATAAAAAATTTCGGTCAAATATTTCAAAACTTACGACACTGTTGGTAAAAAAAATATCTGGACCCCCTACCGTTTTCAGTGTAAATTTATTCTTACCTTTTCAACCTTCGTCTTCACTTTCGCCTGACTGGTGTTGTAGGTCCTCTTTTTCTTTTTCAAAATATTTACCATTACACCGGATGCACTTTTAAACTCTCTGTCCGGTTGTCTAAGATAGTTTTCTTGAATTCCTCTTTAAATTCCTTATGTCAGCGGAAAATCGCGGTTTGGCCTAAACAATCGTCATGGTACACACCTTTCATTTCATTCAGCATATCCGTAGCTGAAAGACCATGTAGAACACAATATCGAATCACAAAATGTTGTTCTTTTGCCACTGATTTATCTCTTTCCATGATGGTATCAAAAATTTTGAACACAGAAACAAAATCATTCACTATCTGCAGCGTAGACCATGCACGCACTATGAACTGTCAACAATAGCCGAAAATTTCCCGGGTTTTTATAGGGTGGCTGGCCGACGACGGTTCATTCTTTCCCCGTGGACTTTGAACCCTTGCACCCGTAGTCGGACGACGACGACTTGACAGTGTTGCCAAATCAATTAGGTTTTGCCATGATTAGTTGCAAAAGAACAGTGCTCTGATCATTAATTTATAGTGTTCTGGGCAAGACAAAATTATCACCAAAAACGGTAGGGGGTCCAGATATTTTTTTTACAGAGTCGTAACTTTTGAAATATTTGACCGAAATTTTTTATTTTGGTCTCTATCATTGATATTGAGTTGATCTTTCAAATAAAACCAAGATCAAGCCTCTAGCTATCTTAATTTTTGAGTTATGGAACCAGTCCTGGTACTTTTTGGACAGCCTTAGTATTACCCTCCAGAGTTCCAGGTATGAATATAGATTTTTCCCATGTCAATTCTTTAATGCACATTGAAATTTTTTACTCCGAAAGCGTTCCTGATGTTAAGATCATCTGGTCAATGAAAGTTCTTTATTATTCTGATGATTTGAACGTTCAATAGGTCAATTATGGCGGCTCAGGTGCAGTATCATAAACCTCAATAACAATCGGTACTTAAAATTTCCACCCCACAATTTATTTTTCTTCACAAGTATACTCATGTTTCTTTCTTAACTATTCGGCAAATGACTGGTAAAAGACTAACCCGGAGGAAATTCAAATGGAGTTCAAGGGAAAGATTAGCATCTAAACGTTGGATGAGGAGATTTCCAGTTTCTGGAGCAGATTTCTTGATTTTTATTTGACATTTTTCATGCTTTATGAATCCTGGTCTGAACACTTGAAGCATATTTCCGTTGATGATCGGTCGAGCCAAAATGCCGCGATAATGGCGGTGAGATCATAATTGGGTTGGTAATTTGAGGTTAGACTTTTGAAATTGATGCTGGTCGGATGCCATCATTTTCATCAGGTCATTTCTACACCCTACTTTTTGTAGGATTATATTTTGGCTCCAACATTTGCAAGAATTCCACATTCAGTCCGTCTGGTGAGTCCCGATGTTGTTCCGAAAAGTTATGATCGCATCTAAACAAAATACGAAACTGCTTGATCCACCCAGTTTGGTTCGACTGATCATCAACGAAAATACGCTTTGGAGCCTAGAAAGCCCCCGACCCCATTGGGGGTGAAGGGGAGGGGGAGAGTGCAAAAGTAAGTTCTGAAGAGGAGAGGGGCTGGTACATTCCGTGCGTTGTGCTCTATGACCTACAGTTTACGAGATATTCGCATTTTTCTGGTTAAAAAAATTGATCCATTTTCATCATGATGAAAAATCGGCCAACACCAAAATTTTGAAAAGTAAAATCTGAGCTAAATGGCCCCTGACCCCATGAGTCTGTGGAGGGTTCAAAAGTAGTCTCAGGAGTATAGAGTCGGGATTAATCTCAAACTTTAGAGGAAGAGATTCCTGGTTTCTGGAACAGATTTCTCGATTTATCCTGGAATTTTTCACTCCTTCATGAATCCCTGATTTTCCCGGTTTTTTCCCAGATACCGTACATTCGATTTATCTATTGTCATAAAAAGTGGGGACTGTTCTTTTTAAGGTATTCTCTTGATTTCGAAGACAAAAATAAATCCAGAGGTGTTATTGACAAACTTTATTGGTCAACTAACAAATTGATTCAGACATTGGATCGCATTTAGCAAAAAGGAACCAGCACGATTGAAGTGTTTTCAAAATCGTGCAACTTCTTTCCTATTAAAAATTTACTCAATATATGTTCAGTATTAAAATATATACAATTATTTTCCTTTGAAATTAACAATTTTTTGGTGGGAAGCAAAAACTATTTGCTATTCTGAGAGATTTTTTAGAAAATTACGAAAAAGTAACATTTTTACAACACTGTAATCGTGCGTGTTCCTTTTTGCTAAATGTGATCCAATTAATAAACATCTAATTAAATAAAATAACTTTATGGAGATTGACAATAGTCTAGAAATGGACGCAAGTTTTATAACAAATATGCACGTATAATAAAAACAATGAGTGAATCATTACATGAGGGGGATGGGTCTTCAGTCAGGGTGTATACAGAATTTTGAAGAATGAAATTTCAAACCTTAGCCTGACTTTTTCTTCTTTTTTCCCTGACTGGTGTGCCAATTGTGTGGAGTCAGAGGAAACACAAACCTTATCTTGACTTCCAACATATTTTCTTGACTAATGGAATATTTTCACTGAGTCGCAGTGGAGACACAAGGAGGTATTGAAAATTAATAACCATTTTGAGAGCTTTCTTGCCAGTCACCAAATGCTAAAAAAAATTCCATAGCCCTTCACTCTTGAAGAACTTATTAGGTCTTAAAAAAAATTACAACTACCGAGTGTGTCAAAAATGCAAATTACTCGATTCATCAAAAATTGATAGTTTCCAGCCAAGAGTAAATTATTTTATAGCTGTACATCGTTTTACCAACAATTGTAATTTTTTCCAGTTATCACAAAGTTTTTGGTAAAGCTCTGCTTTACTTACGAGTGTCTCGGTTGAGGAAGAGCAAAACCGGTGGCGTTCTGTCGTTAGGCCTGATTTCTTTGCCCACACTGAACTCTCCTCAACCGAGCCACTCTTAAGTAGAGGAGAGCTTTGCCGAAGATTTGCTGATAGCTGAAGAAAATTAAAATTGTTAGTAAAATTGGTAGTTGCGTTTCTTTGGCTCTTAACTACAGGTATATCACATCGTAAGTCCTGAAATTTCAGAACATGAAATGCATAATTAGAATAAATACAGTGATTATGTTTATGAAGGATACCCCTCAGAGCGGCCTTTATGTTTAGACAATCCTAAGGGCCATGGCTGATCACATTTAAGAGCAGATTTTCCTACGCAGCTGATTATGAAAGAAGAACATTCAATCAGTTGCATTGTGAACGTTGCAATGCCTACGATTTTAGCACAAAATCAAGGTCTTTTAAATACTTCTTCACCTTCTAAGATTATACTTTAAAGGATTCGAAAATCAGATGTAAGCAAAAGGGTATGCAGTTAGTTTTCAAAGCCATTTAACAGCCCTAAGAGACTAGAATCTATCGAGTAAAAAACATGTGTCTTCTGAACCAATCAAGACGGTTTTCATGGTTGAATAAGCTTCTTTTACCTGTTATTGATCTATTTTTCGGAAGGGCTACGTCTCTCTACAAAAACAACTTACTTGACAGAACCTGGTGTCTTATTAAAGCCTTCTCATTCATCATTCTGATGTATTCCACAAAAACATTGCCTTAGGACTCGAAACGACCCTTCCATCAGGCAAAGCCAGACCTCTTCCAAACTGCAGGCAGCACATCAAAACACAAGGACCGATCATCGTGTTTAACACAAAAACGAACTCTATTTTCTTGTGAACTCGCTCTATCCTCGTCTGAATTTTTCAATTAAGCTTGAAAAGAGATGGACCTTTACTAAAATGGAATATTATTTCAAAGCACCGATTATCTTATCAAATGTACGTTTCTCTCTAAATGCAATGATCCCAGCACTATTACTATAAACTTCGATACCTGGAGCATCTGACTTCTCTTGGTAAAGCAGCTCTACAGCATTCCCAGCTGCAACTGCATCGCTGAATTTGATCACAGATCCGTTCAGAGATTTTAGCACAGCATGACAGCCACATGTGTCCCAGAAATACGTGGAGCCCTTACTGAGAACATAACCACTGACATCACCGGTTATTACACACAAAAGCTTGTAGCCAGCGCCAGCAGGCTCGATCAAAGAAAATCCTGCTGCAGCTAGTTTAGACTTGATTTCCTTTTTCTCGCTTCCACTTACAGCAATGATCTAATGCACAGAGAAACAGAGACAATCATAAAAAATTCTCTCACATGAAAAGGGGCTACAGCTTTCGCATGTTCGTACGTAAAAAGTACAAATATATTGCATTTTAAAATAATTTTTAACGATTTTCTGACTTTTTCAGGCTTTAGAATAGAGGATGGCACAAAGTTAGAGTGTATTTAAGTAGCACTCTTTAATTTCATCATCTTTTCATGATGTTCTTCACAACCAATTGACATTGTACTTTAAGACCCATTCTAAACATGTGCTGATTATAGGAAAATCAGGGCTAAAACGTGTAATGCTTGAGTACTTTTAGACATATTTAATGGTTGAAATATTGGACCACCAAGGAGACAGAAAGAGCTCTTATTTCCTCAGCATGGAGATAACACCACTACCACGCACATCCAAATTTTGGATTTCTGCCCATGGTGTCTACGAGTCCGGAATTTCCGGAAAGTCCGGAATTTCCGGAAAGTCCGGAAATAGTACTGAATTTTTAAGGGCGGTCCGGAAGTACCGAAAAAGTGTGGAAATTCCGCAAGGAGGTCCGGAATTTTTTTTCATTTTTTTCTTGTTTTTGTCACAATTCGAGCGAGAATTCAAATTTTGGACATTTTTTTAATTTCGTTAATTTTTAGTATGGAAAAAGTACTGAATTTTTCTGTTGAGGAGGTACTGAATTTCTTGGGAATGTACTAAAAAAGTCCTGTAAAAGTACTGATTTTTGACGAGCCTGTTATAGTAGACACCCTGCTGCTGCCCTGACAGGACAACAGCATTATATCTTTGGACAGACTATATGTCTGACTATATGTTGTACTATATACCCAAGCTTAATTTACCAAATTTTGCTGTTTACTTGATTATTTACTAAATCCCTACCATTTTCCCAAGAAATGCAAAATTCCTCACAATTTTCTGGATAATAATTTCCTGGGTCATTCAATTTACTTGTTGGTCGAATGGCAGGATTTCCTCTGGAATTACAGAATTTGTCAAAAGTCTGGCCAATTCCAGAGCACAAAATGCTTTGCCATGTTGCTGTCGTACGGTCGGAGTCCGGATTGTACAAAAGCCTACTCATGGCAGCCACGATCTCTCGAATTACTTACCATTGTCAATGACCATTATTAAAAAACTGAGGAAAGGGCAAACGTAGACATAACCAGAATTAAAATGAGGAGGCGAGAGAAAACATGGGCAAAGAGGAATAATCAGTATCAATCATGATTTGACAGAAATACATAGTCACGCTAAGTTGCGAATTGGCAACTGAATGATGACAAAGATAACAAGATATCGTCACCTTCCAGGCAAAGTATCACAAGCGCCATGCGACGTTTAAAAATTTCCGCCGCCATTTTATTTTTTTACAGAGAAATTGTTCAACAAAGCTGTCCGAAAATTTCACTGAATTTTCTTTGTGCTGCCGATAAAATTTAGTGAAATTTCCAAACAGATTCAACCAACAATTTCTCAGTAAAGAAATAAAATGGCGGCGGAAATTTTTAAACGTTGCATGGCGCTTGTGATACTTTGCCTGGAAGGTGACGATATACTTGTTACTTTAAGCGCCCTCACTGCTGTACCACCACTCCTGTGATCTAGGACAGAGATTGATCTTGGAATCAGTAACTGCTGGCTTAGTGAAAAACCAGTAAAAGAATCCAAGATGTAGATGTTGACGAAAAATACTCACCATCGAGTCCGTACTGCTTTTGGGTTTTGGTACAGAACATATGTTTTGCCCATTGTAAGATAAGCCCCAGAAAGCTCGGCCATTCCATCTGCAAAAATAGTTAAAAAATGTGTCATAATATATATACATATATATAGCATGTATATGATATATAGAGTGCATTCAAATTTTTTATTCCAAAAGCATTCCTGATGTTTATATTATCTGGTAAATGAAAGATTCTCTATTATTTTGATAATTTGAAGATTCAAGAGGTCAATAATGGTGACTCAGGTACAATGACATAAACCTCAATGACAGTATGTACTTAAAAGTTCCTTACCACAATTAATTTATGCGCACAAAAACTCAGTATTACATTGTCATAAATGTTCGGGAAATGACTGTAGTAAAAAGATAATCATTGAGAAATTCAGATGAAGTTAAAGGGAGATATTAATCTCACATCAGTAAAAGAGGAAATTCCTGGTTTCTGGAAAAAACTCCCTGATTCCCCTCTAATTTTTCAGTCCCTGAAGAATCCAGGATATGCCCAGTCTAGACACCATGAATTTGGGTTGAATAAAATTTAGATGCGGAAACACACCTTGCAATGCTTGAATTCTTACTTTGTCTAATAGTTCAGGAGCAAACTATAAATTCATTAATATTTCATCATATAAGTATACTCCTCAAAAAAGAAGTATACTCCAAGCCCCTCATATGGGGGGCTTGGAGGACAAGGCGCACAAGAGTAGTTTTTGAAAAAATTGAGATATTCATGAACTCAACTAAAACTGGTTTAAAAGTATACTCTGTGAAAAATTCCCGACATAGATCCACCTTTCAAGTATCAAAAAGTGAGTTTAAACTTCCTTTTCGCCATGAGGCTCCATGTGATTTCGAAACATCAATCACGTATTTCTCAAAATAGCAAAAACTACACTCACGTGCCTCGTGCTCCAAGCCCTTCAAATATAATTATTTCCTATATTAAAGTTGAGACTTACAATTTATCTGACAGAAGACTGTGGAATGGCTGGTTGATAACACCGGCAATCGGTGTTCCTGATTCTCTGTCAAAGATTCCGATTAAGATTGTGACGCATGCTAGTCCGCTTGAGTGCGGTAGACTTTCACTCCAACCACCACTGATATACTCTGCTGTTGAGTCTACAACAGGAATGGAACAATGAGGTGTTCGAAGTTCTTGTCCAGACATGCAGATATGACGATCAAAATCAATTGAATTGCGTTCATGGACAGTGTTCATAACTCACCTCTGAGTTTCAGGAGACATGTGGCACAATGAGCTCGATTTTTAGGGGCCATTGAAGATTTTTTAGGGGCCAGATTGACTTTTTGCCTATACATCACGGTTCATTTGGTGAAAAGTTAGACGCAAGATGTTTTAGTTACAGAACTAGTAACTGTAACTTGGGGGAAATTTCGAAAAATCACCAAACAGAAACATTAGGATTTTTTGGGGGGGAGGGACGATTTTAGAGGGCCATGTTGGTGCAGAGCCCTCATTTTTTAGGTGCCATGACCAATTTCTTTGGCGCATTGGCGCCTGTGAGTTTTGAACACTGTTCATGGACAAAATGTGACAACTTTTACCATTGAATTCTCACTGTTAAAACATGAAAAAGACGCTGTCACAACATGGTTCACCATATTTAGTCAATTGGGATGTTTTCTGTGTTGACTCAGTTGTGGTGACATAAATTACTATGGGAGACCTCAAATACAAAGAGGCACTGGATGCAGGAAGGTAACTCCACCGTTCCGTGTCTCAAGAGTCTCTCACCTGCCATGATCAAAGCAAATGCATGAAATTTTTACTTAATGTCTCTTCTCTAGCTCTCTGACCTCTTAAATTTTCATTTTTTATTACAGTTCGTTCTACCATTTTAAAGAACCAATTTCTTTGACTTTTGCAGCTTTTGACAAGTGATAGTCCTTAGATGAGCCTGCTTTATTCGGATTTTGGAATTAGAACCAAGGTTTTCTTATACTTCAAAATAAAGCTGTGGATTCTCTCATTTAAACAAGGTACCTAAATATTTATTTCTCGGTCACAATTTGTTGGCAAGATCTACCCGACCGATTTTCATGATTTTTGCAGCTATTGATAAGGAATAAACCCGTTCTACTTAAATTAATTTACAAGAGCTTGCAAGCAAAATGGGCCTTGGGAGACAAGAAAAGCTCTCTGAAAGTTGGGCTGCGCAGCAGCCAGAGTGCACAGCCCCCTTGTATTCTTTATGATCTGACAATGCTCTAGATGACAAACTTCAGAAAATACTTTTGATAGTTTTCTCTTTACAATATCAATTAGCATTGGATATCCTCAAATACGACAACCAAGGAGTGCTCTATTAACACCCAACACCTCATAAAAGAATATTATGATGGCTTATCGGTCTCAATGATCATTAAATAAGAAAAACTAGATTTTCAAGTAATGATCTGTGTTCTAACACTGCAGTTGAGCAGGTTAGCTTCTAGGTTGCAGCCTTCTAGGTTGTTTCAAGTGCCTTGGCTGTACCTATATTTTTCTAACCGTTAGTAAATGCTCAAAAATGGACACTTTGCAAACTCAACAGAGCAAGAAATTGACAGGTTGAGAAATCTAATACTATACCTAACAATTACCGATTGGATCAATCCATATCCCGAGCCTCGATAAAGGAACTTCTAGTTCGTAATTTGGCCAGTGGTCCACACTGACGTCGGATGAGTGAATAGTGGAGTGGATTTCTGCTGCCAAAAGATTGGCAGCTTCTGCATTGCCAGCGAGGACTTTACTCAGGAGAGAAGCTGTGTCAGTTTCTTTCTCTGCCACAGAGACGACGATGGAATCTCCTGCTGCATTGCTGAATTTGTTGTTTTCTTCTCCGTAAATGAAGTCTTTCAGGTCAGGAAACTGCAAGGAATTGAAGGAGTCTAGAGTTTAAAGATTTCATATCTGCAGGAAACTTTGGTTGGGAAGGAGCCAGAATAATTTTCATTGAACGTTGGAATCGTTTTGCGTTTTAGCCCGGACCTCAGGCACAGTTAGGTGCTTATTAACTTAGCTGGTAGGTACATACACCTACAACAACCCTTCTTTTGGGGTATCTTTTCCTCCTCCCCTCCCCCGCATCTGACACTTCTGTTCCAGATTTGGTCGCACGACGAGGAACTCATTTGCTCCCTTATTTTGAAATAAAAGGCTTTGCACTAAATTTTGTTCTATTAAATTTGTTGATCATCCTCTTGAAAACTGGCAATTTTCAGAAAACTCAAACCCCCATTAATTTGAACTGGTGGTCAAAAAAAGTTAGAATTGCTGGCTTCATGCTGGGTGCTTTAGAGAGAATGAGTGTACCTGAATTCAATAAAGGTGAAGGTCAGGCCTAATTTGGCGTTAAGTGAACCACAGGCATGTTCAATTGCGAATATATCTGCTCCTACCCAGCCGAATTGCCTAATTTTTTGGTTTTGGCCTATTGATGAAATGTACAATAATATATTAAAAGCTCATCAAAACGTATCAAGAGCTAATATGCCCTTACAAGTGTGCAGAGTTCATTTCAAGGATGCATGAAAAAATCATAGTGTCCTATTAAGGATGTACGAAAAAATCATAGTGTCCTTTCAAAATGCCTTGAAATAAAGGATACTTTTCCTGCACTTCCATTTTCTGCGATTTGCACATGAAGAAGCAAATACAAGACAAACAAACGTTATTTGACTTTTGGGAGGTCCCCATGGTAAAAGGAAAAAAATGAAAAGAGAACCAACCTTTCAAATCGTCATACATTAAACAGTTGTAGGATGTGAATAACGAAAAAAAAAAAATCAAAATTCAAAGACTTTGGAGAATATTTTTACAATGTCTTTAAAATTACCAATGTTACAGAACTTCAAAATTTTGAAAACGAAAATCAAGATATTTAAGAACAATTTGAGGCGTCATGATCCTATTATCAATGTTCATTTTCAACCTTAATAAGCCTCTTTGAACCTTTGAGTGATTACCACAAAAGAAACACATACTTACATCACATGGAATTTTTACAAACAAAAGGGGATAAAGTCAATGAAAAATTAACTATATCGCATACCTTTTCACCAACCTCGTGACGAACGACCTCCTGCACAAGGACATCAGCAAGTGTTTTGAAATCTTGAACGAATCGAGGATTTTTTTCGGCCTCTGATTTTTCTTGAACCAAGAGGGACAGCAGGTGGGGATTTTGACGACAGGCTCTGGCGATACGCCCTGCTTTTTCCGACAGAAGTAGTAGGTTTCCAACCAGTTCACAAGTCATCTTGCTGTGGAGGAAGCCAAGAAGAATTGTAATGATTAGAGAGAAATTTTTTACCGGGCCATTCACGTAAAATCAACATACTTAGGTAATGAAAAACTCAAAATTCACAAAATTGAGATGTTGGTGCCACTGTTCAAAAGAGATTTTCAAAAACATTTGGATCTGTTTAAATTTTAAAAAATTGATTGGCAACTCTGCATTTAAGGTCTAATGTACTCTCTATAACCTGTGTCACACTATCGAAGCTAGCCATCAAAATATCAAGGTCAGATGTTAAGATTGGCTTATTTGATGACATTATGACCCACGACCCACCACAGCACTTTATCTTGACATTTTGATGGAGAATTTTGATAATGTGACGCAGGCTTATGATCTAGTGTAGAAAACAAAATATTCTTTAAGTTTTTAAAACAGTTACAGTCTACAAAGCATTTTAAAAGTTTTTTCATGTCCTGCTAATAATTAATGTCCAACCAATGAGTTAAAAATGTGTGTGGAATTATAAAAATTTTCATCACCAAATTGTATTCTTATCAATGATAAGAAATTATAAAATAGAAAGTGAAAATCTTCTTTAAATTGAACTAAACTTGAAAATCCAGTGCATTTCAGAACGGAAGATGACTGTCAAATGTTCTAAGTGCAAGAAAGCAGTAAAAAATTCGGAGGATGCCTTATTCTGTGAAATGTGTTCTCAATGGGTGCACTCCATCTGTGCGGAAGTAGACAAGAAGGAGTATGACAGGCTTTTGAAATCCGAGGAATTATTATGGTACTGCTCGGAATGCGAGATAGGAGAGGTGCTTACTTACGAATATGATTACGAATATAATTACGAATATAAATACGAATATAAATACGAATATAAATACGAATATAAATACGAATATAATTACAAATATAATTACAAATACAAATATAATTAGAAATGTCTTCATTAAGCTTGTGGCACAGGAAGTCATGATCTGGATTGTTACAGACTAGGTTGTCAATGTAGGGAAATTGGTAAAGTAACATCTTGTAGGTATCTAGGTATTTATCTAGATAGTGGACTGTCCTGGAGATCTCATGTGGATCATGTAGTTTATAAATTAATTCCTGTGCTATTTCACTTAAGCAAACTCAAAAAATATTTTAAATATATATATATACATTATTTTCATTCTTTTTTTTTTTTTTCTTTCTTTCTCTTTTTTCCCGCTCAGTTTATTTTTGAGGAATTTTATTTTTCATTTTAATTTAGCCTACAGAATAATGGACCACTGTTCTTGTATTACTTAAATGTGATGAAAGTTAAATCGAATAAGTAGTTCAACTCTTTCCACTTCTTGTTTATCTAGCAATGTTACATACTATTGATGCAGAAGGAATCTAGTTATAGTTCGTGTGAATGTTAGGTCACCGAAGGCAAACTTCAAAAGCTTTGAATCCTCATTAAAGAGTAGACAATCTTTGTATAACATTATCATCTGCACGGAGACATGGTATACTGTGGAAAAATGCACTTGGTTTCTTTTGAAGGATATGTTAATCTTCATGCCAGCGCTGGTCTGAATAAGTCTGATGGCGTCTCTATGTACCTATATCAAAGAGGTATAAATTTGAAGAAATACCTGTTATAAGTACTCTGTTCCCGAGTTTAGAAATTAAGTTTAAAGCCAATAATACTGAAATGAGGGTTTCAGGTATTTACGGATCTCCCTCCAGACCAGCTGATACTGAATTTTTTCACAAACTTGAAAATAGCCTAATTAGGGATCAAAATGAAATGCTAGTTGTTACTGGCAACTTCAACATTGATCTACAAAAATGTATTTCTTTCAAATTGCTAACAAGAACAGCTGGTCACCTTACGAAGCTCAGGGTTTAGCAGGAGCTTCAATTGGTTAAGTTAAAGAAAAGAGGAATATGAAGTAAACATAATGCTCACTAAAAACTTTCAAGCCTGTTCCTTCAAAATAGAGTGCACTTGGTTCGATACTGATAATAAAACTCAGTTCCAAGAGCAGAATGGAGGTAAAATCAACACTAGGTACGACTACACAGGTGTCAGTAAAAAAATATTGAACCAGCACACCCAAAGACCTTGACATACTTCTCAACTTGAGCCTGATGCTTATTGATTTGAAATAATCTAGGAGACAGATGCTTGAAAATAGAAAACATGCCTCCCTCATACACAGTATTTTTTATAGAAAAGCGTATTTAAGTATGCGCAGAGCACATAGAGGGAAGAGGGCTGCTCACAAAATGCGTGACACTCTGGGGGAGGGGGGAGATTTGAGCCAGCCCGGCAAGGGCAGGGGGAAGGGGCATACAGGGCTGATTGAGCACAGTCTTCCATAGAATAATGTGCTTCGCAATCAGAAGCGAAACTCCCATATGAATGCGCTGAAGCAAACCCCATACTTGCTTACTATGATGCCACATTGTGCGTTCTTGAAGTGAGCGCTGCGGGACTTTTAAATTCCATGTTCAGAATTGTTTGAGTGTCTTAATTAAGTTTATTGATATGATTCGTCTTGAATGTGAAATAAACATTATTTATATGAGTTGGAAGTATCTAATTATGATAATCAGACCTGATATCGAACCGTATCGGCAGCCCTGATCGCACGGGCACGCATTTTTCAAATCTAAACAGTATTGTACTAGATATTCTACCTCTCCTTCGCCTCAACGTCCCTATACCAGTTTCGCTTCTGATTGCGAAGCATCATTATTCTATGCATCTTCCAATAACCTCTTCATTAACTTTGCACTAGCCTTTTCATCAACTTTGTACAATACTAAAAATAAGAGTTGTACCCAGCTTAAAAATTTTGGAAAAAGAGGATTTTTTAAATGAGACAGTTTAGAACTTAAAGCTCTAAAGCACAAGTAGGGATGATTAAAAAAAAAAAACTTAAAAAAAGACTATATTAATGCAAGGTGTAACTTTCAAAGACATATAGGAGGGAGTAGTGTCTTCTCTCTAAAACTGAAAGCTTCATGCTTTAATTTCTATCGTTGGGCATACATGCGTTCGTATGGACAACAGAGATTAGTCCACTGTATTACTCGTTGTCCAACTGAGCCCTATCTACTGTCATGTGACTTTGTTTACCTCCTCAAAGCTTAATGCTTCATTCACCAGCCGCAAGACATGCCAAGCCGTTGCGGTGAGCATTGAGCCATCATGACAGTCACCAGATGAAAAGCTTTGTTTTGATGGAGGTTCAAGAGAGATCGTGAAACTCGCAACGCTTCACCGTGTCATTTCAATTAAGGCCCGATGTCTATTATGAACGCACCTCTTATATACCTCAATGAAACTCGCTTTTAAAACGATGAGAAAAATTTTTGTCCCATGTTTTTACTGTGTTCTGAAGTTGAGGGCTTTTTTTTCAGGCGGATCGCAGTGGATCGCGATGAACATCGGTATTTATTTATTCCGTTCCTCAGCGTGATCCAAGCGTTCCAGGTGGATCAGGGTGGAACGCTGGATTGCTCAGGATTCCGATCCAGTGCGTTCCACTGCGATCCACCCTGATCCGCGATAAAAAAAAGCCCTTTTATTAGAAAGCAAGTTTTGTCCAGTTCGGCTGGGTAGCCCCAGTTCCAGGTTCGCACGAGTCGGAGAGACATGCGCTTCACAAGGTGAGCTCAACTCTCATGTTGTGATTGAGCTAGGGTTTAACATAGCAATTGATACTACAGATGGTTCTGATGTTTCAAGCTACAGTAACAGATAAGGGGCAGGCAGAAGAATGGAGAACAGGAATTGAATACGCATAGAAGGTTCACTTCACCATACTGACCTTCAATTTCAATAGATTAACTGGAGGCCCGCTTGTCGACTGGGTAGCTTCAATGATTATGTACTAAGTGCTTATCCATGACTTGGTGACACTATTCATTGGAACGATGAACAGGCACTAACCGAAACTTAATTTGATTACAGGTGCAGAAAAAGGTTTCAGTTGGGAATCTGACTGGTCGATAAAATCAATACTTAAAAAATGTGGGTCAGATAGCCATAATGAGTGGGTAATGTGGTCAATCTAGGGGGTATTGGTAATGTGTGACAAGACTGAATGAATGCCGAATGGCGAATTCGCGAATTGTCGACTGGATGACTGCACCGAACTGAACCAATACTGATAAGTGATAAGGAGCTAAGCTACTTGAAATTATTTGGATTTGGATGTAAATTGTAAACAAACAATTTACAACCTATTTTCCCAATTATTCCTCTATTCGAACAAAAGGAATCTTAACCGCAAATTCTGAACCAGACGCTTTGATTGGTCCAGAGCGGTTCATTCCAATTATTCCGAGTTGAACCAAAACAAGCGGGAATTTCAAATAATTCCGGATATCCTGTCTGCCAAATAGTTTCCGTTTCCGGTAAACAGTGTTGTCAGTTTAACGAGAATTTGTTAAGTAAAACTGACAACAATGTTTACCGGAAACAGAAACTATTTGGTAGACAGGATATCCGGAATTATTTGAAATTCCCGCTTATTTTGGTTCAACTCGGAATAAATGGAATGAACCGCTCTAGACCAATCAAAGCGTCTGGTTCAGAATTTGCCGTTAAGATTCCTTCTGTTCGAAAAGAGGAATAATTTTGTATCCACCAATCAAAACGCCTGTTGGATTCCGCGCAGGGAGCGCCGCTGTGTTTTGTTTTGATTTTTTGGCATGTTTTTTGGTTAACGCTCCACGTGAGTCTTTGAGATTTTATGAAAGTTAAAGGAATTTCTGTTAAAATCGAAGAGTCGCGAGTTCTAGCTATAACATTCTTCTTCCTATTGACACTATAAAAGACATGAAAAGTAGTTTCTGGAGCTCTGAAACTTTATCCCAGAAAAAAGTAGGGTTAAGCATGATGACCTTGATGTCCACCATTCACCTGTCTTATCACTGCTCTGTGTTATCACTTTTCACGTAGATTGGTCTTGCCTTTTACTGATACGTCGAGTTGAGTCCCAATAATTGTTTGTCATTTCCTGTAACTTTTAGTTTAGTTTTGTATTCGTAACTCAACATTTCAAGTAGAATATAGTGAGACAGAAAGCAAGGTTTTTTTACGTGAAGCAGCAAGCATTCTAAAGTGCTGATAATTATCCTCTTTAAAATTCACCAATATCCACTCGGTATGTAATTTTTCTTTTCATACTATTCCTAGCTCTAGCTCAGATATATGAAATTTCTAGGTTTCTAGAAGGAATCTAGACTACCTGCACCTCTCTCTTACTTATTCAAATGAAATTGGTTCCATATTTCTGAATGAAAACCTGGCAAACTTCTTATGCATAGTGACGCCCTTGTTATTCTGGTAGCTAAGCAGGAAACAAATATTTTATTCGAGTTATTTTCTTTCAGGTGGTGAAACTTTGCTGTCCAAGTTGCCCAACATGACATCAGTTGTGACGCATACAATTTCGGATGTTAAGATTGTGTCCATGGAGAAGTCGCAGTATGTGATTCCATTATCACTACTTTTCAAACAAGTAAGTCAAATCTGCCTTTTAGAATCATGATCAGGGGTTTTTGCAAAGCAAGACAGGGTTCTTCACAACAGGTTCTCCTCAACCTGTGCTGACGCGAGAGGGTTGTTATTGTTTTCTGCGGCTGAGGGCTGCCTTGCGCAGCACAGTTGTTGACGCATTCTTTATTACCTATATTGTGCGTAGGTTATTTTTCAGGTTTGGCAAGTGAAATCATGTTTTGTTTGACCCGAAGATTGAAAAATCCAAGCCCGATCAAAACCTGCCCATTTTTATGAAAAGTGTGTAAACCCTAAATCTATCTATGGTTCTTTAGTAAAACTATTTTAAAAGAAAAGCCAGAATGGAAATTTTCAAACTCCACATGCTCCTGTAGTTTCATTGTTGGTTTGCTCACTTTCTATTTTCATTATATTCCACTGGCCACTGTAATTAGAAAAATAATTTTTGCTGTTCATGTTTGCAGCCACTGCGAACTTTCCACACTCTTGCATCCATGCAGTCAGAGTAAAATTGACTTTGATTCAAAAGCATGATTTAGTTTTTGTGGAAGGAACAAACTCCTATCTGCTGGAGAATACGATTTGGCTCTCATTCCCTGTAGGGCAAGATTAGAAATTATAAACCAGGTACATATGGTGAGAGTTTCCTTTAATTTCATCTTTGCTTTCCTGTCTTTCAGAATGGAGTCACAAGACGATGGGACATTGTGAGAGCGCACCCAAGCGTTGTCATCATCATTTTTAATACGACAAGGAAAGTACTCGTCCTTGTGAAACAGTTTCGACCAGGTGATTGACTTCAATAATAGTAGAAAGTAGGTACCATACACATCGTTTGACCTTGATATTTTTAATCCTAATTTGTCCGTATTGATGCCAAAACTAGAAAAATACTTCTTGATTAACGATATTGCAAACTTTCCAACCTTTCACTCCACTGACGAAACCAGGTGGCTTAAGTCTGTGAAATCTTGCATGTTATTTTAGTCACCTCACTTAATAACACTCACTTAATAATATAATTTTCACTGCACTTTTTTGCATAGAAAAATATCAGTCTATTTTATTTCTTTTTTTCTCCTTTTTTTTAACAAAAATAAAATCATACTATTTTCTAAATCAGGTACAATCAGATACAGGCACTCTGATTTCACCATTGATGTGCCAATTTAAACTCATAGAAGCCAAAAAAACAGGCAAGTAATCAAGTTTGAATTGGATAGTTTCGATTCTTTCTTCCTCTCTAAAATTTTGCAAGGAAAACTGTCTACCTATCAAAAAGCGCAACCCCGGGAACATCTCTCAAAAATGTTCGACCAAGAAGTAGTTTTGATAATTTAAAATTTGCAATTTTTCAATTTTATCTTCTGTTTTGAAAGGTTTTTCAGGGAAGAAGAAATTTTAAGTTTCACGATCCTAAAAGAGTCAGATTTCTCCCTAAAATCTGGATGCGACTGTCCATGGAAAAAAGGGTTCTTATGGAAAAATTTGCATTAAGATGTAGCAATTTATACTTTTTTAACCAAAACAGACCAGAATTTCGGTTTTTTTGAACTGCAAAATTCAAATTGCTGTAGCTCTAATTTGGTGTGATATTTTTGAGAGATTTTTTGTCCCTAAGTATTCGGAAAGCACCATTCTCTGCTTTGGGATTAATTAAATTATTTTGCGATCTCATTTTCGTGTGGACAGCAGCAGATAAAGTTTGAGATTTTTTATCAGTTCTATTTTTTCAAAAATTTGTTGTTTATTAACTCTGTTAGCAATTTTGTGGATCAAGGATTAAAAACTAACCGATTATGGTCCACTCTACTTAACAGCTGTTTACTACGGAAGCGTTCCTGAGGAAGATAAAAAGGAAACAATCGATGCTTTAAAGTATCCAGCAGAGCTCGGTGTCACGATTGAATTCTGTGCAGGCATATTAGACAAAGATAAATCCTTGGAAGAAACTGCAAAAGAAGAAGTTCTTGAAGAAACTGGGTACGAAGTTGAGGCCAGTAGTCTTCAGAAAATCAAAACGTTTCGGTAAGTCAATTATGTACTTGAATTTTTAATCAAGTGCTTTTTATTGAAAAAGCTTTTTCTACCACAAAATTTTCGGTTATGTATTGAATAACAGTCTGCTGATAGCAAAACAAAACACCAATCAAACAGAAATCAAAACACCAAAAAAAACGATGCAAGAAAATATGGGCTAGACAAAAGAGAAAAAAATGTACATGGGGGATAAAGTGGACTTTATTTAGAAATCTTGCCATGCCAAGGAAAAATGCTGTATGAACATTTGAGAGTTGCCAAATTTCCTTTGATAAAACATGTATTTTCGACAACATTTTTATACTTTTCCTTTAAAATTTTCAGATATTTTAGATTAAATTGCGTACAAAATTGTCTGAAATTTTTGGAAAATAATATTCGCAATTTTCCTATCAAAGTCGGTTTTTATCAGAGGAAAGTTGGCAATGTTCGAAGACTTAGGTATACAGCGTTCTTCCTTAGCACGGCAGAATTAGTAACTACAATTTCTGGCTCATCTCTAAAATCATGTATGTGCACAGGGTTACTAATGGTGCATATGTTTGGCTAATCTTGTTCCTAATTGTAGAATGTTGTCCAAATTTGACACAGCAAACGTAAATGCATATAATAATTCATTCATTCATTTATATATGTAAATAAGCCAATCTGCCTTGAAAAAGAAAGCGTTTACTTCGAAGCCTTCCTGAATAAGGCAGAAAATTCCCCTAAATTGCATTTGCTTCTCTATATTGATAATGTAAGTTAAAGTGAATTTCATATTCCATTGCGTTTATTCAACATTTATTCCTTTCCTCTTTAACATCTTTAAACTACAAACTTCCATCAGTCAAAATGCTGACTTGGTTTTAATGTTTGAGCTTTTCTGAGAGCCGAAAATAATTCTGCCGTGCTCAGGAAGAACGCCATATGAGCCATCAGACACTGCCAAATTGCCTTCGATAAAATTCGAATTCTCAGTGAAATCTGCAAATATTTTTCCTTCCATTAGGAGAATTTTGATCGCTATTAGGTATAAATTATCTGGAAATTTCAAGAGAAAATATCCGTAACTCTCCTCGAAAATAAAGATTTTATCGAAGGAAATTTGGCAACTGTCAAATGTACATACAGCGTTCTTTTTTAGTACGGCAGAATTGTGGATAGAACATTTCTCTGGAGAGTGGTGTCAAAATTTCAATTTAACCCCCTGAAGTTCCCTTGCCTTTGGACTGTCACATTCTTAGGATTTTTAGGTGCCACAGGATTTTTGCAGTTCTGCAGAATGCAAAAATTCTGCTTACACAGAATGATCCATTTTTACTTACAATTAGTTTTTCTGCCTTTTTTGTCAGGTCCTCCGTTGGAATTCTTGGAGAAGAGCAAACTGTGTTTTACGTTGAAGTTACGGACAGTATGAAAAAAACTGAAGGTATGATTTTATTGCTTCCACACCAGCCGAATTAATGAAAATATTGAAACCAAATAAGAGCAGGGTATGATCAACCAAGTTTGAGATAAATTCAGATCAGTCCCGGGGGAACTAAAATTAAAGAAGAGAACAACTAAATGTTAACAAACCGTTGATTTTTATTTGAGAAATTTTAAAGAAAATAACTCAATATTGATGTCATTAATTCGATAAGAGCATCCTGCATGCAACAAAAAAGAAAAATTTATATACATCCCCCATATAATGTTGCTTGATACAGTTTAATAGCTTTTGCATATTAGACTTTTCTGAAGCGATTATCTTTTTCTCATGCAAAGGTCTCTGCAAACGTTTCTGATGATGTCAAGAGTATTAAAAATTTTGAGAAGGAAACACTTAATTTAAACATTTTTCACATCAGTCTTAACATTTTTTCATGCATGCATGCCACTTACATATAATCTAGGTACCTATTTTGAAATTTCTTATTTTTTTCTTTTCTTTTTTACATGTATGTATTATTGCGCAAATATTTGCTTTCATGTTCTCTTGAAGCAATAAGTCCTTCTACATTTTTTTCAGATGTTGAATCTTTCTTTCATAACACTTCATTAGTCTACAACATGGTGGCGGACGAGGGGTAGAGTCAGTAACTGACTTTCAGAGTATTGTTTAAGGGTTAAAGTGCAAGTATATTGGCACATTCAAAGAACCCAGGCTCGCAAGGGACAATCAACCCTCAAACAATAAATGAAACTGTGTAACTGACTCCACTCCTTAGCCGCCACTTTTCGTGCTGTAGACTATAGAAGTTCAGCCTTCCATTAAAAGAAAAAACTCTAAAAATGGACCTTCTTTTAATTTTTAACATGTACATCATATTTTTCTCTTTGAATCGTTTCAATTTTTTTTTTTTTTTTTTTTTTTTTTTTTTTTTTTTTTTTTTAACGTTTTTTATATAAAATCATATCTTCAAAGCAAGTGCCAATTTTTTCTATCCGTTTGTTTCTCACTTTTACTTCTTGTGTTCAGGAGGAGGAGTTCATGATGAAAACATAGAGGTCATTGAGATGACCCTGGATGAATCTGAAAAATATTTGAATCAGGAGAAGGTCATTTCATCAGGCGGTTTTTTGTTTGTTTTGCAGTGGTTCATGACGCATAAGAAACCTCTCTTCCAGTAGTTTTTTTACCCTCTTCCTTTTTACTTTTCCTCTTTAGTGCAATGGATCAATAGACAAGGCACGAATTCAAGCATTCTGATACATGTTTCTTAACCAGAATTTCAGGTAGAACACGATTCGCGCAACGAAAATTACTGAAACCAACTCCTGACGAAGATATTAACCTTTTTATTTCACATTGGTTACGCGGATTTTGAACTGCCCGCTCACAAGAAACTCAAAGCTCTACGTGAGTCAAATCGTGCACTACAACAGTTTCAGCAAGCCTCTCAATCGAGCACTGTTCATTTCCCACCATGTGTTGTTCGAATTATAAGCAATTTGCTATAGCTGAGCCAAAGCGTCAAAATTGAGGTTGTCAGATTTTTATATCGCAGAGACTGTCATGATCATGTTCAGCGCGATGTGAATCACGCAGAGCATTGAGTTTTACTGAGCGGGTGGTTTGAATTCACGCATCAGGAATCATTGAATATCTTTGTAAGGAGTTGAGTTCGGTAATTTATGTCGTGCGCATTGTGTTCTACGTGAAATTTTGGTTAAAAAACATGTATCAGAATGCTGAAATTCGTACCTTGTCTAGTGGTCCATTGGAAAACGTTTGGCTTTCATGTCAATTGAAATTCTCTTAATTTGATGTCAATACTCAGTCAGAGAACTGAAAACTAATGTGAAATCAGGCTTGATGAGCCACGTCTAGGCAAGACGCTAATTGTAAATAGTGATTTTGTTTTACCAGGTGGCTTTGTCGATGGCTGAGAAATAATACCCCCCTAATAACTGACAATTTTTTGAGAAAATGAGATAGCGACTTTGCCAATGGACCACTAGACAAGGTACGAAATTCAGCATTCTGATACATACCTCTCAACCAAAATTTCACGTAGAACACGATGCGCACAACGAAAATTACCAAAATCAACTCCTTCCGAAGATATTCAATAATTCTTGATGCGTGAATTCAAACCACCCGCTCATGAAAACTCAATGCTCTACGTGATTCACATCGTGCGCTAAAAGTGATCATGACAGTCCCTACCATATAAAAATCTGGCAACCTCAATCTTGACGCTTTGGCCTAGTTATAGCAAATTGCTAATAGTTTGAACAACACATGATGGGAAATGAACATTGCTCGATTGAGAAGCTTGCTGAAACCGTTGTAGTGGGCGATTTGACTCACGTAGAGCTTTGAGTTTCTTGTGAGCGGGCAGTTCAAATTCCTCGTAATCAGTGCGAAATAAAAACGTTAATATCTTCGTTAGAAGTTGTTATCGGTAATTTTCGTAGTGTGAATCGTGTTCTACATGAAATTCTGGTTAAGAAACATGTATCAGATTGCTTAAATTCGTACCTTGTCTAGTGGTCCATTCTACACAGTATAAAAATCGAAGCTTACTTTTGTTTGTTTTTTCCAATTATGCATGTCGATGCTGTAAGATTGCTGTAATTTTCAAAATAATTGCAATCCTAACAACAAAATCCCAAAATTTACGAAGTTGTCTCTTATCCTGAAGAAAAATAAAAGAGAAAAAAAAAATAAAACCGTCAATCTGCTGACAGACGGTACTGTTCCTTAGTCATCGATGAAAGTGTAACACTGACAGGTTTTTTAATTATTTTATTAATTTTTCAGAATTTTGTTATATTTTTTCTTTTCAAACTTATTATTTTGTATCAAATTCATTACTGCTTAATTGTTTTTATTGTTAATATTTTTTAACGGAGATAATGGTTTTTAACTCATTTAATGATTGTTTATTTCTACCTTTGATTCTTAAAGTTTTTTTTATTATTTTAAGTTGGTATTGTGTGTACCTGTGGGAGAGGATGCAGAATTCAGAATGCTCTATACTTGTACGGATAATTGTGCCTAGTTTTTAACTTAAACGTAGAATCATTGTCATGATCATTCTTTTTATTTTCAAGAGAAAATATTTTTCATTTTTTATGAATTGCCTTTATCAGTTTATCATAAACTTGCCCTATTTTACCTCCGTGTAACAATGTGTTACTGCTAGTTGTTCCTGATAGGATTGAACATTTAGATTTCTAAATTGTATTATATATCAGGCAACAGCTAAAACAATACTTGTCAACTGTTAAAAAAAAATCATTGGATCTGTAAAGATCTTGAAACAGTTCACACCAAATGTCTGTTCAGGTTTGATTTGATCTTTTTCTAAAACAAATTACAAATTTAAACTGAAAAACCATTTAAATTTACTTGTTAACTTAAACATTTTTACAAAACCTAGGAACAAACTTTTTCACACTATAAATACAACTTGATGAGTTCATCTGATACTGCAGAAGGAGTAAGTATACCCAAATCCGTGAATAATAACGTGATATAAGACGGAGGAGTATAATCAACGAACGGATGCTCCTTTTTCAAGTCTGTGGTCAATTTACTGGACAGATACTGAAACAAAAGAAATGGCGTGCTTTCATTTTCTACACATTTACAAAACTAAGAAAGGCACAACAACTTCATACAAAAGGCTGAATTTAACCATTTGTTTTGCTACTATGAAGTCCGCACAAAATAAGTTTACCCACTCCTAGAGTGCAATAGAAGATCTATCATCTTAATTCTTGTATTTATTTTCAATGCTAAATTGAGGTCAGTTGATCTTCTATCACACTCAAAAAAATGTAAACTTATTTGGCATGGACCCTAAGCAAATTTAATGCGCGGATCAATAATAGTTTGAACAAAATTTTGCAGGAGGGAACTACTATGCTGGCTCATTTCAGGAACAACGAATGTGCCATTGTTTTCCCTGTGCAGATAAGTGCTTTCACGGGTAAGCCAGAAATAGTAGTTTCTTCTTGAGAAATGAGGTCTAATTATGAGGAGTCAACCGTTATCATAGCAAAATCAGTTAACCAGGATCCTCATTTTTTAAAGCAGAAGTGTTACACTTTTAAAAATGCAATGACTATGCTAATAATGCAATTAAAGTAGAAAATAAAAGAAGGAAAAGTTCTCGTTTCTTGACATAGATAATGAATAATGACCAGAGAAAGAAAATAAAATTCAATGCGTATTTACCTTAAATTCATTAGGAAGATCTCTCTGATTCAAAGGGTACAGCCGGGAAAATTTGAAACTTTCAGTTAGAACATAAAATGGTTTTTTCATTGCTTGAGCACATACAGCCATGGTGAAACTTCCAATCTGCAATTACAAACAGCGACAGAGATAAGCAATTTAGAATCAATTCATTCAGTGGCGACTAAACGTGAAGACCAAGCATCCTGGTTTACAAAGTAACAGATTTCTTTTTATACTTCATTTTCTAGGGATGTAAATCATCCAGAAGCATGGCATGCTTTGCGATAAATCGATTGATCTGCCACTTTAAACTATGAAAGAGGATCGATAGACACAGGTGTTTGCAACAAACACCTTAATAATCGATTTTTTACCTTAGCTTCAAATGGGAAAGTATCGATTATCGATCATTCACGCCTCGCCCTTGAAATCATAATAGTTTCTTTAAAACGTAAAAGATTATTCTCAGTTTTTTAGAAAATATTATGTATAAAGTTTAACAAAGCTCGCTTCTTTCCTCCTGAAAATATAAAATGGGAGCGAAAATTTTAAACATTGCGACTGACATGCACTGATCACGAGTTTAGCCTTGCAGAACCATTTTTGTACATTTTGACTCTTGTTCGGTTTTCGTTCATTCCTGAAGTTAAATTTAAAAATCGAATGTTCAAGAAAAATTCAGAAAGACACTTACTTTATTGATAATTCCTCCACTTTCGACGACACTTTCAGCACCGACCATCACCATGTCAACACTCTCCATCACGTATCCTACAGCTGAGTCCAATATTAAAGTACACTGCACATTCTCTTTTTCCAGGGCCAATCGCATTTCTTCTCTGAAAGCATAATGAGTTCAAGTAGGGTTGATTTGACTTACGGGCCAGGGAAGAGTGAGTGAATAATTGAGTCACTGCAGATGATTAAAAGTCACCTTCTTTTAAAACTCATTGTAACCAAGAAGGAGTAGGAGAAAAAAAATTGTAAACCTATGTCAATATGGACAGAGATGGAGTCCAAAAAAAAAATGTAAATACTGAAGGAGATAAACAGCGAACATGAAAACTCAGCAGGATATAGAATACCGAATAAACTGTACAGTCAGATTTGTTAAGGCAGGCTGTCACAAAGTTTTTATTTCCATTTATCGTTTTCCTCCTAGATTAAAAAAGAAAGTAAGCTCCTTTAGGTTCAAACTTACTTTAAAAATATCTTGGATCCCAAGAGGTTGGAATATTATAACAGACAAATTAGTTACATTAACCTCTCAAAGCGAATTCATTGTTTGTAGAATTTAATTTTGACGTAATAAAATGGAACGTACCCAGTATTGTCGATGGATGAAACTGTGACGTAAACTTCGAAACGCTTATTAGCTCTAGCTGCTTCTATCATGGTCTGCAACACTGCTCGAGAATTTGAATGTGTAAGGACAATCTGCCCGAAAGAAAAAAAAGAAGAAATTAGAATTTTAAGTCTATTCCGCGACAGCATTTAAGCCTCCAATTTAAAGATGCACATTGAGACCACCTTCACTTGAAACCTCTTTGAGAACTCCTTACGAACATTGAAACTTCTAGAACTCCTGAGACAATTTCAAAGAGGTACCAGGCCTCACACCAACTAGCCAGGGGCTTTCCTTGAAATATTCTTTGGATTGTCTTGATTTATTGAAAAATATTCACAGTGAATTTTAGTTGATTTCAAGAAAAATTAAACATCATCCAAGATTTCAAACATTGTACTGTGTACAAAAAATAAAGGTGCTCATTTATTTCTTTATTTTCGACTTAAGCCACCAATATGGGGGAAAATATTTTATCCAGATAAAGCATGCATATTTTCTTTTCCTCTTTCGCAAAAAAAAAAAAAAAAATTGATACCTCTAACAGAACACATAAAGCAAGCAAAGAAGTCATCAGAAATCGATGAAAAAACCAAAGCTTACCGAACCATCATAAATAAAGGCACAGGCTTGTTTAGCAACTTTGCCTCTGGCTTGCAGGAGCTTCTTCAAGAATACCTCACCGCGATGTAACATGATGTCTTTGCACTCCTCAAAATTGGTCTGCAAATAAAAAAACACGTATTATTTAAATCATCACGAAGTTCAGTTAATCTTAACTTTGTAGGGGCTCACTTTTTTCATTACAGAGTAAGACTGCAGAAAGAGTTGCAAAGTGCTTACTGAAAAGAACTGTGTTGCTTGCAGAAACTTTTCCTACTTTTTTCTTTTGACATCTTGCACTAGAATTTAACGTTGCATTGACGGTAATGTTTGCATCTGTTCTTTGTGATTAATTTAAAGATTTAGTTTGAATTTTCATTGAAGTTAGTCTAATTTGTAGTCTCCCGCATAGAGGAACATGCCTCAATTGCACTGATTCATCATTTTTAATTGACATTTTATTTTTTTACAGAAGAATCGTCTTATAAATTTGCCTGGAATTTCCAGTGATTTTTTTTAAGCTTGAGAGAAAATATTCTGAAATTTTCGTACAAATTCGCAAGACGATTCTTCAGTGATGAAACAAAATGCTTGTAGAAATACTGAAACAGCGCGGACAAGATACATTCCTTCATGTAGGAGATGACAAACAGCACTAAAAACTGAAACTTAACACATTACTAAATGATTGGAACTTGTAGAACTTACACTGTGAGAGCTAATGAAATTTTTGAGTTTTGACAGATGAGGTAAAGAAGAGGTAGCACCAGAGATGGAAAAGAACCCCGCACAGACCTTATGGGAAATGGCTCTCTCTACAATCAGATGAAACTTGGATACATGGCTCAGCTTGTCATTCTGATCAAAAATTCTCATGGGCCGAAAGAGATCCCACAAGCGGTTTTCGAGATATTCGCCATTTCATGTGCTTAAATTGAGGTTTTGCGGGCCGGACCATTGTGCGGTGCTTCTTGTGCTCTTCCTTTCCGGTCCACTTTGGCCGCTCTCCGCTTCCACGCCATCCATATCCGAGGCTCCGACTCTGACGCTCATGAGGCTTTGCTCATCGTCGCCGAGCCGGGTAGTCTTATCACCGCGAGCGCCAGAGTCCGAGCCTCGGGTATGGGTGGCATGGAAGCGGAGAGCTGCCAAAGTGGACTGGTAGGGAGGGGCACAAGAAGCACCGCACAATGGTCCGGCCAGCGAGACCTCAATTTACGCACATAAAACGACGAATATCTTGAAAACTGCTCGTGGGATCTCTTTCGCCCCTCAGAACTTTAGATCAGAATGACTAGCTGAACAACATACCCAAGTCTAATCAGATTGTAGAGAGAGCCATTTCCCATAAGGTCTGTTCTGCGGGGTTCTTTCATGAATTTATTCGTGGTGAATTTCATGCATGAAATTTTTTGAAACTTTTGAGGATGCATTCAGGATGCCAAGAAACGCCTAGAAACAGTGATTCTAAATTTTGAAATTTTTTTCCCTAAGCCTTCCCTTGCGCGTTGCTAATGTTTTCGTTTAGTTTAGAGGATAGGTTGGGGTTTTTCTCTCTAAACTCCCCTTTTTGCCTCCCCTTTGTGTCTGGCATCTCTAGTAGAGTAGCATAATACCGCAGCATCAACAGAAAGACCACCTGAAACACTTTCAGACCTCCAAAGGTTTAATTAATAATTCCAAAAAAATATTAATAAATTTCAATTTTTGTAAAATTTATTCGAGCCTTATGAAATTTCACCTTCCATCTCTGTATAGCACTGTTTGTGAATTTAAATGCTACATTTTACAGTCTACTAAAAGCTTATCAATATTAAAATTGATGGGAGATGAAGGAATTAAATTGGTTGAGTTACCGTAAAGTCAAGTTTGGCAAGTGTGATAAATCGAAGGAAGAGTGCGCAGCCTGATGCTACTGCTGAGACTGGCATGTCAAAACTGCGCATTACATCAATTGCAGCTTGTAAATTAGAATCAAGGCCTTGCACTGTTTCCGCTGCGAAGAAAACAAAATGAAAATTATTATAGAAATTATTCCTACTTGATTACATTTGAATACTTAAATTGTTATACCTGCTTAGGAAAAGAAGTCTCATCTGACAGAGAGAGAAATACGCAAAATCATCTAAATAGTGAAAATTAATTGATAGACCCTGAAATTTACATCATAGCAGTGATAAGTTTAATCCCTTTAGACACACTGTTATTGCTTTTTTAGTGGCCTGACCAACCAAAACTACTTCAGTATTAATTTCACTTTTTCCTGATATATTTTGTTACTTACTTATATAGGTAAAAGCAAATGAAAGTTGCAAAAACATTTCAAAACAAAAGACGGGTCAGTACATACATCCATTATTTTTTACTATGGGAGAGGACATAAAATATGAATAAAGTGAAGGAGCAGACTTCGTCAAGAAAATGAGACTTAGAAATACTTACACTTATCGTGCTCTAATAATTTAAGTAAGGTTTTGATAGCGGCAATTCCTGCTGACATGTGTTTCTCTTTTTCAAGTAAGCCATGGAAGTACTGCTGAACTTCTGTGGAAGAAAAAGTAGAATATTATATCGGATAGAACAAAACTATAGTATGCAAAGCTTTCTGAAAATAATGCTCTGAGCTTTCCGGGTCCGAGTTTAAAGGAGGAAATCTTTAAAGAGATTAAACGTATGATTTCCTTTCAAATACATTATACAGTAAGGATGTCTTATACTTAGTTGTCCATTTCATTTTTACAGATGAATGTTAACTTGTTTGATAAGTGTGTAAATTGTGATATGACAGTCTTCAGGGCATGAAGTTATGAAACTTTTCTAGAACAGTTACCAGTAACAAACATGATTGTTGTTTTCTATTCTAACTCATGATTAGTCAGTACAAGGTCCTCTTAGATCAATCTCATGGGGCAAAAGCGACAAATTCAGCTGAATTCGAGAGGATCAAATTTATGTTCATTGTTAACAGAGCGTCTCGTTTGCACCAAATTCATGATTGAAGCTTTCTAGGAATAGAGCTTACCATTTCGATTCATTTTAGTTATTGAAATAGAATTATTGCGTATCACAGTCTGAGTTTGAGCATACTGATCAAGAGTCTTCGGAAACTCTTAGAATTTCATCATCGTCAATCTCTCGTCTTCATCGCACTGAGACGTTCATTAAAAAGGAGTGAAAGAGGTAAAAGCAAACACTGAGCAATCACAAAAAGTTATTAAATTCAAGACGATATAGTAACAAACACTTTTTACGCTTCAAATCCTAAAACTATTCCAATAAATCCTATATACTGTAAAAGTCAGTAACCACACGACAGCTGGAAAACAGAAACAGAAAACATAACCTCGAAGGCAAAACAACAACAGGAAGTTTGCGCAGAGCCATGCAGAGCGCAGCACTGCTGTCTTGTTCGATCATCTTCGCGTTCGGTTTTATCTTTATCAACAACTTTTGAATTTTGAATTTTGATTCCTAAATTTTAGTTGTCAGCTGGATGTGTGAAACTTCAAGTGTATCCGTGTGAAAATGCCACATAAATGATGTAAAACCTCACTTAATCTTCTTATTTTTACTCAGTAAGTATTCAGATCATCACTAAGTAGGTCTCACAAGGTTAGATTTTCCCTAACTGTTATCACTTCTTGTTCACCGCTGACATCAAATTGAACCCAGTCATTCATTTTCCTCCCACTTTCACCGTACATACATATTACAACTTCCACTATGATTTCTCTGAAACATTTTGATTGTAAGTTGCTCTAACCAGTCGAAACTGCTATGCCTCTCATCACTGTCCTCATCGTCATCACTCAGTCATCGTTCCTGCTCATCGGCCGCTCCAATCTGCAGACTACTTGATCACCCAGCAGATTCTTCTGTCAATGTTCCAGAGGAAATAGACGTATTTTTCATTTGTTGCCTTTTTTCCATCAGTAAATTTATCACACTTAACGTTAGACTGCTCGAGCAATTGTTGATAAAGTGACATGTGGCATCCAGTGAATCAGCTTATCAGTCCACATCATGTGAGCCGAGTTTGAGCTTAGTAAACCTTTTGATTTGTTAAGTGGTTCCGATCATCCACCCTTGCTTTTTAGTCCGTTTCCATGCCATAATAAAGGTTACATATCTTCCACCCTCCATCAAGGACTTGAAGTTTACTCCCTAAAGTAGACCCGTCACTTGTCCACACAACATTGAATCTTTGATCAGCCCTGAATTGGTGCTGTTCACCGAGTAAATATATCGATTCTGATGGGGTTCTGATGAAATTTCATGTGTTTAGTATTTGTTGTTGGACTGTACATACATATGATGAATCATCTGTCCTTCGGTGTGGACTCCAGGGGGCATGAATAGAGCAGACGCATCGTAGGTATGTTGAGACCAAAGTCAAGTATTGTTTAGGTCACCACTCATCACTTGTGCCATGTGAGTGCATGTATTAACCTGATGAGTGGTGCTGATTCGGAAGTTATCAGAGATTGACATTTGTCTCAACATACGATGCGTTGGCTCTAAGACAGCTTCAAGTACTTAGAAGGGATTTATCTAGGTATGAATAAAGTTTGAAAAATTCACACATCGCACATTGCAATGGTACATTAGGTAAGTATGATTTTTAAAACTTCCTCAAGGATGAATTTTCTTCTTTTTACTGACTGCGAAGTTGGCAATCTAAATTTTTGGTAGGTAACTGCTCCAAGCAGCTTAAAATGTATTAATAAGCAAAATATTGTGCTGTATACACACTATTAGCTCATGTGTTTTAAAGTAAAAAATTTTATTTTGTTTCAGGAAAGGCAGATGTTTCATCAATCTTAATTGCGTGGGTTTTCTGCGCTTGAGCCTACAATGGCTAATTTTACTGTCGGCAGCCGCGTTGAAGTTACCGGCAAAGATGTTCAAGGAACAGTTGCATTTATTGGGCCAACATCATTCTCTCAAGGGAAATGGGTTGGAATTATCCTAGACGAGCCAAAAGGAAAAAACAATGGCACCATCAAAGGGAAGCAGTATTTTCAGGTCAGCACTTTTGATTGATTGGATTCCATTTTGCAGTAAGGAACCACTATTTCTGGCTCATTTTAGAAACAACATCTATGTCTTTGATTTCTCTATGCAGGAAAGTGCTTTTGGAGAAGAGCCAGAAAAAAGGCTTATTCCTTATTGAAGTCTCCGTTCTTTATTGCAGAATGTAATCCAACTGATAAATACTTAAAATCTGATATGTAAAGTATTATCGTCTGCTGAAATTTTCTACAGTAATGACTCAGGAGTTGGATGTCTAACGGCAACTTTTTTGTCCTCAGAAAATGAAGTGATTCCTTCAGAAGGATCATGAAGAGAGTAATGTATAGTTTTTTTTTTTTTTTTTTTTTTTTTTTTTTTTTTTTTTTTTTTTTTTTTTTTTTTCTGTCGCAACTATCCTATAAAGGGAAATTTTAATTCTATTATGTGCAGGGTTCCCAGATGTTACGACTTGTCGTAACATTTTGGAAAAAGTGCTGATTTTTGCAAATTGGTGTGAAATTTGTGCTGATTTTGCATGTGTGCTGAATTTGTGCTGATTTTTGCCAATTTTGTGCTGATTTTTGACAAATATGTGCTGATTTTTCTTGGGTAAACGTACTTTCATGAAAATAGGCGGTATTTTCACGTTTTTTTGGTGGCAGCATGGAGTGGAGGGAGGGAAAAAGGGAAAAATGAGAGAAAATGGGAAAACAAACAAAGAGGCAAGCAAAGCAATGAAGCATTTTAAGCAAGCTTTTAATAAGTTTTATCTTAATTCAGACGATTTTAACTTAATTACGTGCTTGTGTCACAGAATTAGAATAAAGTATGCAGAAGCCTAGGATCCCCTCTCAAAACTTCTCATCCTTAAAATATGAGTCCTCTGAGATGCAATATCACGAAGTCTTTTCTAATATTTCAGTATTTTTCTCCCTCAACGTGTATAATTAATGCTAGAATATCTTTCCGAAAAATAGTACATAATGGGAACATAATTAGAACATTACATACATAAATAGAATTTACATTCATAGAATTACATAATTAGAAGTATGAAATAATCTCTTTTTTTTCTCTGACGGTCTTCTGCATGAGGTGACTCATTCAAATTTAGCGCCAGAGACGTGACATCAGTGCTGCTCTCTGCGCAAGCATGACGTTCCCAGCCAGGTTGTGTGGTTGTGTGCTTCTGTGCTCTGTTTGGCAAGTGAGACAGGCGAAATTATCGGATCTGCAGCTAGTTGTGGGTTTTGACCGTTAAAATCTCAGTAGTTAACTTTAAATTAGGTTTTTTCGAGGAAAATTTCAGAGTGCTGAAAAAGTGCTGAAATTTGATGAGGCTGAGTGCTGATTTTTGAAAATTCCATCTGGGAACCCTGATTATGTGATGCACCGGAGACCAAGGGGACTTACGGCGAATTTCTGTAACTAGATTCAGTTGAGTTTTTGACCTACCAACTACTTCCTTAGAAAAAATGAAATTCCCTCCGCACACTAAGTAGTGCAACAATGCGCCTCCATCACTTGATTTTCATGCCGGCATCAATGATGACCACTTCTAAGATTCACAGTAAAGTGAATGGACGGAAACTTTAGCCTAATCTCATCAAGCAACTGAGTTTGATCCTTAACTTCGGCATAGCATTTTTCTCTTTCGGTTTGCAACCCTGCCGATCTGGTTGAAAAAGTTGATCGAATCCTTCACGGAGATTCGCCTTTAAGATGCGTTAGAAAATTTTTCAGGAGAGCAATGAATTGCAGTTCCAGACGAAATTACCGATTTTCAGTTTTTGATACCAGGTAATTGATTTTTATCTCTCTGAAAAGCATGTAGTTAAACTTTTATGTCATACCCTCTTTGCATTTTCAACAATGTCATACGCAAGCTTTTTAAGTGAAGATACTCAAAGCCGGCAACAGCGTGAGGATCCCCATCTTGACTCAGCTGAGCGGCCGTTATGTATGAAATGCACATGTATCAACATCCTTCCCCCCCATTTTCAACCAAAAATTATGATTACTTCCCCTTGAAGACTGAAATTTCAATGTAAAGTATGCTCTTTAACAAAGAAACTTTCGTTTTTAGTGTCCCGACAACTATGGAATGTTCGTTCGTCAAATGCAACTCACTCTTATCGATGAGAGTGGGAATCGCATTGATATGGCCAATTCTGGATCCACGTCTCTAACATCCCTAGATGACTCGACCTCTTCTAAGCTGACACCTCCAGGACAGCGTTCCAGGTTGAGCAGGTAATATTTACAGTTTTTTTGCTTGTCCATAGTTTTGACTAATAATCAACTCTGGCTTCGTTTGGGAAGGAGGTAGTGTTGAATAGATAGTAAAAATCTTACATTAGCGGTGCCAATTTTAGATAGATGATAGGCTAATGAGTTAGATGTGACCTTCTAAAACTAACCCATTGTTTCATGTGGTTTTTTTGGTCTTTTTCTTCGGTCAACTATTTACTTTGTTACTTTTAAACATAAGCTATAAGATGAGACATCCAGATTTCCTGTTCTTAATAAAGTTTTTGCTCATTGAGGGAGATTTTTCAATTTCCTGGATTGTAAAATAGATCCAGAAATTTTGGGAATCGCGCATAATTGTGAGACCTTGCCTCACTTTTCCAAAAATTGTGGGAACAGTAAGTCCCCTGCAGTTTTGAAATCTTTTGCCGCAAACCTTGTTCCCTTAATTTTCTCAGTTCATGATATGGACTGGACAATTCGGAAATTGCAAGCACAGTTGTGGAGGCCCTCTTCAGTTTTGCCAATTTTAAGCAATAAATGCGAGTTTCGTCGCCTCAAGCGGAAGAGCTATTTTGAGCTTTGCAGTCAATTTTAGAGAAAGTCAGCTGCACAGTTTATTACAACTTATTTTATTTTTGGAAATCTTGAAACTTTTACTTTCTTACCTCTTGCTCATCAGAACCAACCATTTTTTCCTTTTCATATCATCTACTGAAATATTGCTGCAATTGGGTCTTTAATAGGCAGTTTGAACGTCTTCGCTGGGTGAATTGTACTTCAACATTCATTTTACAAACTTGTCATCTCATACCTTCATCAAACTGTTGAAATATTTGATTAGAATTCAGCATGATATTTTTATCTCACTAACCCACCATGAGAAGTTACCTCAGAATGTATTATTTTCATAATTTCCCTCGTCTCTTCAGCCCGAAAAATTTGGAGCAAATTTTCATGACATAACCATGGAAGTTACTCTATTCATGTTGATAAATGAGAGTTAAATCCGTTTTGTAAGGGAAGTCTTTTTCATAAAATAATCATGAACAAGTGGTTACTCATATGGATATGTACTGTTACGGAGTTCATTGTTTTTGAGTAGTTCCCAGTTGAAGTAGAAAGCCTTCATCAAACTTATTAGGTTAAAATTTAGTGTCCATAATCATCACAAAATGTATTTCAGAGTAATTTAGGTAACTTTTCTCTCCCTCAGTAGAAATAATTGATTTTGAATATTAAACTTTCAGTGCTTTCTAAATGTCATAATATTAATTATGTATGCTGTTTAACCCTTTTGTAATGTTGACTTCATCCGCTTGCTTTACATTGTTGAAACAACATAGCAATATCCGGAAGCGTCCAGAGCCCACTGTGTAAGTTTTCATCTTGTCTCCACTATTTTTTTTTGCCCATATTCATGTAAATTACACGCTGCCAAGATATGCGCAATTCTGCTTTTGTTTTCTAACATCTTTTGTTGCAAAGATGAAGGAACATGAAGCAAGTGTTTCTTCAATTTTCAAAAATGTTATTTGCACCTGCAGTACTTGTCATTTCAAAATCAATACGTTTTCTGCTATTAGTCCTACTTAACCAAGGATTTTTTTTTTTTTCTATTTAAATCACTGATAAAATATTCTAAGCCTACAAAATCAGAAAGAGATTTAAAAATTCAGCTCCTGGTTACAAAGTGACCTCAGACATTATCTTACGAATTTTCCTCAATTTTGTTGCTACCAGCATTTGAAGATAGTCTGAAATTGTGGCAGTTGTCTTTTGTGTAAGAGCCACACATGTACCTACCATTGGTTTAAAAAAAAAAAAAAAAAAAAAAAAAAAAAAAAGGTTTGATTGTGAGTTATTTCCTGTGTGTCAATATTCAATAAAACGAGTGAGGAATAACTTAATCAGCCTAAAGGAGACAGTAAAGTAACAACTCAATCTGGGAACTAGCTGTTGCAAAATGTAAAAGATTAACAAACTTAAGCAATAAAACAATACTTGGTCTTGCCCAAATGGCAAATCAACAACTCACTTTTGCTTTCTTTTGCCTGGTTAAAAAAGAGGTTGTTACTATCTCCAAGGCTTTTTTTATATATATAAATACAATCTGATCATTCATATTTGTAGCAGCTTTTCCTTGGATCTAGTTGTTATTCTAAGTGTGCATCATTGATTAATGATTTTATTGTAGAGGACACTGTGAGATTCTTTATAGTAATCAATGATGCTACATATCGATTTCTTCCAAGGGCATTATCTACATTTCATATGTGATTGTAGGTTCAAGGCATTTCTGTTAAAACTGGAATTAGGAACGCGCTGTTGGGGCAGATTTTTCTTCTTCAGAATTTAAGCGCTAAAACTGTCAGAACATGATTTTGTGACACAAAACTAATGTATTAGAGCCCAGTTCAGATGACTTTGCCTCTTTTGCTGTATGTGCAGGATAGGGAATTCCCTCTACCGCGCATACAGCTAAAAGGGTACTTAAAAAAGGGCTGAAAATAGGTATCAGGAGATGGACCATTAGACAAGGTACGAATTTGAGCATTCTGATGTATGTTGCTCCCTCAAATTTCTTCATAAAGGACCACTCACGTAACCATAATTACTGGAATCAACTTCTCACCAATATATTAACATTTTCATTTTGCAGGGTTTATAACAGATTTGAATTTCCTGCTCTCAAGAAAAACCAGACTATGTAAATCAAATAGCACACTATAACGGTTTGGAAGGCTTTTTAAGCAGGCTCTGTTCCTCCCCCATTCTGTGTTGTTCAAAGTGTGGACAACGTCCAACAGCTGAGCCGAAGCACCGAGATTGAGATTGCCCTATTTTTTAACCGCAGTGACTGATGCAGTAATGCTTAAAAATATATTTCACTCAAGTAGATTATGGTTTTTTTTTTTTTTTTTATGAGAGGGATGTTTGAATTTATGCATAAAAAAGTTGATATCTTGATGAGGAGTTACTTTTGATAATTTTTGTTGTACAAATCGTTTTCTGCGTAAAATTTTAAAAGTAAAACATCTATCATAATGCTTTAATTCGCTCCTCATATAGTGGTCCATTGACAGGGTGTCTACAAGTCCGGAAATAGTACTGATTTTTTAAGGGCGATCCAGAAGTACTGAAAAGTACGGAAATTCCGCAAGAAGGTCTGGAATTTTTTTCATTTTTGGTCATTTTTGTCGCAATTTGAGCGAGAAATTCAAAATTTTGAAATTTTTCGAAATTCGTTAAATGGAGGCACTGAAAAAGTACTGAATTTTTCTGTTGAGAGAGTACTGAACTTCCTCGAAATGCACTGGAAAAGAACTGATTTTTGGCCAGCTTGTTTTACTAGACCCCCAGATTGAAGAAAATCTTGGGATCCCTTACCACTTGAACTTTTAGATAAATATCTGGCCTCATCACTGCCATGCTAAGAAAAAACGCAATGAATGAAAATAAATGAAGGAATGAACATTCGAGCGTTACTGACCTGCCCTGGACGAAAAGTTTATGTTTGAGGAAAATTATGAGTATTTTTTTCTTCAAACTTTTTTACGATTTAGATTCAGTTGCGAATATAATTCTCTGAAATAATATAAGACGAAGAATGATATTCACATGTTTTTCTGAAGCTTCATACAGCGTTTTTCTTTAGCACGGTGGATTAGTTCATTGGACCTACCTAAAAGAACTGGATGCATTCTGAGAGTTGAAGTACATAACGATGGCCAAAGTGCTAAACCACGTATCTCCATTGCTGTGTTTCAAAATGTCTGCCCCTATTTTATTGTTCGAAGAAAAACAAGTCAACCATATAACTTAAAATTTCGACGAAATACTCTGCCATTAAAGAATAAAATCGAAGACATTTTCAAGAAATTAAGTGACTAGTTTTTTAATGAAAAAATAATTAAGTAGGACAGAAACTCTGCAACGTTGCGAACAGAGTTACGTCGTTTCGCACTTCGGCCGTTAATAAACTGTGTGGAGTGCTCTAATTTGTTTCTGTCTTTTCTTTACCACATTATCGCTGCCACTTTGTTTCGGATTCTACTATTTCGTTCCTTTTATCACTCTTTCGCTGATCCATACTCATGCTGTCATAGTGTTAGACGGAAATCTTCGCCTGCGACTAAAATCACGATGTCGCAAGACTCATTTTTACCTTCATCATCATCATCCTCATCTTCGCCTTCTCCCGCATTGAGGTAGCTTCTCCTTTGTATGAATTCGGCGTGTCGGTGTCATCTATCGTAGCATCGTAATCAGCATTCCTATCTTTCCTGCGCTTGTTGATTTGTCCGTAGTTTTGTCTATCTTTGTCTTGCTTGCCAGTCACTCTGGTTCCAACTTTGTAGGCTAAATCAAAACTTGAAGAGAATTGTAACGTCAATTTTTCTTATTTACTTTTTTCTCTTTTTTTTGTGAGCAAATGTCATGGATACGTCTCAGGCAAATAATCAAATCAGGCATTTTGCCTAATGCCGAGGCAAATAGTCAAATAATCTAACTTGCATCAAAATTCTGGTTTGTTTGCTAACTTTAGACAAAATAATTATTTGCTTACTCAACAAATATTTCACCTTAAAAATTTGCGTCTTTTACAATGGGATCTATGATAATCTCTAGTCCTGGATTTAAAATTTATCTCAAAGTTCTCTGTATGTCATGAAATATTAAATTTTTCAAATTTTGACGGTTAGAACATATGAGGAGTATTTGGAGGAGGTGTACATTTTTTCAGTCAAGGGGGGAAGTAAGTAAATTTGATGAATTCTAACTTTCAAAACATTCATACTCGTGAGATCCTCGTAAAAAAACGTACTAAACCTCATGAATTTTTCAAAATGTCACCATTTTCCCAGGCATTTGATAAAATGACTGAATTGACTAGTTGCCTGCAATAGATACAATGCTTTGGTGTGGCGTCAATGATTTTACACAGTTTTTAAGTGCTCACTGTATATTTTGTCTTGTACTCATGACTTCACCTTATTTTACACTTATAACTGGGTCGCGTTAAACAGAAAGGAACCAAGCCACATCAGCTATTGCCAAATTTAATTGGGCAATTTAATTTTTTACATGAAAACGGTTGTGCGGATTCTCGGGCAAATTTCAGCTTTTTTGCATCATAAGAGGCAAATTCTTTCAAATTTTCAAAGGAATCTGCACAAACGTTCTCTCATAAAAAATCAAATTGCCCATTTAAATTTGGCAATAGCTGATGTGGCTTGGTTCCTTTCTGTTCTACGCGGCCCAACTGTCCACAAAGAAAGGGACTTCAGCACCAAAATGCTCGGCACTGGGATCATGATATCACTGCTCAGAAAGGTGTTCTACAAAATATTCAGCTTAAAAAATGTCACATGTATTGATAAACAAAGGACTTGCGATCTTTTAAAATTTAGTGTTAAAAAATACAATCTTGACCAAAAGCACTCGACGTTTTCAATCCACTATGTCCATAATTGTTGAATTGAAATGTCACCTCTGGCTCTTTGGATGAATTTAGTTCAACTTTATTACATGTTGCCTAATTTTCTCTCATGTTTTATTTTTTCAACATGAAACTAAACTTTTTATGAATGTCCTCAAGATTATGAAGAAATTGCTCAAAAGATTTCAAGTTTCAGTGAGGCTTGGTTTTCTGTTTAAAAAATTAAACATCAGAGAAAATTAGGCAACCTTTGATGTTGTTAGATTGATTGATCAATCCGTCCAAGTAATATCACCTAAGTGAATTGATCTGCTTGCCTTTGATTCTTTTAGATACAGTGGAGTGTTCTTTGTCTAAAGACTCATATTCCAATTTTTTGATCAGCTGAACAAAAACTGCACTTCTAAAAAGTTTTACTGATTGAGAATATCCAGTGAATGAAATGCAGTCCAGCAAGTTGACGCATATTTATGTCAATGGGTAAAGTCCAAAACGATGTATCGTATCTCCATTGCAGTGTTTTAAAATCTCTGTTCCTACTTTATCTTTTTGAAGAGGAACAAGTGGACTATTTACTGTGTAATTTCCATGAAGTAATCTACTAATACAGAAAAAAAATCAAGAAATTAAGTTGACTAATTTTCCAAAGAAAAAATAAAGCATGACCGAAAGTCTGCAACGTTGCAAACGGAGATACGTGGTTTTGCACTCCAGCCAGCGATGTGCATACCTGAAATAATGGAGATGTTACATGTGTGAGGAATTTGCGATTTGACTACTGATTCTAATGTAAAAGTTCGCAAGAAACACGATGGTGCCACTGGTTTTCTCTGAAATCAACTCCCAAGCTCAAAAAAATCTCTCAAGTTGAGGCCAAAATGGAGGGGATATCCCACGCTATCCTAAGAGTCCACCTCTACATCAAGACAAACTCTCTATGCCAAGATAGGGAGCAAATACATTGACAGGGCTGCCACTTTAATTGGGGACTCCAAAACTGAAAACACGGCAACCCTGCTAATGCATTTGCTCCCTATCTTAGCATGGAGAGTTTGTCTTGATGTAGAGGTGGACTCTCAGGATAGCGTGGGATATCCCCGGCCATTTTGGCCTCAACTTGAGAGCTTTTTTTGAGCTTGGGAGTTGATTTCAGAGAAAACCAGTGGCACCATCGAGTTTCTTGCGAACTTTTACGTAAGAATCAACAGTTAAGTCGCAAATTCCTCTCACATGCAACATCTCCATTAGAAGTTTGTTGTGTGAGTTTCTGTGTGTTGTCCTGTGGTTTTCTGTAATGTAAATGAAACATGAATTTCAAGAATCCAAACCCTAATGCTTTGTTTAAATTTCAGCTCTCGGTTATCTCTGGCCAGTTCAAAAAGTGGCTCCACTCCGTCAAGGAGCAAGGAAGATGTGCGACTATCCACCGGAACCCTCGCTGACTCTTCGTTGTCAGACAATTCAACACCGTCTGAGGCCAAATCCGCTAATGGTCAGCAAGATCCACCATCGCTTCAGAAACGTGCATCCTTCGTAGAGGTGAGTCTTGTCCCTCTCAGCTCACGTTCAGATTGCCGTCTTGTCGAATTTTGCGTAGTTTTGTCTCCTGTGCTGTCGCTCGTAACCGTATTGAAAGTAGTTTCCTAGGATCCATGAATTTGTCTCGAAAGTACGAGAAATATTTAAATTTGTATTTGCACCTGACAGAGGAAGGATTTTTACCTCTTAGAAATGTTTTGCTGCCTGGATTTTTTTTTTTTTTTGCAACAAACCGTTGTTTTAGCCTTTGTAATGAAACGGTGCAACGCCATCTGGCATCCATAAGTAACCATAATTTTTTAACTTGGTGAATTTTGAAGTATTAATGATTCCTGTCCTGGGCAAAGATCATCCTGTATAGTATACGAATGTTTAGCCGGCGCCGAGTCCCTTGGTTGTATGTACATTCTCTTGAAACATTAGGGTACATAAGAGGTTTTCCAAGAGGAATGGCGACTAGAAAATGGGAAGGCCAAAAATTTGCTGCATTTCTGTAGTAAAGAAACTCTGAACTTAAGGTGATTCGATGGACGCCATATTTTTTGTCAGAACGGCATGCGATATATCGCATCAACTGGTTCCATTTTTTCAGCTACTTGTCATTTTTCTCGAATTTTTAGATCGCAATTCTGTCGTCAGGAGTCTAAAGCACTCACCAATTTTAACAAAGAAATTCAACGTAATAAAGGCGTGGTTTTTTTTAGAGAAAAAATATCGCATTCGATACTGATATCGAAACAGCACTCGAATGCAATATTTTCTCTCTAAAAAAACCATGCCTTTATTACGTTGAATTTTTTTGTTAAAATTGGTAGGTGAGTGCTTTAGTCTCCTGATAACAGAATTACGATCTCAAAATTCGAGAAGAATGACGGACGAGTAGCTGAAAAAGGGAACCAATTGGTGCGATATATCGCATGCCGTTTTGACACAAAATATGGCATCCATCGAATCACCTTAAGTGCAGTGTACCTCCGTGTTGCTCTTACGTGTGATCAATATTTGTAAGTACGTATTAACTTGTTATTTTTTCCTTGCGAAATCAACTGTTTCCCCTTCAAAATGGGTCCAAGTAAAACAAAGTCATGTGGAATGATTTCAGCAAAAATCCTGTTCTTTTTCATCTGGTTCGCTACTAATTACGTATCACCATTACTTATGTGCTGTATTTCAAAACTCAATCTGAGTATATTTGAAACACCGCATCAGTGACTAAACCACGAAACCTTATATGTCTGTTCAAGACATTCCAGACATCTTTTGCTGTTGTGATTGTTGATGAGAGAACTAATCAATCAGTCTAATCTCTTTAAAACTTTCAAGGTTTTTCTTCTCTGTGAAAATACCAAGCACCTGGGTCAATTCGGAAAAATAAATTAGAAGTAAAGATTTCGAAATTGCAAGGCTTGTGAATACAGTCACATCGAAATTCAGAGAATCAGAAATCCACCAACCGAAAAATAGAGTGCTGTATTTCCTCCAGTTGTAGTTTCTTAAGGAGTAAATATACTTGAACTGGATTGAATTTTGCATTGAAGAACTGCAGTTTGTCTCATTCGGTAAATCACCCATCTACATAGGGAAAGTAACGATAAATGTGATGTTTCTAAAATGAGTCAGAAATGTTAGTTCCTCATTGCAGAATGCAGTTCAACTGATCCGCGCAATCTTGATACGAAGAGGTCCAGATGGTGCTGCAGTGCATAAAATCGTCCATTACATCGAATGTTGTATTTCATTAATACCTTGAAAGACTGGTCATCGCCCGTTATCGTACTTTTGCAAAACTCAAGCTAGTTTACACGGAACATTACCATCCTTTACTCTCAAATGCAAACTTTTCTGACAACTGGCGAGTCTCTGGATCTTAAGGTGATTCGATGGATGCCATGTTTTATGTCAAAACAAAGTGCGATATATTGCATCGATTGGTTCCATTTGTTCAGCTACTTGTCATTTTGTCATTTTGAGATCACAATTCTGTTGTCAGGAGACTAAAGAATTCAGTTACCAATTTTGACAAACAAATTCAACGTAGTAAAGGCGTGGTTATTTTAGAAGAAAAATATCGCATTCGATACTGATATCGAAACTGCCCTTGAATGCGATATTTTCTCTCTAAAAAAACCATGCCTTTATTCCATTGAATTCGTTTGTCCAAATTGGTATGTGAATTCTTTGGTCTCCTGACAACAGAATTGCGATCTCAAAATTCGAGAAAAATGACAAGTATGTAGCCGAAAAAATGGAACTAATTGATGTGATATGTTTCATGTCGTTCTGACACAAAATATAGCGTCTATCAAATCACCTTAATATCCATTTTATTACTACAGAGCGCCCACCACAGTGAAAGTGCCAGAAAATGCAAGTAACTAGAAAAAAAGTACGCTTGCTTTTTTCAGAAACGTTTAAGTTTTTCATATTTCCGACTATTCCTCCTTTCTTTTCATCCTGAAAGTTCCAGAACCATAAAATCCTAATTGAAGGAAGTGTTTTACCATCAATTAATTTTTTTCTCTTTTTTCTATGAGTTGAAAAATCTTCGAAACAGGGTTGCCACAGTCAGGGAAAACTGGGAAATGTCAGGGAATTTTGAAAAGTCAGGGAAAACCGGGAAATGCCAGGGAAAATGACGAAAAAGTCAGGGAAAATTTGTTAAATCACCTTCATTTGCTTTCTAAAATGGGTTTGCGGTTTTGAACAACAAATGCCTGAAAACTATTTTCAATTATGTCTTCTTAACCATCCGTCCTATCTTCAATTGTCAGGGAATTCAACCAAAATGTGTCTGGGAAATCAGGGTAATGTCAGGGAATTTCATTTTCGAAATTCTGTGGCAACCCTGACGAAAGTGTGAGAAAATCGGTCAAATGTCCGGGTCTTCATCTCATCTCGCAAATATATTCATTTTTTTGCTAGCCTTGATAATGTAATGGTCAAGGTAGTTTGTTGTCAGCATGAAGGTCTCAAGTTCTATCCTCGGTGGTGACAGGTTTTAAGAATACAATCCCATAGAGGCATATGCTCAAAAAACATTTCATATTTTTGTATTTAATTCGATAAATGATCAAAAGTATTCGTTTTACAGAGAGACTCTAATATACTAACCAGCTGTTGATGACTTCTTTGGAATAAAATGTCATATTTCAAGCTGTCATCAAGATATTTTGGTAGATATTTTTAACAAAATTCAGGAACGTTTACAGTTTTTTTGACGAAATGAGCTTATTCATTTTTTGATGGACCACTGGACAAGGTCCAAGTTTAAGCATTCTGATACATTTTTTTTAATCAGAATTTCACGTAAAACACAATTCTTGCATCAAAAATTACTTGAATCAACTCCTACTAAGCAATTAACATTTTAATTTTACATTGGTTACTGGAAATTTGAATTGCCAGGTGACAAGAAACGCAATACTCTACGTGAGTCAAATCGCGCCTTACAACGGTTTCGGCGGGCTTCTTTAATCGAGTACTGTCCCTTTCCCCACCCTTTATTGTTCACAGGGTAAACGATTTGCTATAGCTGAGCCAAAGTGTCATGATTGAGGTTGCCATATTTTCATGCCGCTGAGACTGCCACAATAACGTTTAGTGTGTAATTTGACTCACGTAAAGCATTGAGTTTTCATGAGCGGAAGGTTCGAATTTTTGCGTCAGGAAACATTAAATATCTTGGTCAGAAGTTAATTTCAGTAATTTTTGTTGTGTGAATTGTTTTTTACACGAAATTTTGGTCATGAAACATGTATCAGAATGCTTAACTCTGTACTTTATCCAGTGGTCCATTACTAAATGTATTCTCTCATTTTAGACTGTATGCTTTTTTTACTGGAAAAAAGGGGATTACCAGAGTATTTTTTTTTTTTTGTTGTGAAGGTGACTTTAGATCCCTACGTGTCACACATTTTTCATACTGTCCCTCATTGTAGTAGAAGAAGAAGTAAACTTGTTGATTAGGATCTTGATTCTTTTTTGTTAAATTTTAATATATTTTGTTTTTAGTTTTGTCAAACCATTAGCCGACTACCTTGACTACCTACTTTATTGCCTTCATCCTTTGCGATTTGAATACCCTAAAATTAAGAAGGAACTCCTGGTTTTTGTATTTGAACGTTTAACTCACCTCTGATTTTAACTTGTGTTAATGCGTTGTAATTTATATTTTCCAGCAATCTAAAAACTCTCCGTCTACTCCAAAGACCTCCAAACTGACCTCCAAATTAGTTGCTCCTAAAGTGAGATCGAAATTTTCATCTCCCAAAATACAGGCTAATACCAGTAGTAGCTCCAATGTCGAACCTAATTCCAATTCGCTTGACCAACAAGTAAAGCCATATTTGTTTATTTTCTAACTTCGCGCCTTCATGTTTGTCTTGCATATTAATCCTCATCTAGGGCTGTCTGTGTGGATATGTAACTACATGTATGTAATCCATATTTATGGCTACTAACAGCACCCAAGTTTGCCAGCAGAAAATTGAGCTCAATCAATTTCATCCCAGCTTTCTCTCAATCGAGATAGAGCCGTGATATATTACCCAGCACATAGTATGCAACCCCTAAAATTTTAAGTCACATCCTCATTGAAGCCGAGTGTCAAAATTGAAATTCCCAGTCCCTCTTCCTCCCATTTTGATAGCTGAATAACTTTGGTTTATGTAGGCAAATAAACTTTTATCAAACAAGTCAGAAAATGTAAAGGTGGGCAGAGCAGGTAGTTGTCTATCAGTGAGAATCAAATGCTGAATTTTTTTAATACCTCTAGTCAGATGCCTTGAGTCAGAGCTTTCCCAATTTTGAAGTGCCAACTCTGTCACTATTTCAAGGTTTTTGATGTATTGAAAACATGTTTGGAATAAATTCTCTTCTCACATTTCTGCTATGATCTGTTGGCCAAATCTAGGGGAGATGATGGTTGAGGATGGAATCAAGGATCATCCAAACACCTTGAAATGTTGTTTCTAATTCGTGTTATATTTTGCATGTACCAGGCCATTCTTTTGCTCATGTTTGATGATATTTACTCAAAGTTTATCATTTATAAATCTTGACACCATCTGTAGCAATGCGGGAATCATCAGCTGTCGATATTTTTCCGTTTAAAGCTATGGTAAAGAATTGATTATTGAGGTATGCCCTGATAATCGATCCTTTTCCATCAATTTAAATGGCAGATCAATTGATTCATCGTAAAACACGCTATGTCACTAAAAACGATTAGAGGGCTCCTACAATCTCTAGCGGAATAAGTTTACCCGTTTCTTGCATTTACTTTCAATGCTATCTGACGTCAGACAATCTTTTGTCTCAAAATCAGTTTAAATGTACGTGAACTTACTTGGCGTGGACTCTTTTGTAAAGAGGATGTCTTGTGAAATCAGAGGACACTTGGTAAACTGTTTAAATCATCGTGTTTTCTGCCCTGTTTTGCAATCTCTTACTTTATTCTCGTTAATTTTCCGTGTGATATGATGATGCAAATACCCTAAAAAATATCGTCAATCCGTCCCTTCCTTTATGAACTCCCCTAAGTATTTGATCTGTAAATAGGTTTGTTTCGTAACTTACCTGTCAAAAATCGTTGATAGTAATTCCATAACTATGCATTACATCCTCTGTAATCCACTTCTTGCTGATTTAGCCTCACTAGCAGCAGACTCATCTTGCAGTATGCTTTTATCAACTGAATCTTTTCATTCCCCTGTACCATAGTGATCCTGGTTTTGTCTCCTTTCATCTGTCAATTCTTGTTTCATCAATAACGTACTTTCCTCCATCTAAATGTCCGAACCCTTTTGACCATTCCTTGTTTTTTCTTCCTGGAGATCAACCTTTCGTTCTCCCTACAAATGAATGCACTCTTATGAAACATGTTCAGTAGTCAAGGTTTCTGGTGGTCTGAAAAACCTGAAAAGTCAGGGAATTTATGGCGACCTGGGAAAGTCAGCATGAGTCAGGAGATGTGTAGGAAAATTCAGGGAATTTCACAAAGAGCATTTCAACTTAATAAATTTAGTGAGTGCTATTAGCGATGATACAAACGATTTCCGAGTATCTTTTTTACATAATTTGAATTTTTAGAAGTTGAAATTACATCAAAAGTTTAACAAAAGTCAAAGGAATTAAAAGAATAAATCAAAGTGTAAGTTATTTCGAAGGTCAGGGAAGAGTTAGGGAATTCCGAAATTTTGGTGTTAGAGAAAAGTCTAGAAATAAGAGAATGAAGAAATTACGGAAATCCTGGTAGTTGTGCTGAATCATCTAGTTGTGAGAAGCAGTCAGTAACTAATCTGCTGATTGATCGGTTAATTTATTGACAAGCCTCTTATAAAGAGGATCTTAAATAGAGGAAATGACTTGCCCATGAATTAATGGAGAACTTTGTAGTTGAAAACTCTTGATCGAATGATATGGTACGTAATGATTTAGTTATTTATATGTAGTTCCATCAAATATCGATGGCTATAGTGTGAAACCACGTTTCCTCATTTGCAACGTTGCAGACCTTCTGTCTTACTTCATTGTTCCATCGGAAAACTAGTCAAGGTAATTTCTTGAAAACTTCCTTGATTGTTCCTCTCTGTAAGCAAAATATTCTGTATAAATTTCGAACTCTAAAGTTGGCTTGTTTCTTGGCGGAAAAATGAATTAAGAGCGGAAAGTTTGAAACCCTGCAATAGAGATACATGGTTTTGCACTTCGGTCATCAAAATATTGGTTTCCGCGCACGAGCAGAATCTGCAGGAAGAGGATCAAAGAATTGTTTTTTAATCTACTCGATTTTGTTGATACCGGTTAGCCGTAAAGAAAAAAGTTGAAAATGGACAACACTTCTTTATACTTTGTATCAAACTCGTTTGTTTTGGTGTCCTACATTTCAAGTTTTCTGCTTTTCTTTTTCCAAAACCAAAAAAATCACTTTTCTAATCTAATCCTTAGATCATAATTGCTGATTGTACATTAATGTTCTTTGAAAATTTCTTATCCTTTATTTGGTTTCTAAGTATATTTTCACTGCACACATTATCAGGGGCTGGGGGTCAATCACCCCCTGAACATTGGTTAAATGTGTCCCACAGAGTCTCCTCTAAGTAAAATTTAAGGGCCCCATTTAATACTCCTGCCTTTAAGGAGAGTCCTTTAAAACTCCATTACCTTCATTGAAAGAAGCTCCCAATTCTTTTTTTGGTAGCTTTCCCCTCCCAGAGCTTTTAAAACAATCTGGAAACTTTAAAAGTATCTATCTCAGTCTCTCTCTGTGAAAGAACCGCACCAGTAAATCTCTTTTTATATTTGTTGAACTTGATCCCAGGACCATCTACGGACCATTATTTTGTTATCGTTAATGTTTTTCAAACCTGATTTCCCCTCTTACCGCATTATGTCCTAACAAAACCTGCGTGGAACTCCTTTTTGGTACTCTGTATTCTCTAACCAAACTTTTTCCTTGAGGGGTTTGAAATAGGTCAACTAATCGATTAATTTTTGATTTGATATATAAGAATGGATGAGACATCATCGCAGGACGTATTAACATCAAAACCTGTTCAATGACAGGGTTGCCACAGTCAGGGAAAACAGGGAAATGTCAGAGAAAATTGTTGAATCACCCTATTTTGCCCCCGAGAATGCGTTTGATGTTTCGAACAACAAATATTGCATAAAACCATTTTAAGTAATGTCTTTTTAACCATCCCGCACATTGTCAAATGGCAGGGAATATTACTGAAATGCACCGGGGAAATCAGGGAAAAGTTAGGGGATCTTTTTTTCTATATTCTGTGGCAACCTTGAATAAAATGTCAAATATCATCACAAAACTCACTTTTGCTAAATTTTGTTTAGTTAGACCGCCGTTTCAAGGAGATTTCACTGATGATCATTAGATAATGATCAGTTAACCATATTAATTTTTTTGCAAAAATTAGTTTCTCAAAAATATTTTAAATGTGCATTTAATTTGTTTTTCCAGATATTTATTTTCTGTCTTATAATGAGCACCATTTTTGAGTTGAAAGAATGCATAGTGAAAGTCAGTCAATAATTTATCTTTATAAAATAAGCTTCATCTGCAGTTATAACTTAAATTCATTGATTTTAAACAAATAAGTGAACATGTGTATGTGGAAAGATTAGATTTTTTTTCTCATTTGCTAGAATTTTATTGGTTTAAAATAAGCGCATCATATGATTATATTTTGGAAGTCTTATTCATCTCATATATGTATAAAAAACCTTTGAAAACTATGTAAATTCATAGTTTTATACGCAGCCAGTTGATTTCTTGACAGATGTCCAGGTTTTGAAAACTCATATTCATGAGAAAATTTCTGCCTGCCTGCACTTTTCTACTACAGCAATGAAATTATTTTTATCGGATTCGAACACCATTTGCTCTTGCGTTTAAGTACCTTTAGTACTTTAATCTCCTTTCTTTCATCGTGGAAAAATTTCATGAAACCTATCCTGTCGTTATTAACTCGCTTTTAAGCTCATTTTGTCTCTGTTTATTTGTGAATTGTTTTCTGTGTATCATACTGTGCTTGTTTGCATTTATGTGTACATATTGCTGGCCAAATATATGTGAATATTTTTTTGTTTGTTTTTAATGTCGGTCATCATACAATCTCAGTTGACCATAACCATTTTACCTTCTGCTCTGCATGTGTTTGTACAGTTTTTCACCATGTTTTTTATTTTATGTCTTGTATTTATGTTATTTTTTCGGCATGTCATGATCAACGAGCCCAGATAACAGTTAATTTAACATGGAGGGTGCTCTTTCTCTGCCCCTCACTACCAAAAGTCACTAATTTCTACTACCAAAATCATCTAATCAATTAACTCTTTCTAGTATGAGATTACCATATCTTTTATAGGGTTTTAGAGTAATGAATGTTTCATAAATAAATTGGTATTAAGTAAATTAGTCTTAAGTCAGCCTTAAAAGTGTCCTGCCCTTTTGAGAGAACTTCTCTTGGAATAATGCAAGAGTACTAAAGATTGGATTTTTCGAATTTTGTACTCTCTTATCATTCTTGTCTTTTTGAATATTTCCAAAACATTAATTCTTTGCCCTATCTATTTTTTTGTCCTGAGTTTCTCCAGGCTTCATGAGTCAGTTGCGCTGGCCACAGAAGCAAGTTTTGATCATTCAAGCTTCCAGACACCAAAAAATAATAAGATTTGTTCAAGCACCAAATTTCTACGTCCAATAGTAATGGACATATCGTCCATAGGAAAACACAGGGCATGACATCATCCACGGTGGTTTCGCACACCTTATTTCATCTGTGTTTTACTTCACGCAACCAGTGCAGATGTCTTCATCCTTGATTGATGAATCTAAGATGGAAGAAACCAGATTATGCATTGCCGCTTGTGAATGATGATGTCATAAGTTGTTGTTTTTGATGAGCGGTATTGTTGTTAATATTGGACTTAAAAACTTAGCATTTTAAGAGATCCATTATTTTTTGCTTCTGATTTTCAGTGCCCAACTTGAACGACGTTCATGTCAGTTTATTTGGGAGGGAGAAGTTTGAATTTTCTGATCTCAATGTAAACTAAGAAGGTTTATTTCTTACTAAAGAGTTGACTTTTGGCATTTTCAACATTTTCCAAGTGCTCTTCTTAAATTTTTAATAAGGAAACTGTCTCATGGTACTTGAACTTATATCTGGTCTAGTTGTTTGCCAATTAATTTTTTTGAAAGGTAATTTGTTCAATCTGTACTTTCATCTACTTTTAAGCTTTTCAATGCAGTAATGAAAGCTTTATTTCAGCTCTCAATCCTTACTTCATTTCACAGTGTCTTGCAAAGTTTATATCCTCTGAAGATTAAAATGTAACTTCTCTAAGAAAAATAGCCATTTTCCAGGAACATCCTGAGTGAAATTTGTCATATTATGTGTTTTCGATCATATATCCAGCAAAATCAATAGCTTCTGAGCTCATACCACTATATTTTAATAATTTTAAAATTCAAAGTCGTGTTCCAACTTTTTCCTAATTATTATGATAGAATTTGAAAATCAGTGCATCAGTCTCCGTTGCAAAGTTGTAGTGATTAATTTTCCTCTGTTTTTGCATTCAATTGCACTCTTTTCATCAGCAGTGTAGCTTTCTCTCTCAAAGCCTAACTTCTCAAAGAACTCCTGTTTCTGTGGCCTGAAGAAAAATCAGCCTTTATCATTTGCTAAGGGGTTTCTTTTTGTTTCAACCATAGTATTAATTTTTTGCCCTTGGTTTTCAGACTGGTTTTGTCGAAACTTTGAAACCGCAGTTCACACCAGGTCAAGTCATGCAACCAGCCTCAGGTCCGGCATCAACGCAAAGACCACCTCCGGGTCCTGTAATCGACCCAGCAGAGCATGAGGCACTGAAATCTCAAGTCAAAGATTTAACTGAAAAGTTAGACACAATGAGACGTGAGTAACCCAAATCTGCTAAAATTAAAATATCCATGAAGCATAACTTGAGTCTGTCACAGCATCGTATATTATCATCTAAAAATCTTGATAGTGTCAGAAAAGTTTTGAAAGATTGCAAACTTGTTGCAAAGCCTTCAGCTCACAGAATAATTCATGACAAGTCTAGATTTTTTCGCTATTATCCATACTTAGGGCTGAAGTCAAAAAATGCGTATATCGAATTGTGGTGTAGAAGTCTGTAATCATGTTTTATTTCTTTAAAAGAAAACGATGAACAACCAACAATTATTATCAAAATCTTCTGTGAATACTCTTCATACATCTTGAAAAAATCACCCAAAATTGCAAGAAAACATTTTTATTAGTTTTCCCTGAAGAAATAAAACATACTTGGAGATTTTTAAATGAAGGTATGAATTTTTCCACATTTAGCCATTGATGCGATTTATTTCACAAGCTTAATGTAATTCTTTATGATTCCTTCATTTTTTATTATTCAAATCTTTTTTTCATCAAAGGAGTAAGGATAAATGAAGTTTCATGCGATTATAATTATTTTTTTCTCCTCAGTGAAACACAAAGAAAAGACGCAAACACTGGAAGCCATGAAAATTCAGCTGGACCAAGCTGCTGAGTTTAAAATAAAAATTATCGAATCACAAGCTAATTTGAAGAAAGACATCGAACGCTTGAAAAAAGAGAAGCAAGATGCTCTAGAGGCCAAAAATGAATTTTCTGACCTAGCAGAAACTTTGGAAATGGCAACTCTCGACAAAGAAATGGCAGAGGAGAAGGTAAGTTTCTCATGAAGTCATATTTTACTTTTTTTCATTCCTCTTTTTGATCCAAGTGCATAGAAAACATAGAATAATCATTTTTTTTTTCTTACTTGACACAATAGTTAACTTCTGATAATCGATAGCATGCTCAATAAGGAAACGTGCTAAGAGAAGAGGACATGCGTGTCGCATTTTTATGCTAATTCTGGCAATTTCAATAGAGGAGGCCTATCGATAAGGGCTGTTTTTGTCCCCACCCTAGCTGAATTTCCTCAAACCTACGATTTTTTTGCTCTTTGGAGGTCTACATTTTCTAAATTTCATCATTATTTGGACTACATTTTGCAATCAGGGACTATAAATTCCGGCCTGGTTTAAAAACAACGTATGTGCCATTTGTTTTCCTATGCACATAAGTATTTTTTCAGATGAGCCAGAATTTATAGCTCCAAATTGCCAAATGTAGTCCATTTGGTCATTTTCGGTCTCTTTTCTAGCCTGAAAGTGGCCTAAACGTGAATCGCCAGGCCGATTTTGGCAGAAAATTCAGATTTTTTGGCATTCAACTTCAAACTTGCACTTCCCGCCAAAATCGGCCTCAAGGCACATGTTTTGGCCGTTATTAAACCCAAAAAGATACCAAAAATGACCAAATGAGGACTTATCTGTAACAATAGCGGATGTGAAAAATTACCTTTTCGAAACACGCTTAAAAAACTGTTTTGTTCACACAAAAATTTAAAATATTTGGCTCTGGCATAATGTACAGATCTCAAAGATCACATTTCAAGTATTTTCTCAAAATTTTCTCGATGCCAAAACAGTTTTTTGAATGTGTTTCGAAAAGGTAATTTTTCACATCCACTGTTGTTAGAGATAAGTCCTCAAATAATCATGCATTATGTTAAGTATAAACCTTCAATGAGCGAAAAATCTTCAAATTGAGAAAATTCATGGTGGCCTGAAAACGGCTCTTAATGATACCCCTCTTTTGGGATATATTGAGAATCTGCTTTCAGACGGAGGTGGCCAATTGAGAAAAATTTCAGGGTCCTAAATTTCTTAAATCCTGCATGTTCAAGTAACTTCTGTGTTTTCTCCACCGAATTTTCTTAGCTATCCAATTCTCAGATATTTTTTCCTTCGCTTTATGTCCTCACAATTTCAGGGGAAACTGAAAAAATTCAGATATCGGGAAATTTGGAATTGAAAAATTAGTGACTGCACACCTGCGCCATTACTATTCTCTCTGTGTTATAACAATCATTTATCTTCCAATTCAATCAGTCATTACTTGTTCACAGGCAGAAACGTTAGAGTTAGAACTGGAGCAAGCAAACGAAAGGATTGAAGAGCTTACACTTGATCTAGAAATAATGAAAGCCGAACTTGAAAAAATCACTAGCGGACACAATGCAGAAATCAATAATGAAGATGGAGCGCCCGTCACAAACTATCAGCTAAAACAGTTAGAGCAGCAAAATATCAGGCTTCATGAAACTTTAGTCAGGTATTCATTTCCAGCCCCTATTCATTCAACATAGCATTTCGACATTTGAGCCACCGCTTTTCTTATTTAAAAACTTTTCTGCCTCATATTGAAAGATATTGCTGACTTTTTAATTTGTATTACCTTATCAAGGAAGCCTCTAGGAAAACGTAATAAATTCTGATAATTTTTCAGAAGATTTAGCAGGCAACCTGCATTGAGCGCAAAGCGGTTCAATTAAGAAGATATGTTTTCTCAGATGGTCAATTTTACTGAAAACGCAAGAATACCTGTAATCCTTGGTCAATTGGTGCAACTATGGTAGATGACATGTTTTTCTGCGGCTTTGTTTATGACTCAATGTTTTTGCAGGATGAGAGATGTTTCTGCTCATGAAAAACATGAAACACAAAAACTGCAGAAGGAGCTTGAACAACGAAAAGCAGAAATAAACGATTTAAGAAAAAATACGGACAAATTAACTGCTCGCTGTGCTGAGTTGGAGGAGCAAGTGGCTGATCTACACGAACAAGTACGTTGAATATAGTGATTATCCATTGTTCCTTCTCAGAGGCTATCATGAAATAGATACAAGAATAACATATTTAATTAGCTCTCTCACAACAATATCCTTGGTTTCTAGTTTCTATCTAGTTTTTCCAATTTTTTTGGCCTCTCCAAAAATTAGTTACTTTGGACATTTTTGAAGAGTCCTAGAACTCATTTAATGATACTAAAACTTGATATAGTTAACACTTAGAGTTATTAAATTCAGAGACAATGTTCATGACTTCTCGCCACACTCCAGTTTTCAATCAGAAAACTAATCTACATAATTGCTCGAAAACTGCTGTCTGTTTCATTTTTTTTTTTTCAACCAAAAAACATTTGGACAATATTAAAATAATATTAATGATTTTTGAATAATTTTTAAATCTTTTGAAATAAAAAATTTCAAGGAACAAATTCTGCTCTTTTTCCTTTGAAAAAATAGAGCAGGTGCTTTAAAAACTATGCAATAAAGTGCAATTCCAGAGTTCAGCTATCGATGACTCTCTCAGGAAACAAACATAGAACAAGCTTTTACACAAAAAAAAGTTTATCTTTTGCGCCTTTTTTTATCAGCAGGTACATATCAAGCACTGGGGACAGTTTGCAATTCATCTGCTAGTAAAAAGTACGCAATGTTAGTGAATAATCCATTTGTCAAAATCTTCCAACAGAAAGCATCTATTAAAAACCCTTCATCCCGTTAACAAACATATTGATGTTATGTCTTCTGTCTGAGAAATATACTCAGTAAAAATATACTCTGTATATAGATAGGGTATTTGTGAAAAAAATCTGCTAGGTCAATTTCTAAAATTATTTTTGCTGCGCATCTTTTTCTCGCAAAATAGCCCGATCAAATTCGAATTTATGTAGAAATACCACTCTTTAAGAATGTCAAGAAGTATAACATATTCAATTGTGTTTCTCTTACTTTGCCATCAGGTGGATGCTGCTTTAGGTGCGGAAGAAATGGTAGAACAACTTAGTTTACAAAAATTAGTCCTGGAGGAAAACGTTAGTAAATTGCAAGAGGAAGTATTTGATTTAGAAGCTCTGAAGGACATCAGCGATCAATTGCAAGAAGACAGCCGAGAGCTTGAACTTCAACTTCGTCAAGATGTCGACATGGCAAATGCCACAATTAGAGAGGTATTCGTCCATGTAACCCTCATCATTTATCATATGTGAGAGAGTAAAACACGATGTGCCCTGAAGAAAAAGAATATTGAGAATTCTAAACCTCAGCCTAAAGATTAATGCTGCATCATACAATGTAAAAAACACCCACGAATTCCACAGATTGATCCTCTGACAGCAAATGCAAAATTTGAAGACATAGAATGGGAATTTTAAAAAAAGAGCCTTTGAGTCCATTAGTACTCTTGACAGCCTTAAAACGATTAATTTTAAACGCTTATAACATCAGTAATCATGTGAATGAAGACTACAATAAGACTTCAATTTATTGAATTTCACAGGACCGACGAATCGATCCGTTGTATCGCAGAATCTTTTAAGTCGAATTGCTTGAAGCCCTTGAAGGGAGCGGAAGATATTTCTGCAGAATCACAATTTGACAAATTGAGGTCTCGCTGCAGTTCTATTTTTGCTAGGGCTTTTTCTTTAATTATAGATTATACTTTAGTCACATTCTTGGTTTTTTCTCCCTTTTTTTTTCTTCTCCTTTTTTTCTCCCTTTTGTTTCTCTTTTTTTTCTCCCTTTTGTCCTCTAGTATAAAAAATTAGTTAATAATTTGTCCAAAAGCGTTCAGAAAATTATTTGAATGAAGCTAACATGATTCAGATTTGAATCTTATAACGCAAACTAACTCATTTTGAAAAAAAGTAGGAGGGGTAGTATCTGGAGATGTCAAAGAGTAAATAATACATAATAACCTATGTAACTTGATAGAAGTATTTTATTTTGCTAAGAGGACAGTGTCCTCAACCTCTGGAATCTTGACCAAGAAAAAATAAGGTCGTGCAATTGAATTGTATCAGGCTCAAGTAATACAATTTATTTTTGGCAATTTATGGTTTATTTCCTGTGGAATCTTGCCAAACTTGCTATGCTACCAAGATTTTTTTCATTTCTTAATAATGTTAAGCTCATAGTTATTTTGCAAGAGGTTTAGAATCAATTCAGCACATTTTAGAATCAACGCATTTGCTGCTAATCTCCCTATGCTAAAACTTGCGTCCACGGATGAGCCAGAAATAGAGGTTCATGATTCCAAAATGTAGTCCAATTGATCTTTCTGCCATTCATATCAAGATCAAATCGAAATATAAATTTGACTAGTTTCATGTGAATTATGTATTCTATGTTTGTACCTTGAAATGTCTTCAGGTCCAGAAAGAAAAAGAAAACGCCTTGGAGATGCTAGCAGATAGGGAACTAACGATCGTAAAATTTAGAGAACTGGTCGCAAAGCTAAAAGAACGCTGTCAAGAGCTGGAGCACCAACTGGACAGGGAATGCAACAGTAAGGCAGCCATGAGCCTGAGCATTCCAGAGATGCTCGACTACAAGAAGATTTTCATAGACTCAAAAGCGCTCGCACGTGCCATAGACTTAGAATTAAGACGAATGGAAGTGGAAATGTTGCAGCAGCACGTGAATCTGCTCCAGGCATTCATGCCGGATTCTTTCATGAAAGGCAGTGGTAAGCATAAAAATACTTAACTCTCAGCTTTGTGGAGTGAGCCTCTCTAAATCAGAACGGGTAACTCGTCTTCCGTGTTGTGTACGCTCCTTTTGCAATGGCTCTAAGTCCTCTTCATTTTAATGGAGTGAGACTTTTGATGTATGTTATCTGCACTGTTGCGCTAAGTAAAATCACTGTATCAGCATTCAAATGTTGCTATTTTTCCGCTAGGAAAATTTTTATTTGTGGAAAAAGTCATGAATATTTCTCCCGAAAATTTCAGACTTTTTACATAAAGTTAAAGGAACAAAATCCTCTGAAAAATCGGAAGAGAAATATTCACAAATTTTAAATTAAAATTTGAGGTTTTCAAAGGAAATTTGGCAACTTCTGATGGCTCATACAGCGCTCTTCCTTAGCTTGGAAAAGTAGAGTTAGGAATTTTTGAATATTATACTATATCGACTGTGTAAGTCGCCAATCACATAACTCGGTTTGCGACGTCGCAGACTTCCTGTCGTACTTTATTTTTTAAACGGAAAACTACTCAACGACAATGCTTTAAAACTGCCGTGATTTTCTTCTCTGTGCATAGAAAATTCTGCATAAACTTCAAGGGGTGATGTCAATTTGTTCTCCTTTAAAAAAATAGCCTAGAGGCGGAGATTTTCAGCCTCTGCAAACAAAATATGTAATTGCGGACTTACACTTATGTCTTTAATTTCGTTTTGTGAGAATTCAACACACATTTTATAACTCGCAAGGAACTTCCTTTCAGGTGATCATGACGCTGTTCTTACTTTGCTGTTGATTCCCCGGCTGATCTGGAAGAGTGAGATCCTAATTTCTCAAACTAGGGATAAATTCCCAGCAATAGAAATTACTACTAATCGGGAAGCTCTCCTCAAAGATCACTCAGCTAATCAATTTGCAGCGCGGTCGCGTTTTTGTTCTTATCTCTACTTCTTACAGGTATGTTATTTTTTTCACACAAAATTGATTACTGTTTGGAGGGGGGGGGGGTTATCGTAATTACGCTAAATCATTTTACCGTTTCCTTTATCTCCAGATTTTTTTCTATCAGCAGTCTCTAGTGTGATTTCTTATGACACAAAAAATTGAAGTCATTGCTAAGAAAAATAATAAAACTTGTAAAATTGTAGAATCAAGAAATGGAAAATGTCATCCTTTACGAAAGAAGTTTAGTTTATTCAGGATGATTTCTTATATAAACTCTCTTGTAGAGAGAAGAGATAGCACATTTTAAGCGCAAGAACTGTCTCAAATAAAAATTTTGTGGAAAAAGCAATGATAACTTTCTTTATTTCAACTCGTAAGTTTGTTCTTCAGTTTTATTTAGTTTGCTGAGAGTCAGCTTTTGCATGTTGTTTGATAGACATAACCCTACATCATTGGGTAAAAATGAAATTAATAAAAAAAAAAAATTAAAAAAAGTTAATATTTTAAGAGAGGACAGCCCTTTTCATTGCAGTTGCTCAATTGCAAACAAATATTTCTTTAAAGTAGGAGACAGACTCCAACTCTAATTATGTGCACACTGTCAAAGGGAAATTAGACGCAAATTTCAATTTTCATAATTTCAATTCCCAGGCTGTGCTGCGGCAGTTCCTTAATGGACTCAACACTTGTCCACCAGATCTTCTGATGAATATAGCAGGCATTTTTCCGGAGTTGAACCTCCATGAGAAAACTATAGATAGCTATGTAGAACTATTGCGAACGAACCAACTAGATGAAAATGTCAATACTGATGCGTTAGAGAAGTGCTTGAATTACTTTTGTGCCATGCATCCAGCGTATCTGCTTCGAGCCGGCGTGAACCTACACCAAAGCTTTTTGCTCTCGGACTATCACAAAGCATTTTCAGCGGCTATTGATAGCCTCCGCACTGATGCTGCAATCATCAATGCCGTGATGCAGGTATGAAAACCTCAGAAAAACCTTAATTTTACTTGATTTGCACTAAAATTGAATTTGTATTGGCGCTTACATGTTCTTAAATTTGAAGAATTTGCTTAATCTATTCCAAAGTCCTTAAAATTCAAATCACCTGGTGGTCCAGAAGATCAGTCTTTTTTCATTTTGCTGCGAAGACTTCTGGAGAGTCCACTAATGTTGTCTCTTTGTCATACAACTGCCTATTCATTAGGTACGTAGCAAAGAATAAAGGTAAAAGAGAAGGAAACTTTCCTCGTAAGACTCCCTTTGATTGTTTTTGTAAGTTCTTCCATTTTTTTAAAAAATCCTTGAAAGGAATACAACAAATTTTGATCTCATTGGGATTCCTTGTGACGTCCATGAATTTTCTGAAGATTGCAGATAGGTGTAAGGACTTATATCTGAACTTTCCTAGAAATGAATTAATTTTGGACTTTGAAATCTAAACAATTTTAAAAAATTTTAGTTATGGCTTTCCTAAAATCACGGAGTCCCGAATTTTCTTCTCAAAATTTCAAAGTTTTGATAATTATTTTTTTTCAAAAAGGAAACACTGATAAAAATTTGCACAATCATGCCACAGAGGGAAGATTCATTTTTTCAAAAACCAAAAAATGTGTTGTGACAAATGGTAAAACCATGCCATAGAGAGTTACAATTTTTTAGCTAAAATCCAGTTTTCTTAGTTTTACATTTGGTGTAATTTTGTTTCTAGCCGGAATCTAACCCACACGATATTGAACTTTTGTGTCAGCACTTAATGACATCGTGTGAAGTCATGTTCACGCACTTGAAACCAGTCCGATTACTCCTGTCTAGCTCACCTGGTGCTGAGAAAACAGCTGATTTTGGTCTTGGAGAAATGTTCTTGCAGAACACCTTATCTCAAGCTCAAACACATGCAATGAAAGCCTCAAAAGTTATCCGTGATATAGCCAGAGTTTCCTTTTCTTCAATTGTAATCACTGGAGGTAATGTCGCTCATCAATACTTTCCAAATATCTTTAAGTAGAGTAACTATTACAGTCATATACAAGCTTATTTCTATGGGACTACTTTGAAGAAAGACGAGGAAAAAATAGTTCCACAAAGTGAAGTGTATCCAAGTGTTGCTTCTGTATAGGTATAATTGTGTCAAAGAAATCAATGATTAGCTTATCGATAAGCAGATAATGATTGCATTGGCTTTCTAGGTGTATCTTTCATTTTCTCAATCAGATTTATCCATCCTTCTCCTCCAATTTAATGAATTCATCTGGTATTTGTTACATCAGCTGTTGACAATGAAGTGGGAATTGACAAGAACAAAATGTTCGAAATTGCCACGTCTTGTTGTGATCGTGTGTTTGATGATACATTGCAAGGGCCAGTTGCTGTGATCAAAAATGAAATCAATGCCCTAGCTGCAGATATTGCCAATTTAGCGCAGACGATTCAAGAGACAATTCACTCATCATCAAACGTTGCTCAGGCGAAATCGAAATCTTCCGTTGAGGTAAGAAGAAATTTTTTCGTCTCCGTTTTGGTTTCTTAAGGCGTATTTTGCATATCATTAGATTCCAATAACCAGAAGAGATTCGTGTATTAGAGAATGAACAAGTATGAAAAAGCAGAAACAAGTAGTATGGGATATCAAAGATACAATTTCATTCTTCCCGAAGCATTGGAACTAATTTTTGGGTGTAACCATTATGACTTCTTTCCATTCCTACTTCGTTGCTCACCAGACTTGTTCTGGTATTTTCCTGCTCGCCCATCTGCCAACATAAAATTGATATGTTAAAAGTGATTGAATGGATTGCCACTTTACAGGATGTAATCGCCCTGCTTACCATGATTTGTTCATAGAAAGACACAAATGCATCGTTTTACAACTGCAAAGTATCAAATTAAATTTGCTAGTGGTGAGCTCTGTTTCATCTGAGCGTTCTTTTATCCCAACTGGCCAGCCACCACAAGAGGTCAAATAATCTGGAGTATAGCGTACTTAAGTACCCTGTGAACAATTGAAACAAATTAAAACAACAATCAAAAAACAATTGAGTATAAGAGTTTGCGAAATTTTTTTGTTTTTCATATCATTTAGGTTAAGTTTTCTCATATCTCTCTTACCCCAAGCAAACCCAATTGCCACCAGCTGAGGGAAAAGTGCCGGCAGACAAGGTAGATTTAAAAATGCAAAAAATGGATTTCGCAAACTATGCTCAAAAGAGTGGATTTTTAAAAACATTGTATATACTTATCATGATTTTTGTGGGATTTTACCACCGGTAAGTCAGTCAGATACATTTCTTGCGTGCAACAGGTCTGTTCCTTTATCTAACAAGGGCTTATTATTCATGTTATATTTCTTGATGTGTTTTCTGCAGATTACGCCACCAATTATGGTTCGTGCCAAGCAGACCAAAGAAGAATTAGGAAACACCAAAGTTCTTCGAACGAAGATCGAGGCTTTGGATGCTGACATTCGTGAGTTAAAAATGACTTTGAGAGCCAAACAAGAAGAAATCGGGGAGTTGTCCGTGAGGAAAGAGTTAGCAGAGAAGAAACTTGCAAATGCTGTCAGAGACAATGAATTCAATACTCAAAAATTACAAGTTAGTATTTTTTTCTCTTGTTAAAATTACAAAGACTTCTATCTACTTTTCTGTGTGACTGATATGAATAGATTTTTAAGGAATAGTTGAATTTAGATTAAATGTTCATCGTAATTGCAGATGACTTTGAGATTGCGAAGTTTAAAATTATTACAAAAACATTTTTTTGTGGAAGATTGATTTTAAAAAATTAAAATTTGGGGGAACTCCTTTTTTTATTCAAAGATTTTACACGATTTTGCTTCTGTGGCTTTTATTATATTCTGAGCTATGATTTATGCTGTCTGGGAGAAAATGTGATGGAAAAAAAAACTGAAGTCTTATCTTCATTTTACTGTCGAGTTTGCATAATTTTTTATTATTGATCTATTAAAAATTTGACAAAAAGAATCTCAAGTACAAGGAAACAGAATCTATACAAAAGCAAGAAGGAAAAAAGAACGACACATATTTCAAAATGTTGGGTGTATCAAAACACTCATTATCTTTCCTCAAGTTCGCTAAAAACAGACTGAACTGTTGTGAAAACTGTAATGCAAGTCTCGGAAAACAACTAAGCTCTTTTATAAGAAACAGTAAGCCCACAACTGCTGCAAAAATGATTCAAAGGGTTGCAAGACATCGCCAAATTTGTGGGATTGAGCTCCAAACATTGTTAACAGTATATATCTGTGTGTTTGGTGAAAATGGTTATCTTGAAATAATGAGAATTTGGACTTGTTTGCCAAAGTTATTATGCAGAATTTGTTTTTTTTTTCTTCTTTCTTTTTTTTCTTTTTTTTTGTTGAAGAAGTCCAACTGAAATAATGTGAGAGAAAATTGGATAAAAATAAAGAAGGTGCAAAAATTATGTGTAGTAACCCAGCATGAGTTTGAATCATTTATCATTCAATTCTTTCAGCGGAAATTAGAAGAAGCTCAGAATCAGCTCAAACGAAAAGAGAAGGAGTTTGAAGAGACAATGGATCATTTGCAATCTGACATTGACAACCTGGAAGCAGAAAAAGGAGAACTGAAGGACAAACTGAAGAACTACTCCAAAAAAGCATTTATCGAGGGTGTTGCAGCCAAGACAGTAGGCGGTTCGTTAACATCACCTGTTCACAGTGGAGGGCCTGTCCAAGTGATCGAGTCACCACTGCTTCTTGACGAGATCGATAACTTACGGAGAGCCCTGGATGTGGTGCAAATGGAGAAAGGGCAGCTAGAAGCGCAGTATTGCCAGAAGATTCTGGATGGCATGAAACCGTTGATCATCCCGCAGAAACCAACAAAAACGAAATTAGACGAACTCAAAATTAAAGCCAAAAATCTACGCCAGGTATTTTTATTTGTAACTACAGCAAAATGTTTACCCATTCATTGTCCTGCATTTTATAGGATTTTTTCATTTTCTTAGTTGGATATTTGATTGTTTTTTTTTCTCCTTTTACTTTTAAGTCCTAGGTGTCTACAGGACTAGAAAACCAAGAATCATCAGGAGAAAATCAGGGAATTTTATCAACAGACTTGAATTTTGAACAATTTTGAATCTTGAAATCTGATGAAACATCGCATGATATGGAGAGACAAGACATTTCGATCATTTTAATCTGTGAAAATCTGAAAGAGTCAGAAATGTTTTCCCCCAGAACACTAAACATCTCGACAGTTATCTTAATTTGATTAATATCAATTGCTTCACCTCTCTTACATTAGCTAAATAGTTCACTTCATGCCTAGAATTTAATTTCCTGCAAGAATAGCGAAAGTGGTCCTTTTTTTGAAAAAATTACTGTGCTTCCTTGGCATTTAGTTCCAATTCAGATTTTTACAGCTCATTCTTCTGAAGAGAATTTGCTCTATGACAAATCCCTTGACCAAACCCTGTTTGCAGCACAGGCATCAAAATGCACAGCTTTGATAACTATTAACGTAATTTTCTCAAACCTTGAAAACTTGGCATTCACTGTATGTACGTATGTGGTTTCAGGTGCTATCACATGACTAGCGCTGCCGCTTGTATAAATGATGTCATCAGCGCCATATTTGATGAAAACAATGTTATCTGATTTAAAACATTTTATATTTCTGTTGAATTTGTATGCACTTAAACATATAAGGAAGTGAATCGAACGGTTTTACTGTAAAATTTTCGCTTCAATAACTATCTTTTTTATTCCTTACAGGAATTATTAATAAAGTCCTTACCAAAAGTGCCTGATCTTAGCAAACGAATTATTGGTGTGGAGCCAGCCTTAGATCCTGCTTATCAGAAGCATTTCCGTCAGAAAAAAGAAATGAAGGAATTGCAAAGGAAAGCAGATGCTCTTGAGGTGACTTTTTTTATTAAATTGGTTTCAATTTTTCATCCCTCTTAAATCAAAATGACTCATCTCCATTAAGACCGCGTTTAACAGGAAGGAACCAAGCCACATCAGCTATTGCCAAATTTAAATGGGCAATTTAATTTTTTACGAGAGAACGTTTGTGCAGACTCCATTGAAAATTTAAGGAATTTGCTTGGCTTTTTACGGAAAATTCGCAGGAATTTGTACAAAAATCCGCCCAACCGTTTTATTGTAAAAGATTAAATTACTCAATTAAATTTGGCAATAGCTGATGTGGCTTGGTTCCTTTCTGTTTAAAGGCTGTCCATTTATCATCTTGAATAGATTTTTAGTGGGGAAAGTTGTTTGATTTTTTTATCCTTAAAATATGTTAAAATTTTTCCTCTCATATGTTCAAACTTTTGGTTAAAACTATTTATTCTCCCCTGTTTATTCATAATCATTTGACAAACAAGTTACCAGGGTAGAATCTCATTTTCCAAGTCTGAATTCTTACCCTCTACATATTCATGGGCCATTCCTGAAATACTTAAAAGTAAATAACACTGAAATCGAATATATTTACTCTGCCCTTTCCCCTCTTAAAACCATCAACACAGATCTGCACTTCTTAAAAGAATATGTAACAATCAGTTTAACCTACATTCTAATAAGCATTTTGTGATGAATTTTGGATGAATAGTTGCCACCTCGCATTGATTTTTATGTTAGATTTTTGGAAAATCAGCGCTACATGACCATTGTAGTGTTATGCACCACAACCCCAAATGGATTGCATTTTGCAAGAAGGAACCATTAGCATTGCAATGATGCTAAGATTGTGCAACTTCATCTTTTGCAATAAAATTGCGGAAATCGTGAAAAACTATGAAATTTAGATGCTAATTTTTGTCTTAAATTTACAGTTTTTAGCGAGTAAAATAGAAACTACTAATGGATAATCGGGGTTTTCCTCCAAGACAAAAGAAGTTGCACAATCTTAGCAACATTGCAATGCTAGTGGTTCCTTTTTGCAAAATGCAATCCAAATGTCCCCTCCTCCCTGTAATGCAGGCTTCAATCCTCCATCTTCCCTGGAGCGTTTTATTTTTGATGTTTCAAAATCCCTGCTCCTGTTTTTTTTTTTTTTTTTTTTTTTTTTTTTTTGAGAAGAACAAGTCTACTTTATGGCTGTAAATTTGTACGGAATACTTTGCTAACATGAAAGAAAAATCAAGAAAGTTTTAAAGAAATTACATCAACTAGTTCTCTAATAAAAATATTATGCAATTTTTTTGGCCTGTTCTTTTTTATTCAGTAAGTTAGGAATCTATTGAAATCTATAGACATATTTGTTCATTACAGAGATTTAATAGTCCATAGTTATCAGAGGAATTTTTGACACATTCACGTTTCGTTCCAGGCCCCTCAAATTTTCAGGGATTTAGGCCAAGTGGAATCTGTTTCTGTAGATACACTCGTCCGTTCTGTGAAAATTTGATGCCTCTACGGGGATTCAAAGCGGGAACCTGCCGACCTAGAGTCACACTTGCCAACAACTTGGCTAATCTGACCGGCAAATTCAGATTTGATTTTGGTGCGCTTTTGGCCGAAGTATCAGTTCAATCCTATTTAAAATGAAGATACTTAAATCTTAATTTGGCGTTTGCAATTAGAAGGTCCCTTTTCCTGTGGACAAAGTTTTGTAATGTTCTACACTATTTTTCAATATTTTTTTGTTTGTCAAATGGATCCAACCATTTTTATCAATTCTTGTTTTCACTTTCAGACGGAAATCCAAGAAGAAATTATCAGGCAAAAAGCAGGTAGCGGAATAGACACTGATCTAAAAGTATTTCCAACTCCTGAAATGACAAAGGTAAAATTTGCATTCTTTCCTCTTGTCAAAAGTCTTATGCCAATTTGCTGGCATTCATCATGCCAACCCTCCCTGCATGTAATAGATCTTGTCTTATAGGTCTAGTATATGTGGATGTAATTTTGCAAGCTGTGCGCCAAACTTTATAAGCTGTTCACCAGTGTTACTATTTTTCCATCCATATAAGGAGGCTGCAAATAAAATGATGGAACTCTGCACCAGCTAAATTTTGTCACTGTGTATTTGATTTGGCGTTCTTTACAACCTCCTGAGCAGAACATGCTTTTGAAAATGAAAATTTTTTCGTGCAAATCTCAACAAAAGCAGGGCTGACGAGAGAATTATTCAGCATTTTTATAGGCTCTGCCACTATGTCAGATCAGCGGACGAAACTGTGTTCGGACCTTGACCCTACATTTAATCACTTGCTGTTATCAAATATCATTCGGTAGAATTTCGATTATTTTTTACTTAATTCTATTCAAACGCAAGCAAGGTTGCAAGTCATGTATTATATGTCTGTCCTTGGTCGGCAAGAAATGGAGAACTGTTTTCGATCACCCATTGGCATTGCAACATTTCCACTGGGTGTGTGAAGGTGCCAAAAATCATTGCAAGGTATCTAGCGACCAGGAGAACCGGGAAGTGTCAGGGAAATCAGGGGAAACGTCTGGGAATCCGCCAAAATTCTACATGTCAGGGAATTTTATTTTGCAAGCAATTTTCGTGTCAGTAAAGCGTCAGGGAAATCGAAAAACACCGATTTTTTGGAAAAAGTTTCGCGAATTTTATTCTAGCAGAGATTTCTACCAAAATTTCTCCCAGGATTTCTGTTTTTTTTAAAAATGAGGCAAAAATATCTCGCATAAGTTTAGACACCATATATTTTGCTCTATTTATTACACGATATTCCTAAAATATGAGACAATTCTTACTCACATCTAATCAGTTCAGCCGTGTCAAAATTAGGAATTTTTTTTTTTTTTTTCTGTCAGGGAATTATTTTTCTGTCTGTCTGGAAATTTTACATTTTTCCCCGGTTTTTGGCCATTTTTGTCAGGGCAATTAGAGAAATGTCGGGGATTTTTTTTTTCTTTTTGAAAATTGCGAGACACCCTGTACTTGCTGTCATCAAATATCATTTAGGAAAATTTCGATTATTTTTTACTTTCATTCTATTCAAACGCAAGCAAGGTTGCAAGCCATGTTTCATTTCCCTGGCCAGGAAGAAAAAGAGAACTGTCTTCAATCACCAATCGACGTTGCAACATTTCTATTGGGTGCCAAGGTACACTCTACTACAGGTATGGACAAACGGGGTGCCGAAGTGGCGGCGCTGAGAAAATAGGCGATCGAGTGACGTATGAAGTCGTACCGTCCATTTGCTGCGCAGGTTTTCGCAGTCGTACTCTCGATGCTGTCAAATCTACGCGTTTTGACGACTTTCTAAAATTCCATTTGTCCATACCTGTAGTAGAGTGTACCTTGCTGGGTGCATGAAGGTGCTGAAAAATCATTGATGCTAATCAACCTCCTTTTTACCTGCGTGATTTTAAATTTTGATCGATTTTGTTCCAGGCCTTCAAAGAGATGGATCCCATTTTAATAGGTGAAGTAGTCGTTCCTGTACCCGCCAGCGATCCCGACAGTGGTCAAACTAGGAAATTATTCTTAGATAGTAATCAATTCAAATGCCTTCAACAGAAGCTCTTGGCTATGGGAACGTAGAATCCAATCATCAATTAAGTCCGTACTGTTGATTTTATTTTCATCAATATTTTGTTTATTTTCAATGCTAGGATCCGACAAATGAAAGATATCTTTTTGTTTCAATTTTATCCCTCAAGAGACTCTTTTAGTTTTTGATAAATTTATTTTTTTCCAAGGTCCTATTGATTTTACTGTTGGAGTTGCAATGCATGAAAGCATACTTGAATTTTAGTTCTGGATTTTAGTTCTTTTAAATCGTAGATCCGCTCACTCTCGTTTCGGTAAAGTCGGTGTAATTTTATAAGTCGAATCATCAAAGTTTTGTGAATCACCTTTTTTCTTTTCTTTTTTTAAGATATTTGTAGCGATATATTAATGTAATTACTTTTTCTGTGATCGATATTTATTAACCCTGTTATGCTTCAAGTCTCTTTTGTTATCGCATGATGAATTTCATCTACTCCCAAACATAATTAATTAACTAATAAATCTTAGAATTGACTTCAAAACTTTATGAAGAGGAACCTTCAATCACTGTTAATTTTGATTTACCGTCATAATGCTCATTAACTTCATTATTGTACACATAACTATTTTTTTAGCTCCTGAAAATGGCTGTGTTCAGCTGGTTCAATATATCGCCAATCAAAACTAATTTTCATCCATTTTTAGATAAATTAGATTTCCAAAGAGGATGAAAATTTTATGTGCTGTCATCAACATAATAATACGCATTGGAAACTGTCAGTAGTGATACTTTTTCTTTTACTATTTAACTTTCATTAGTGTGGAGAAGTAGTGTAATTGGACAAGTTTAACCTTGGATCAGCGTAATTGCATCAGATGTTTCATAATTTTCTCTGATGTTATAATCTTAAAACAGAACTAAGGAACTCTGTAACTTGAAATTTTGTGAGAATATTCCTCAAAATTGAGGGTAAATTCTCTGAAAGTTAAGTCAGTTTAGTTTTCTGTCAAAATAATAAAACGTCAGAGAAAATTGAGCAGTGTAGAATGCAGTCAGGCAGATTCCAGTCCAATCCATCCAAATAATCGCGTATTATAATATAGTCAGAAAATACCTTTTTGTTGAAAAACTTGCGTGCATGAATGTCAGCGCAAGTTCCTTTTTTCCAAGCAAATCGTAACTGAAAATTATGGACATTCATTATAATTTATTTTGCTTTCTCTTTTCAATACTACTCACTGTGCTTAACGTAAACATCTCCATGATGAAATCTATTCCAGCTTTCAGTGTTGCAGATGTCTTTTCCAATTTTGTTTCTTTGAAGGAGGACCAACTATTGTTAATGCACAAATGTTTTAAAATTGTTGTTACTCTCCTAAAATTATTCTCTGCAAAGCACATGCTAAACTATCTAGTCACTATCTGTTAAAAAATTAAAAAATGACTGGAGAACTTGAAATACTGCAAGCATTAGAACACTGCAAGAGACGTTCTATTCAATTTTTCAAAAAAAAACCATAAACAAGGGCAGAACAAGTTAAAATGATAAATAAAATTTTAAATATTTTTCAGCGCACTCGCAGTTAAGATTTATTAATTGGAATGTGTTTCAGGGCACATTAGGCTCCATGCCCAGCTGTCAGCAAAATGTATAAATAACCTTTAAGTGCAAGTGAGAATGCTGAAAAATTTTTAAACATTTTATTCACATGTTATCCTATCAAAACTAGCCTTTTCCTGTTAATATTGTAAATTTGCTCATTTTTTTTACTTTGATCCTTGTAAATAATTTTTGTAATGTGTTTTAAACAAGTCCTGCGCTACATATTTATTTTCAAACAATACTATAGGTGCAGTTAGAGATGGAACCATCTTGTTGGATTGTGGCTAATTTTATTTTTTCAAAAGTGCAACGAGAATGGCTAAAGTGATTGTTCCTCTAACGCTCACTAAATTCCGATAGTATACCAAGGAGCGTTAATGTAACATAAAAATGATTTTAATTAAAGAATAAATGAATTGATCATCAATATGGTATTTTTTCATGTTAAATAACCACCAGGTAGAATCAAAGGCATGCTGTCTAGACCAGGAAAATCAGGGATTCTTCAGGACATGAAATATTTCAATAAAAAATCAGGGAATCTGTTCCCGAAACGGGGAATCCTTTTCTCTAATGGTTAGAGACAAAGTCTTTCCTCTGTGCTTTATAGACTTCTTTAGCACATTCCACAGGCCCATGGGGCGGGGGACTCCTTAAAGTCAATTTAAATGTTCAAAATTTTGGTAGGTACTGGTACCCGCCATATCTAGGTGACTATGAGGTCGAGGTCAATTTTAATTTTTGAAATTTTGTGGCTGGTCAATTTTACATCATAATGGATCGATTTTTGAGACCGAAAATGCAAATATCTCGTAAACCATTGATCGTTGACTATAGCAAATTAAGTTTTTCAGTCCTCCTGAAGCTCTGGAACTACATTTAGCACCCTCCATGTGCCCATAGAGTCAGGGGCCCCTAGGGTCAATTTTAATTTTCAAAATTTTGGTGCTGGTCGATTTTTCATTATGATGAGAAGCGGATGCTTTTCTCAACCAGCAAAATGCGAATACCTCGTAAATTGTAGGTTGTTAAACAAAACAGACGATTTTTCATCATAATGAAAACAGATCGAAATTTGAGACTGAAAAATGCGAATATCTCGTAAACTTTACCACTCTGAAGCAAGTTAATGCATAATTTTACATTATTTTGTCGGATTTTGGGCGCAAAGTTCGTTCCATGAATGGAAGGATCCAACCATAACAAACTATTCTTTTTCTAGAAACAGTTTATTTACTCAAAAAATTAACAACTTAAAATACAGAAAAAAAAGTTTTCAGTCCCATGATTCATCGTTATTACACAAATTATCCATAATATTAACAAAAGGAAACAAGCTGAACTGTACAATGGTAATGAACAAAGTCAGAAAGGTCTTAATATATAGCGATCGTTCAGAAAATATTTACACAAGTACTAGCATCCTTAACCGCAGCACTACATTTCCTTTTGCAGAGGAATGTGATAAAGAATTGTAATGAAATTTAGTTCGAAAGTAAAAATACAATTCTGTACATAATTTTCTCTTTTTATACCTTCATTTAGAAGTCATTCTATTACATCGGGTGATCCAAAAGTTCCACACTACCAGTACCAAGCATTACTCCCGTAACTTCTGAAAAAATTGAGATGGACACATGAAATTTTGTGAGTAGAAACTCCTAGGTGAAAGGAAACAACTTTTGGGAAACCCCAAAATTTTAAAGGGACCGCCCTGAAAAGAAGCAAGAACCTTACACATTACAAGGGTGGTGCAGGACTTTTGAATCACCCAGTGGAATCTAGCCTTACATAAAAACGAGGAACATTTGAGTATCGCATTCCTATGCAACAGGACTTACTTAAAATTTAAGTAATTACACTGTAATAAGTTGGAGCTCCCAGTTATTTACAACAATTTGAGCTTAAAATATGTAGTTAGTTTTGACACCCAAATTAGCACTAGTAAGTCTATGGACCTGAACTTTCTATTTTAGTTTACATTTTTCAACATACTGAAAGAATTGATGGAAAAATCAAATTCACAGTTTTACTTTCTCTCTCCTGAGTGTTGAGTAAAAGCTGTTTCAAAAAATAGGTTTGAACAGCTGAGCCAACAAAAAATTTAAGTTTTTGTTGATAAGATATGATGAGTTTCAACTCACCTTTGACTAAAGTATGTTTAAACTAGATTGGATAAAAATTTCACAATACCTCGACTTAAAAATAAATCATCTTCAAAAAAAGAATGTTTTCAGAGGATAATTTGAAACGAGAATATATGAGGTATAGAAAAGAGATTTGAAAAAAAAAAATTTAACTTGGTAAATTACTTGAGTGAAACTCAAATTTGCTCCCAATGCAAGAAAACTATTTATGATAGAAATGAAAATTACAATCCGGGTAATGCTGTTTTCATCCAAAATATATTACAAAATATTCAAAACGTAACAAATATTTAGAACGTTTACGAAAATTGGGAAGACAAAATGGGAGAAAACTGTTGTGCCCAGTGTCACTAACCGCAGCCTTTTGCTTGTTCCAAAAATAGAAAGATTAAAAAATGTCTACAAAATTCCAAATGCAATTGAAGTTTTGAGCAAGTTGCTTCTTCCCCAAATAGTTATTATTTTACTTACTATGCAAATAAATTCAAAAGAAAATCACAACAGAAAGAGAAAAGAAAACTTAAGCTCTTGAAAAGATGTAAAAAGGATTTTAGTGTGTGCAACAAACAATTGACAAATTTTACTGTAAAAATAAGTAAAAAAATCTTGCACCATTGGTTCCTTTAAAATTATTATAAAATCGACAAAAAAGACGCAAATATGAATAGTGAAACTAAAATGGAGGCTTATACCCTTAAAGCAACGATTGGCGAATTTGGTCTTCGTCATCTTGTTCACTGCATTTTACATTGCGAAAAGAGGTTTCAACTTAGGCTGTGGTTATAAGTTTTATTAGTTGGTGCTAAAACCAACTGTGGGCACAAACTACAATACCTTTGATTATGCGAATTCATCACAGATCCTTAATATTCTTTCACAATATTTCAATAATCTGTAAGGTTGATTTTAGACTTGAGTCGCTAAGGAGGAAAAAAAGATGTAGGAGAAATATTCATCACTGTCAACGTGTGCAAAATAATTATCATGCTTGGTAAAATTCGATAACCAAATCAAAACATAGCTGAAAAGAGAAGCAACTTTTAGAACATGAGGGGAGAAAGAAACCCCCAAAAAAGGAAATTTTAGAGACTTTAAATTTGGCAGATCAAAGCAGGGAGTACCTCAGAGTAAAATTGCAAGTCGCAAGGCTGTAAAGTTATTTTCTGTTGAAAACGTTTTGTAACTCCAGTTGAATACTGCAAAATGCAGAAAAGTTCAACCAATAGGAGACTTTCTTGCAACTCGTTTGCAAGTAAGAGGAGTAAAAATTAGAGAATCCAGGTTTTTAGCAAAGCTAAGTTTAAGCAAATCTTTAGACCAGCTTCGTGAAAATCAGATCATAGTCTCGTGTGAAACAAAAAAACACACATAAATGGATACAAGGACTAAAAATATTCCAAATTTACCTGTCAACAATATTGGAACGAACCCATTGGAAAACTTTAACTTCATCTCCTATGATAACAAATTGCGCGAAGAGTGAACTAGCAGCCTATCTTTTGAATTTTGAATATTGCCTAGATCTAGAGACATCGACAGGGCTCTTAAAAGGACCCACATTTTAAGTACATAGAAAGGAAACAGTCATAGTTAAAAATATATTCATGTTCGAAACATTTCTGCTCTCCTAAAATGCTTAGTTAACAAGGGAGCAATCGCTTTAATTTTTCTTAAAATTAATCGTAACAGAAGTGCAGGTGAGTGTGTCTATGCTTCCAGAAGATGGAACATCATACAGAGTCAGAAATGCGGCATCGCAATGCATGCTTCCTCAACAAAATTAGGCATACAACACAACGGGCACATTTTCAATTTTGAGGAGTGAGTGAAAATCAAGATTTTCCATAAAAGAGATTCAAACTTCTCACTCGCGTTGGACACCAAAGTCTACTGGAATCAACTTAAGATACTCAACTCATTTCAGTGATATTAACAATGAGATAATGGTTTAATTCTACTCGATCTGTTTTGACTAGTTTATAACTAATTGTAAGATGTTTCAAAAGGAGAAACAAGTTTGCAAAACAAAAGCTGGGTTTGTTACAGAAATAGATGACGGTCAGAATCACTACTGGAAATAAGAGAGGAACTGGTGCTGCATTGCAATGAATTCATATCAAACACCATCATGCTACAATTTCAGAATTTTGTGTCAATGTTACAATACAAATAATACGAAAATTTTGGTCGGATAGAGGGGTAAAATTTAGAGCAAGACCGGGTTTAGAGGACAACTGTGGAGAAAAATTACATTGATTACAGTTGGCATGATTTAATTGAAAAACACCTGAATTAAGAGGAAGAGCACAGGGGTACACATAAAATTTTCAGTAAAACAAAAAATCATGAATTTTTTACAAATTTCCTGGACATAGATGTGCGCTGTAGTCCAGGGTCCCAATTTTTTCGGCAGGTTTGCTGTCCACTCTAAGTTGAGGTAAGAATGTCGACTTTGTTATTCCATCACTGATTAATGGTTTGGACCATTAAAGCACTATAGTTGGCTCTAGCTTGTTGTGAAAAAAAGCTGAACTTGCGTACAACTTGAGCTTGGAAAATAATTTTCCTGACTTAAAGTTGAATTTAGAATTTAGAGAATTACGGTTTGCAACTTGAATTAGACTGCAGCGAACAAGGGTCAGGCCCAGAGTCCCTTACATTAAAAGTTGCTTGCAGAAATTAACATAAAAGCATGTGAAAATAGAAATAAATAAAAAGTGAGGTAATGATGTGGACTAGCAAAATTGAAGTTGTTTGCCTTCTTTTCTAAAAATTTCTGAAATCTTTGTGTGCTGACTTAACCCTTGAAAATGAGCGACAGCAATTAATTTGCAAAACAATTACTTCCCGACACTTCCTGTATTGGAGAAGCTCTGTGAATGATCTAATTAAAGTATTGTTACCAGGAAAATTTGGTGTTCATCAAGTTTAAAAATTCTTCTGGAACTTGTGTCCGATAAGTTGGCAGTTGTTCACTTCTGACTGCCACTTGCAGTAAACATGTTTAGCAATATCCCCTCAGAGAAAGGTATTGGTTTTCGTATCTGTGCACATCCGCAGCACGGTGTCATCATGGCACTGGGCCAATCCTTGATTGCTATTAAACAGTGCCGACAAAGTCGCTTGCGAATGGAAAGTAAACAACTGCCAACTTATCTAACGCAAGTCCTACTCATGGAGTGAAAGCAAATGTTTAAATTTCAGGGGTGATATAATGATAAATTATGCAACTTGAGTCACAGAGCGTCATGCAGGAGACTACAAATTGAGGAAACCATTCAAAAAAAGATAAATTTCATTGAAAAAGAACAGTCTGGATGAACAATGGAGCTTACGCTCTAAGAAATTTCAATGTAGCATGTGCAAACGAAATTTTTAGTTCGCTTACAATGACTGTCACTTTTGGAATTTTCTTCACTGCCCCTCCAATGATTTAAAAAATTCGACTACTAAAAACTTGTTCATAATAATTAGCAGCTGTGTACTAACAAAATAAATTGAATTCCCTCCACTGGAGAAAGTAATAAGTCACTGGGGGAAGTCCGGGGGCTAGTAAAATAAAACAGTTTAATGGCAAACAATGAACGCAAGTCAGACAGTAAAGGCAAAAAAAATAACTAGTTCACAATTGCCTCTTTTCAATTAAAAAGGGAATGAGGAAAAACCGTAACAGTAAACACAGGATCAAGCATTTGGATTTTTTCGCATCAGTGAAAAGCAACTGCAAACGCTTTTCTACCTGGAATTAATAAAAATAAATAGGTACACCTCGGGGGTGTAGAAAGTGCTCGATTGACTGACAGCCAATCGCAGGAGAAATGTGAAGGCACCAAAAAAAGGGAAACTGTGAAAGCAGAGGGCATTCATATGAAAAGGACCATAAAATGCATTATTTTTTGAGAAGAGAAGTACTAAGCGCATTACTTTTCGGAGGGGAAAACTGTGTTACTAGCTCTTTCATGCAAAGAAAAGAGTGAAGCGCGCAGTCTTGTGTGAACAGCAATGCAAAGAAAGCCTCAAAAAATGTGCGGGTAAAGAACTTTCTGCACCCCTGATACACGTGGAGATTACATTTTCATCGTGAGTCATACTTGGGTTCATCGCGACACAGGAAAAAGACGTGTTTGATTTTAGGATAAAAACTTAAGTATTACAGAACTAGTACAGTCACACTCGTTTCAAGGACTGTAAAATTTTAGAAATTAGTTGTGACTGTCCATGGCTAAAGGGCCCTTGATGTACAAACCTTTTTCTGAGAGGCGATTCTCGTCAATTTGCTTAAAAAAATCAGAATTTGAGTCTTTGACAGAAAACGCTCTTGAGTATCCCGAGGAATAAATTAGTTCGCTTGGAGACCAACAAACGGCCTTTCAATGAGTCTGTTGTATGAAAGAGATACAGCCAAATAAATGGACTACATTTCGCAATTTGGAACTATAAATTCAAGCCCGGTTAAAAACAACGTATGTGCCATTGGTTTCCCTATGCACATAAGTGTTTTTCCAGAGGAGCCAGAATTTATAGTTCCAAATTGCAAAATGCAGTACATATGTACTCTATGTGGGTGGAAAAAATCACTTTGGGCTTGTTAAACAAGTCTGAAATCCATTCCTTAGTTCGCAATCTGCGAAGTCTACGACACGCTTTTTCATCTCTTGCATCTGCGGGCAGTTTTTTTCAGTCACTGCCGATCAGGTCTCTGCACACGCAGCGGAATAAGAAAAATTAACCCGAGTAAACAAACGATTTCACTAACTCTATCAATTGTATGATTTTAAGCGTTATCAAACATTTGTTTCCTTTTTCTTTGTATATTTTGTAAAAAAAACAAAAGCTTCCACTCGATTGAAATCTTACGCAAGGAGAGTTTATGACAGTTTGCAAGATTTATGTTTATATGGGTAGGTCTTTATCCAGGCAAGCCCGACTGCCGGCCTCCGAGAAAAACTGTCCACATACGTGGTAAATTTGCAAAAACGTGTTACAAACTATACAGATTGCGCACTAAGGAGTAGATTTCAGACTTTCTTGATGTGCCCAACGTAATTTTCAAGCGAATTTACCCTTCAAAAATGTAATCAGTTGGCTGTATCTCTTGTGTGCAACAGGTCCATTGTGCAGCGGCACAGTCGAATGCGCTGTACAAAGCGATCCCTCTAATTATTTTATCTTAGCACAAGCGAACAATCACAATAACCATCCTGGCAGTGAACTTTATTGCAAAAGTGCTGTTTTACAATGACAAACTCCAAACCATCACAATGCCAATTCAGAGTCTCATTGGACCTTTTCCAGAATTTTCATTGAAAAAATGTTTGAAAAATACTCCTCTGTGCAAAAGTGTGCTTAATTTTGCAATTGTTGGCACTAGAGTTCCTTTTGCCATGGCTAGTCACGAATTTCACGTTATCACTCTAGAAAGAAGAATAATCATTCAATTCTCATTGAGACAAATACTTACTAGAGGATACGAGGATATTAGTAAATCATAGAAAAATTACCCGATTGAACCAAACGGAGACTAATGAAAATAGACTTTTGCAGAATAAGACAGGATCATAAGTTCATTTTGATCAGCGCCACCGTCATCTACGAGATGGCTTGAATGTTCGGTTGAACACAGCATTGGATAGAACGATGACTGGAGAAAATAACCTCAGAGGACAGTCACTGGAAAAAATAAAACATTTATCAGTTTCATGGATGCTGATTTGCACTCAGAAAATATGCACTTTATTAGAGACACGCAGCTCTATATTACCGTGCTAAGATAAAACGCTGTATGAATCTCTAAGCATTGCAAAATTCCCTTTGATAAAATTTTAGTGGGCAAGTTTTAAATATTTTTCTTTCAATTTTTCAACAAATTTTGTTCCCAATTTAATCGAAAATATCTGAAAAATTTAAGGATAAAGATGCATAGCTCATCTCCAAAATAATTTGTTTATTAGGGGAAATTTGACAACATTCAAATTTTAATACAGCGTTTTTTCCCAACACAGCAACATAGGGTTAAAACATGATGAATAAAAGATGATAACCATGATTTTGTGATTTGACAAAATTAACCTCATTAATGGGTCTGTTGCAAACTTTTGCTAGAGCAAAAATAAGAGTTGTTTCTATCAGTAAATGTCTCAAAAATCATGATGAGCGCATTGGCAAAGTTGAAATGTACTCCTAACTTCACAATCTGCGTAAGAAAATTTGCATTATTTTGGGCTTCCTACTTCAAAAATGATAATACGGCACAGGTGAACATTTCGTTAAAGGAGTCATTCTATCTAGCCCCTGTGCACTAGGATACTACACAATATTCAACACGGCTGGCACCAATCCGTCAAAACGCATGTGCCTGGACAAGATTCTAACCATTGGTTAACAACCACCCACCATGTTTACATTCACGATTTCTTCAGCATTCACGGCATTGAAATAAAGTTATGTCAACCAAATGTCAATATTCAGTCACCTAAGAAACCTGCGTTGATAATAATTTCGGGAGATATTCGTCCTTGCCGGCAAGAAATGGCCTTTCAGATGAGAAAGAGATGTCTGAGCTTGTCTACTTGTGAAATGGCAAATAACACCACGGTGTTGATAAAAAAAATTAATTAGAAAATGTAATTGGAAATCTCCACAGGCCAATTAAAAGCTTGAGATTGCATACACAATTTTTTTTTTGGTAAAACTGTCAGTCACATACATATCGATGGTCAAAGTGTGAGATCAGATGTCTCCGTTTACCATGTTGCAGACTTCCTGTCATACTTCATTTTTCTTCGAAAATACAGTCCACGTAATTCCTAGAAAATTCCCTTGATTTTCCTTCTTTATCAGCAGGATATTCTGCATAGCTTTCAAGCTATGTAGGTGGCTAGTTTCACTTTGAAATATTAAATAGAGGCAGAAATTTTGAAACACCGTAAACTGCAATGGAGATTCGCAGTTCGGTGCTTCGAGTAGATTCAAAACCTGGGGGACAAAGCCCAGAACGGAACCTCTAAGGGTATTGTTGATAGTTTCGTGCTTTAGCCGTCAATATCTTCCTGAAAGATGGCTTCTTTTTCTTGCAGAGTTGTCGGAAGGCTGAGCAGAAACTTTGGCTTTCAACGGTTTCAACTACGGTTTTTATTCAGCAGCTCAAAGAATGTTCAAAAGAAAGGCCATGGCCAATGGGCAATTTTAAAGAAAAAAAGAACAGATATCCGGACTGAAACTATTTTCCAATTGCTGAAAAAAACACTTACTTAGAATTCATCACAGGATTCGCTTCATTGCCACTGATGATCCAAAGAGGAAACAAAATTGAGAATACACAGCCACTGGAAAAAAAATTGTTTTGGTCATTTTAGCACACAATGCCTTCTTGCATTTTTAGTCTCAACACATGGTAAATTGTCAACCGACTGATCTACATTTTGCAATTCGGAACTGAAATTTCTAGCTCATGAGTAAAAACACTTATGCGCATGGGAAAACTACAGTACATACGTTGCTTCTAAACAGAGACAGAAATTGTAGTTCCTGATTGCGAAATGTAGTCCAATTGACATCCCATTCGGCATCTTTGCGGTCTTCTTTGAATAAGATTTTGAAATGATGGCTTGATGTTAGGTTTTAGGTAACTGGAAGGGTAGCAAAAGGCATAGAGAAAATAGAGGAGGTATTCGCATTTGGGGCATCTTGGATTTTTTTGATGACATAGGTACGGACGATTTTTATCGTCGATTTTCTTCGAAATGGTGTAGTTTATAGAAAAAAGTAATTCTATATAAAGTGTTTGAAATGACATAATGAGTTGATTTAAGTAAAAATATCGGATGTTAAGGTCCGTTTTTCATACCTAAAATTCTGGATTTTGCTGAATATCTACGCTATGTTGTACCGACCTACGTCACGGGGTGAACAATCCTCAAGATGCAAACACCTTTTTTTTCTCTATGAGCGAAAGGGACCGTTTTTGGGCCCACCCTGAATTTCCTAAACTCTACGATGTTTACCTTATTGGAGGTCTACATTTGTTGGAATACGCCATGATTTGATCATTTTTGGTTTCTTTTCGGATCTTTTACTCTGTCGTGCTAAGGAAGAACGCCATAAGAACATTTGAGAGTTGCCAAATTTACTCCAGTAAAACGTTTATTTCTGAGAAAAGTTATGAATATTTTTACTTTAAATTTTCAGAATCTTTAGGTGAAATTGTGAAAAAAATTACCTGAAAAATTGGGAAGAAAAAATTCATAAGTTGACCAGGAAATTTGCGTTTTATGAAAGGAAATTTGGCAACGCCTGGAGGTTCTCACAGCGTTCTTCCTTAGCACGGCAGTACTGGCCTGTACATGAGACTGAAGGCAGATTTTGGCAAAATATGCGAGTTTTACAGGTTTTCGGTCAAATCCTGGCCAATTCGCATTTTCCGCCATAATTGGCCCTCAAATCCACGTTAATCTATTATTAGATTCCAAAGAAGACCAGAAACGATCAAATCATGATACATTCTCTAAAATGTAGACCTTCAATGAAGAAGAATTGCAGAGTTGAGGAAATGGGCCTGTCGCAAACTTTTGCTAGAGCAAAAATAAGGGTTTTTTCTCATAGATTATGTCTCAAAAATCACAATGAGCACATCGGCAAAGTCTGAAATGCACTCCTAACTTCACAATCTGCATAAGAAATTTGCGTTCTTTTAAGCTTCCTGCTTCACACATGATACTACTGCACAGGTGAACATTTTGTTAGAGGAGTTGTTCCATCATTGGCAATATTCATCATGGCCGACGCTTCTGCAGTTCTGTGTGTGATTCGAGGAGAGTTCAAGGTCAATCAAGGTGGGCGAGGAAAATGTGAACGTAAACACGCTGATTGTTATCTGGTCTTCCCAGGTCAGGTGTTATCTTGTCCCGTTACACGAGTTTTGGCGGATCGGAGTCAGCCATTGATGAATATTGCCGACGATGGAACAACTCCTCTAACAAAATCTTTCCCTGTGCCGTAGTATCGTTTTTGAAGTGGGGTGCTCAAAAGAACGCAAATTTCTTATGCAGATTTTGAAGTTAGGAGTGCATTTCAGACTTTGCCGATGTGCTCATTGTGATTTTTGAGACATTGTCTATAAGAAACAACTCTTATTTTTGCTCTAGCAAAAGTTTGCAACAGGCCCATTCAGATAAAGTGAGCCAAAAATGACCCCTATCAATGCCCCTCCTTTGGATTGACTTCGTAAAATTTTAGATGGGTTTTGTAACACTTGAACAGAACATTCAGGAACACCATTAGAATTGCATTGTTTTTTGGCCAATCTTTGAATGAGCTGTTAATGTCGCAGGCAAATAATCAAATGCCTGGGCAAATAGTCAAATATACTTACTAAGACTGAAATTCTGATTATTTTGTTTATGATTCTTTGATCATGTGGGAAAAAATTCTGTGTAAAAACTTGCTTCATATGATCATAAATACGTTTTTTTCTGGTTATTAAATGCAAATTTATCTCAAAATATGCAGCATTTCATAAAATAAAAAGTTGTCACAATTTGGACAGTTCAAAAAATATGAGGAGCATTTTTGAACGGGAAACACAATGACAGTCTGTACTTTGACGGATTTTTAGTCTCAAAATATTGAAAATTTGGGAGGTCTTTGTGAAAACATAAAAAACCTCATAAACTTTAAAAATGTGAGTATCTGCCTGGTCATTTGATAAAATGCCTGATTTGACTATTTGCCTGCGACATTTACATTAAGTGTAATTTACAAGCCATCGTGAACCATAATTTTTGACGCAAGCTTTTCTCTCTTTTGCACATAATACAAACTTCCAGAGTCCAGAATAAAAAATTCCATTCACCTGACAAAATAGGACTTCGGCAACTCGGTGAGAATTGCAAGAGGGAGTCCAAACCCAATGAAATAGGGCCAGTTGTTTTCGATGAAAGTAAGTCTCCTATGTAGCTCCCAGCCCATATTGCACCACTTGTATTCGAAAGCGTACAGCGAGTAAAGTAGACACATGTGCATCAGCGATAGAAGTTGCCCGATGGCAACAATTGGGATCATGCTTACTACCATACTCTGCGAACAGACACGAAACAAAATCGATAAAACAAAACAAAACTGACGGAAATTTTCTTTGGCACTGTTTTGTGTGGAAATGCATCATCCTTCAAAGAAAGGATCTTCATACCAGAAAGCTAAAAGAGGATATCACTGCCAGAAGAAATCTCATGCAAAAATTGTAGCAAAAAGGATGTTGAACCTTGGCAGTTAGACATGGCGACAGTTGAATTTTTGCAGTTCAAAAACAGAATTTTAAGAGAGAGTTGATGAAAAATTTAATATGCGATTTTGGCAGCTTAAAATGGATCTGTTCGTTGTCTTCCCCACGAAAGAGCACAACTGCATTTCAATGTTGCCAAATTTCCCCTCCCAAACTGCAATTTCAACTGTAGAATTTTAGGCGTATCTAACTGAAAATTTCACTGATTGTCCATCTGATCTCATGCAAAAATCAGAGAAATTTTGTACAAAAATTGCGCAAGTACATCCTTGTCAAAAATCAAATTGTTTGAGTCATTTTGCAATCTTGGAATAGAGTTATGTTCTTTCGTCCCATTCCGGAAACAACATACACTGGAAAAAAAAAACACATTGGATCTAGAGTCCAGACTCTTAAACACATCGACAAGAAAAAATACTCTTGATTCAATCAGATTTAAGCTTAAATTAAGAACCCAGCCTTTTAATTTGAGCGGATTTCCTTTTGATTTAAGCTTAGATCTGATTGAATCAAGAATCCTTTTTCTTGTCAATGTTTTCAAGAGTCTGGACTCTAGATCCAATGTGTTTTTTTTTTCCGGTGTACTGTGTGCAAGAGATACGCCGAAGTGGATACACATGCTACACGTAAAATTGCAAGAAAATCACAATGGACACATAAAAAAAATGAAATCCACTCCTTTACATCCAATTCAAAATCTGTATCACTGGTCGGCTGTTGGGGCACCTGGGACTAATTTTTCCAGGCTCTCTGGAGCCCAGCACTGCCGTTCTACGGAAAAACGCTATCTGAGCATTGGAATGTTGCCAAATTTACTCTCAGAAAATACTTATTTTTGAGGAAAGTTATGGATATTATTCATTGAAATTTTCAGACACTTTCGATCAAATTACAAACAAAATCCGCTGAAAATTCAATAGAAAAATACTTGCAAATTTTCCTGATAATTCGTGATTTGTAGAAGGAAGTTTGGCGAAAACTGAAGACTCACACAGCGCTCTTCCGTAATACGGCAGAGTAGTGCTGGCTGTCTTCAGTTTCTAAGAAATGTTGCTGGGCTAACAGCTTATATGCTAAAACTGATCTCTTGAACTTCACTAACTATCGCTTTGAAAGAACACCATTGAAAGGCTGTCGGGAGAGTTCATCCTGACATTTTAAATTCATGAGAGTACTCTTACATTGTCACATTGCGTTTGTCACGTTTGTTTGTCAAATTGCCTTTCACTGTACTATATTTTGTACTTAAAGGGCTTGTCTATATATTTCTAGAGTAAATAGATAAATAACATGCGCCAGCTTCACCTTTTTCCATATGACTGCTGTCACATTGTCACAAACTTTCCGAGACCCTGTGAGTCAGGAGTTTTTCTGTATAGTAAGACCTCCATTAATCGGATTTCAAGGGACTGACTAATGAATCCATTAAATCGGAGGATCCAATACTTTGAATCAGCTTGAAGTCCTTAAAGGGACCTAAAAGTTGATCCGCTTTGCAAAATCTGTTTAATTGCAATCCAATAAATTGAGATTTTATCGTATTTAATTTTGAAGGTATTACTTAAGATTGAGAAAATTGTTGTTTTACCTGAACTAAAAATAAAGCTTGGACTAGAATACTGAAGAACGAATCTGCGATGAGTTTACTTATGTTTAAGATATTTTGAGGTTTGCCTTGGCTGTACCGATACGCTGAGTCAGCAATATCCTGCAACAGAACAAGGGCTAAATGAAAATGACGAAAGCAACAACACAATAAAAACTATCAGAGGGTTGAGTGAGGGCATTGGAACGTTTCGCAAAAATAAAATAATCAAACTGAAATATTTTCTTCCTACTGTGATTAGAGGAGAGACATGAAATATTTCAGTCAAAGGTTCTCTAAAAGTGAAGAAAAAATATTTTGTATGAGTGGAAGTACCCATACAAAGGGAAATGGCCCTTATCACCAAGAAGCTCAAAAATGAACAGTCAAAACATAAAAATACCTACATAGGTTTCCTTCACATGCATTTGCAGATTAAATAATACATATGTACTTGTGAGAAAAAGATGATCATGCTGTTCGTGATGTACTTTATAGGGTTATAGGGAGCAGATCCTGCCGAAAAAAAGGGAAAAAATCTGATGATCCTCTCCAATTTGACAAAAATCATTTCCAGAAAAATTTGCCTCCCTTGACAATCAGATTTTGTGATGACTTTTCTTTCACACCTTAAGCAAGTTACAAAAAGATTGAACAACACTTATGAGATGAATAAGAAGACAAACCTGAAACCATAGGCTATTCACAACTTTGCTGAGGAAAAACAGCGGCAAGACCCACACAGTGCTGAAGGTCCATGATAAGAACAGATGGACCCAGAACCAAATGGAATTGGCAGTTGCTGGCGAGTGGCTAAAAATCAGCGAGATGACATATTTTAGACTTGGCAGACATGCACATTCAAAAATTAGGATGCTCAGCCAGAAGATGCCGCCATTCAGAGCACAACACTGTAGAGTTCTTTTCAAAACTTTTCGCTCTTTCCTGGGAACAATAGATTGAGCGGATTAAAATTTAAAGTGAAAACAAACAATGTGATTCAATCAGACGAAAATTTTTGTATCTGATTCCTTGCTTTGAGAGACCTCCCTTCTGAACTTTCTCTATCACCTTGCTAAGATTCCAGCCTTATTATTTACTTGGATACTGCTATTTGAACCACGTTAAACAGAGAGGAACCAAGGCTTATCAGCTATTGCCAAATTTAATTGGCTAATTTAATTTTTTACATGAAAACAGTTGGGCGGATTTTCATGCAAATTTCAGTGAATGTTCTCCATAGTTAAAGCAAATTCCTTAACATTTTCAAAGGGATCAGCACAAACGTTTTCTCGTAAAAAATTAAATTGCCCAGTTAAAATTGGCAATGGCTGATGTGGCTTGGTTCCTTTCTGTTAAACGCGGTCCATTTATAGCAGTAATTTTCAGCAGTTTTTGGCAGCAGACCACTTTTTCACCGAGGGAAGGAGCCTTTTTTTCAGACGAAATTAAAAAAACAAAAAATCGTCCACCACTCATCAGCTCATGGACCACCAGTTGAGAACCACTGATTAATACAGTTATTACTTTTAAACAAGGTAAATTGAAGAATTTATATTGAAAATGAGCCAACTTAGAATTTTTTGGATACCGTTTGAGATGTTTTTAAGTGAGACCACTTCTTGAAAAAGTAAATCGTCTAAAAACAAAAAAATCTCTTGAGAGGCTCAATTTTGGAAAAATGGAAAGAAAAAAAACATGGTTTGCAACAGCAATTCTTGCAAGCGGTAAGACTGTATTTCCTCCTTTTAAATCTATTGTAAATAATTCAAACTAGATGAAGCAACCTACCAAAATAAATATCCATTGTTTTGGATACGTTTACATGGACAAAACCCGAAGCTGCTGATTTGCAAAAATCATCACAGCCTTTTCAAGATTACCGCCTCAATGGGTCAGTTGTGCTGGTCACAGAATTGTGTTTTGATGCTTTATTCTAGCAGATCAACTAAAATTAATAAGATCCGTCCAAACAGCAACTTTCTACTAGAATATTAAATGAGATATTGTGCCTTGAAAAACTTGATTTATGACGTCATCCACCGCAGTAGTACATACCATGTTATGCACTAATGCGGTGGATGACATCAAAAACCCGACTTCTCCAAGGATGATATCTCGGCTAATATTCAAAGTAGGAAGTTATGGTTTGCACAGATCTTAATATTTCTAGCTAATCTACAAGATTCAAGCATCAAAACACAATTCTGTTGCCAGCGCAACTGGTTCGTTAGGTTCTGAAGAGGGATATTTTTTAAAGCAAGGAGATTTTGAAGCAAATACGAGATACCTAGGTAGACTTGACAACACTCTACACATTGCCATTCGATTATTATATACAACTTTTGGAATCGCCTAAAAATTGAAGCCCCCTAAGTGCAATAAAAAAAGATAAGCGTTACTTAGTTTAGATTGGAGAAGACGAACAAGGCCAAGAAATGTTTAGTCTCAAGGAGCTCATGATACTTACAGAGGAGTTACTTTCACAGAAGCTTCTTTTTTCTGATGCCTTGGTGTGCTTATACGTGTCGCTTTTTCATTGATTCTATTGTCAAGATAAAACAATATGATGGCACCTTTCAGACTGTCAATGATTCCTCGTGCAACTGCTACCGTAATGCCCTGAGAAAATTGGAAACAATCTGTTACTGAAGCTGACTCATTAGGATACTGTAAGACAGATTAAAAAGTCATTTTGTCTGTGACAGTCCACAGGGACGCAAATAATTTCAAGCCACCACAATTTGTTGTCTCGGAGACGAAGAAACTTATCCTGTCTGCGCAGTTTCAGTATTTCTATTAACATTTCATTTTTTCATCGTAAAGCTGTTTCATGAATTAGTCTAAAGATTTCAGTGTCTGTCGCACTAGAATAAAAACAATTACCGGAAATTCTAGGAAAATTCCTGCAATGACTCTCTTGTAAACAAACAGAATGTAAGTAAGAAATACTGTAAAAGTGCAATCGAGATGCGTTCCTTCAGGAAGGAGAAAAAAAATTTTCTGAAGCATTCTAGGTTTCTGCAAAAAGGTCAACACCTTGCCCTGATTAAAAGTATGTCAAAATTTTAAGTTGATTGTAAAGTTCCTTTCAGTTTATTGGTTAATTTCCAGCCGAGTCCATGATGGAGATCCTAACCTTGCTCATTGGTAACGAAACATGTAAGGAACTAAAATAAAAATGGTCTAATATTTTCTCATATTCAAAACAATGATATCTTTCGTCTCTGACTGCAAGTCAGTAAAGGAGTAAAAATACTGCTGCCTGATTTACTAAGTACAGCAGTATTCGTAAATTAATAGTCACAAATGGATACTTGCCGATAGATTGCTTGCCACAGAAAAACTCCTTGACTGATGAAGAATAATACTTACGATTTAAGGGAGACATACGCTCACATTTAAAAGGGTATTTATAGATTACTAAAGCTTCGTCCCTCACCTACTATCTAATGTAAGCACTTCGCTAATGATCTGGTGAAATCATGATCTGTGTACACTAGACAGCATTGGCTGGATGAGTAAGACTCTGTGTAGCATACCCTCTCTGTATGATTGAGGGCACTTTTCCAGAAATCATTTTAAAAGGAATGATCATCATTCAAAAATAGAGAGGCGAGAAATATTTAAGATAACCAACAAAGAGCCAACAGCCCTTGTTTATAAGAAGTGCTGCTACAGAATTCAGTGCTCCACTGAGACAAGAAGTTTCACACGATAGTATACTTACCCAAATACTCTCCAAAAATTCGGATTTCAAAAGGCTCCACATTTTTCGAAGTATAATTTGCAAAAATTTCGAAAGCAAGACCAATTTAGATGGAACTGTCCATTCTAGGGCTAATGAAACGCAATAAAAAAAACAAAGAATCACGTGAAAACACACAGCACGGTCCGTTGGTTTTGTTGACACAATGGATGAGTCACATTTTATCAGCAATAGTTTCAAAAACTATAACGAATAACGATACTCATTGTGAGAGGAAAAGCTCGGCGATCACAAAAAGCTGGACTTTCGAGTTATCAAAGTCATGCATAGACGATTCGATACCTCAGACATCGACATCGGACCTCGTCACGTGGGTAAAGTCACTTGAAGATCAAAACATTGCGTGTTGCTTACCAATTTAGGAAACATTGAGCAATGCCGCGAGTAGACGCAGACAAGAGAGTAAATAATTACCTATCGTTGGCATAAATTAATGCATACGGCAGCAGAAAATTTGTAATTTAAATCGATCTGGAACAAGGATACGTAGATGAATTTGCGAGTAGCTGCTTCAATTTTACCTGACGTTCCCAATATAAAGCTCATGGTGTTCTGGCACAGCATTACCAATTTCAGTATACTTCCTCTGTGCTTACTCAAATGTGAGGATGGGAGGGGTAAGAGGTAGGGATTGAAGGAATTCAGAAGGAAATCTTGTACTTTATTTTTTTAGAGGAAAATAATCAACAGTTTTTTTTTTAAAAAGAAAAAAATGTGTGAATTTTCTTCACGTAATTGAAAGAATTGCCATGCTTGGAGTGGCAAAAGAAACCTCTGGTGGCTAGATATATTTAGGAATAATTACCAAATTTTAACATGCCCCCTTTTGTACTTGGCAGAGTTTTCAAGAATAGGAAGTTGATACCTACTTAATGATGAGGGAATCAAGAAGCGATTAAAAATTTAAAAATTGGACGATAAGAATAGTCAAAAATTGCTGCCAAAAATTGGAATCTCATTACAATTAGATAGCTATTTCGTATTTAAAAATCAAACATGACTAATTATGGCAAGTTCGTAGGTATTTAACATGTAGATTAAAATTACTATTTAGTAGAAGTTTCATGGCGATGAATGAAAAATAAATTGGCTATAAGTAGCTTATTTATAAATATTAATCTTGAAATCCTGCTGCGTAGGATTCTTTTTTAGGTGATGCACTCTTTGCACTGTTACTAAAAAAAAAACTTCCATAAGAAGAGGATGGTTTTAGAATAACGTATTAAAAATTACTTTTTAAGGAACTTGTTTAATTCACTGTGTATCAACGATCAACGGCTAAAGTTGATAAAAATGTTTATCTCCATAAGAACTTTTAAAAAATCTCTGATTACATTTTTTCTCCTTTAAAAAATAGGTAGTATCTGCTTGACATATTCTGCCAATATGTTTGAATTGGTATACTTAAAAAAAAAACATGAGGAAAATTTCATAGAAAAACCTTCAGTTTCCTTTTAAAAGAAATAAAACACAAGCAGCAATTGGTAGCTTCGAAATAGAGGATTCATTTTCAACTTAAAGCTTTAGAAATTTTTACCTGAAGATTGCAACGGTTTTATAAATATAGTTATTCTACAATTACAATTATTGCGAGCCTATACTTTTCTTACTTTTTGTGCAAACGCAATAAAATAGGAGAATACACATTTGGAAAGAAAAAAAAAGGTACTTAGGTTCAAGCTGTGGAAGTTCGTAGACTTCCAGAGTGACCCAAGCCATTTAGCAACTTGATGGTTGCATTTCAAGAGTGAAACTCCCAAACCACGTATCTCATTTGCCGTGTTCTAAAATCCTCGCTTCCATAATATTTTTCTACAGAAGAACAAGTCAAAATTATTCCTTGAAGTACTTTTGAAGTTTGTTTTGCTCAGAGAAGAAAGATCATAGGAAATTTTTAGGAATTGAAGTCGAGTTGTTCTCGATTTAGAAAATAAAGTATGACAGGAGGTTTGCGGCATCGCAAACCAAGATACGTGGTCTGGTACTTTTACTGTCAATTTACTTTCTACAGTAAAATGAAGACCGCAAATCTTCTACCAATCTTACTCTGGAAACCAGCCAATGAGTCTTGCATGAACTCTCAAGTAAAGAAATCACACGCTTCGATATTGCAATGAGCAAAAAATCAGCATTCGCAATTAAAAAAACACTTTAATAAAGTATGAAGTATACTACAGTACATGTTTAACAAATATATTCAAGTAAATAACAGCAATGGTAAGGTGACATAGAATCATCTGCTAAAATTAAAAGTATCCATAAATGCAAGAGTATAATAATACTTAGCGTTGAGTTCTTTTGTGAATGAATAATAAAAAAAGATAGCGAAATGAGAGATAAAAATCAGTAAAAGTTGTGTTGGCAAGTTGGGGATGGAATGATTTTGAAATGAGACATGGAGGAAGAAAGACTAAGTGTCAGTGCAAGATCTGCTAAATGAAAGAAAAAAGGGCTCAGAAGTCCAATGGTCAATGATGCTTAAGATTGAGACATCAGCTAACACTAGCAAAAGGTTTATTGGTTTGCTAAGTTACAAATTTCCTAATCTATATTTGAATATCCACTCTTCCAGATATAAAAAAAAGGAATGAAGAAATTAACCTGAGCTTTTCTATTACTATTTACCATGATCAAACACTGAATGAAACGGGCAGTACCGAGATATTGGCATCATTTGATTCTTGGACGGATGGAAATCTTATTTCATACTTAACACTTCATTTACTTTATAGTTTTCTGCTCTAATTCATAATTCCATCCGTCACAAAATAAAGCTAAGCTCTATGGGATTGAATCAGGCGGACAGAAAATGACAGATCTTTGTTTGTAAAACACGTAATATGACAGGTTCATACAAAAAAGTTTTAACTTTTGATTCCAGTAAAGATAAGGGGTCAGATCTAAAATAAGTTCTAAGATATATTAAAAGTTTTCATTTTGTTCATATGGACCATAACTAAAGGAAGTTGCTTGGCATAAAAAATGGAGTTAGAAAAAGTTGATACAATGATAAACAGATTTTTTGTGGATTTTTCAACTGTTACAAAGAATATAAAATATTCTACGTATGCTCTTAATTTATTATTAAGAGCCTACACTGAGGAATATTTTAATTGTTAATTGGTTTGCCGAAAACAAAATCCGGCTGTGAGAGAACACATTTGATTTTCCACCAAGTAATCATCACACAATATTAGTAATTACTTTTAGATCCACCGAGACCTTGAATTAAATCGCTACTTTTTACAGACATTCTTATTTACAAAATCATGATAATTTAAAAACTTGCTCAGAAACGCATATTTACACTATATAACAATTTTTGAACTCATTTACACAACAATATCCGTGATGAAAATTTATCTACAAAAAATAGATGTATTAAATTTTAGCCCCTCCTGCCAAATAAAACTAAAAATAAGTTATAATATCACTGACCTAAAATTGTCAACTCCCGCACAAAAGAATATACCTCGATTGTGCTGTTTCTGGTTTTATACTGACGTTCTATTTTTTTAAATGAGAACCATTGCATGAATTTACCTGAGATTCGTAGTGATTTCTCTCTGCTCTCATGAGAGGAGACACCACAATTTTCAGACTTCGTGCAAAGGTTTTCCAAAACAAACAAAAATTCAATGTTCCTAGAAATACTAAAACAGCGCAGATAAGATATGTTCCTTTCTGCAGAGACATCAACATACAGGGTAAGATTTTGCCATTTAAAATACAAATTTTGATATGAATCTCAAAGCATGTTGCGAATTATCTTGAGACCATGGCTAAGAATTAAAAGCTGTGTTTTTAGATGGAAACAACAAAGAAAAATGTAATGGAGAATTAAGAGTAGTTTAAACAGAATTTTAGGTAAAACTACTCAGAAAAAACTAAAATCCAAAGAAAGCGTTGTTAAAAAATCAATTACAATTCCATCAATGAGTTTATTCTGAAGTACAGTATGTACCCTCTCTCTATGACGAATCGTCAATGAACCAAGCAACTTTTTGCCATAGAGAAAAACGAGCAAATGTAACTAACATGAAAAATTCAAGAGACCAGACGATTCCTTCGTTATGGACAGATTTTTGTTTCAACAGATATGATTCTATAGAGAGGGAGCACTGTATTACTCAAAACAAAAAGGCTCCAATAATTATATGCCTAAGCATTTCAACGATCAACTCTCCAGAATAAAATATGTTTACAGTGATGACATTGTGGTAAATAAATAGACGAGTGATATCTGTGCGAGTTACTAAGATAGTGGAGTAATCACAGGAACTTCAAGTGAAAATGACAATTCATTTTGGAATAAAAAAAAACAAATACATTTAATCTCAAGGGAATGTTGAAGATTTAAGAGGCGGATAAGATTATCTTAAAAAGCATAAATATAAATTTAGAAAAGTATGAGCATTAAAAAATTTATTTCCTTAAGGACAGAGAAAAGGAAGCTATTTTATGAAAAATAAATGTTTAAATACGAAATTCATGCACTTTTAAATGGAAAATTCACATTTGGCGATAAAGTACTACTGTTTTTGGCTCATTTTAGAAACAACATGAATGTCATTAGTTTCCAAACAAGTGCTTTCATAGATGAGCCAAAGATGGTGGTTCCTCGGTACAAAATCTAGTCCCGTTACTATATTTAAAAAAAATTAAAAAATTGAAAAAGATGAGTATTTTATACGTCCACCCTGGCATGAAATCCGAAACGATTGAAAAATGGCACAGCATATGAGCTCGCTTTTTGCGCAGTGGTGGAGGTCTGAGCCTGAATCTTTTGGTCCTTCGTCGACCGTAAGTTGCAAAACCTGTCCTCAAAATTCCACCGTAAGTCAGGAGAATAATATTCTAGGCTCAAGCTGTGTACATGTTGAACTTTTTTCAGCAGCAGCCTGATTATTGAAATTTTTTGTTTGTCGGATCGACATAGATGACATAGGTTAAAAGGCGGAGCATAATTGGTCGGCTATGTCTTATCGCTGCCTTATCGTGCCTTTGTCAGGTGGAATGATCGACATACTGTCGGAAACTTAAGAGGTGCCGTTAGCTTGTCGATCATTCCACCTGACAAAGACACGATAAAGCAGCGTTAAGACATAGCCAACCAATCACGCTCCGCCTTTTAACCTATGTCATCTATGTCGATCCGACAAACAAAAAATTTCAATAATCGCCCCGCAGGTTTGAGTTATCTTTATCTCAACGGTGCAAATCGTTAGTCAGAAATCGAACAACAAAGTGTACATCCTTACCCAAGCAACTTGAACCTAACAAAATTTGAGCCCTGAATAAAAATTTAAATGCTTAATATTGGAAGTTATAAACTTGGATGAGAGAACTTTAAGAGTAATACCAAATCTTGGTTGAAAATTTTAACTTACAAGCTCTTGCAACCTGTCCGCAACTTTAAGATTAGATTTTTCCGGGCAGTTATTGATAGTAATTTCAATATTCTATCGATGCTGAAAGGGCCACCAATACAAGTTCAACGATTTTTGAGTGAACAAAGAATGTGATAAAGAGAACACAAAACAACAATGGGTCACTTGACAAAAGGCGAATTTGAGCATTATGATGTCTTTTCTCATCAAAATTTCACGTAGAACATGATTTGAGCAATGGAAATTATTCAAATACCCTCCAAACCAAGATATTAACGTTTTTCAAAGCACAAATTCAAAGTTCCCGCTCATGAAAAAAACAATAATCTACTGGAATTCGCTAATGTGACAGTCCTTGCAGTATAAAAATATGACAACTTCAATATTACACTGACTGATTGTGGTAAACGCACGGGTCGTCAGACAGTATGTTGAAATTTTTCGGCCAACATGTATTAAAATCAGTATGAAGCTGAAAATCTCAATACAGAGGGAAAAGCTCATATGAGCACTTTGACTTCAATATTGGCGTTTTGGCTCAGCTAATGCTTGTTGTTTATACTTTGAACGATGCAGGGAGGGGAAGGAATGCTGCTTATTGAAGAGCCTGTCAAAAGAGTTGAGGTATGCAATTTGATTCGAGTAAACTCCTGTTTTTCTCATTGGCGGGGCATTCGAATTTTTCGTGACCGATGCTTAAATTAAAACGTTGAAATTTAGGATGGGACTTAATTTCTTTAAATTCTGTTGGACAAACTGTGCTCTACATGATATTTTGAAGAGAAATCATACATTAGAATACTGAAATTCGTATCTTGTCTAATGGTACTTTGTCAGACCAGGCTCAACTTGAGATACATAATAATGAGAATAAGTTAAACGAAAGGTAAATATTTCCTCGAAACGGGAGAATCAATACAAGCTGGAAAACTGTAAAAAGCTACATTCATATAAGATGAAAGACCATTTCTGCTTTTCTTATGATGATGACATAGGAGCAGAATGTCTGTGGAAATTGACTATAGTATAAAAAGACTAAGTAAAATGATACTAAATTTAATTATCTAATTTTTAGTGTGCAATGAGACTTGGAAAACTGGCTTCCCGACTTGGCGCTCAGAAAAAGTTTACATTATATTTGCTTGAAGTGTGCAATGAAAGACGATCATCTCCCAACAACATGCTAACAGTGCTGGTAACATAATTGAATGTTCACAGAGATTGGTTATGATTGGACGCTGTGATTCCAATGAGTATGTCTACAAAAAAAGAGACCTTACTTGACCTTTGTCAAAAGATTAAAAATTGATGTATTGGTGCCACTGCTTCACGACTTTTGTTACCACAATTTTGACACAAAAAACGCTAAGAGATCTTTTTTTGCAACAGGGAATGCTGACAAACATAATTTGTGCACGAAAGAGAATTACTCTGCCCTGTCCAGACAACCATTACATGAAACATGATCATTGGATTACAACAAGAAGCATATTCATTTGAAGAATGACAGGCTATTTTTCTAGTTTTTTATTGCACTTAAAATCAAGAGTCGCAAGATCAAAATGCATAATGCAGGTGAATAGATTGCACAGGTCTGAGCTACAATACAGAATCCTTATGAAATCTATGGTTCAAATGTTGATTTCTACACGAAAGCAAAATGCCATCAGCATTGAAAGATGATTGTATAAAAAAGCATAAAAAACCTTCCTCTTGAGGCAGATCACAAATGGTATTTTCCATTTGTTTGAGATGAATGCTTCCGGCGCTCAGACATGATGCGTGGCAATTGACGCAACAGCCATGATTATCTTGAGCAAACCAAGAGTCAAAAAAGGAAGAAAATTGACAGCACCTGTAAATAAAAATAAAAAGGCTTAACTAATGAAGGAATTAAGTATTTAAAGCAATATTGTTGCATGAGAAAGAATGCAGCTAAATAAATGTTTTTAAGTAAAGTAAATTGGCCACAATTTAGTACATATTCATCGTCAGTGATGAGAAACAGAGAACAGAGAACAGAATGAGTCTGATGTACGCAAGAGGTACAGCCTACAAGACTAGTTACAGGTATTATTACACACTTCATTTTGCCAGAAATTTATACCTATATTTTTTTGAGCATAGCTGGTCGTGAGCGGATAATTCTTCATTATTTTTCAAGAAATTAGCTCACTTGCTGATGTATGTGCATACAGTAATAGACTATTTTTGACGATTTGGAAGCATTGCAACAGACTGATATTTACAAGCAAAGAATTGTTTCAGATGTTTTTAGTAAAATTTAAATTTGCTAACACTCATGAGGTTACATGAACTTTGTTCGTTAGAACGACACTAAAACTTTTATTCTGCCATATTCAGGGCATAAAATTGTCGGATCAAAATAACTACAATTTTAAATCTTACACCCTTTTCAGGGCCATCAAAGTTACGAGAATGGTTAGCGCTTCTTTTACATCATACTTTATTACTTTGGGATGCAAGAGAGAGTTTTCTGTGTAAGTCTCAAATTCTAATTGCAAAGTACAAGTACAAGTTGTTCCAACTTTAAAAAAGCTACTAGCCAGAATTTGCTTTGTCGCGCTGATATTGCTGTTTTTTATGGGGGAGGAGGGTGGAATTCACTCTTTTTTACTAAATACACTTCCGCCATTGATGAACTTTTTGTGAAAGAATTTGCATGTAAGAGTGAAAACATGTACGAGACAACACATGCACAATTGCTGTTGAGGATAAAAATTAAAAAAAGTGGTGAAAAGGTGTTTTTGACAGCCAAGAATTTAAAACCATTGATGCCACACATAATGAACCAACTAAGCTGGAAAAAATGAGGAGTACATTAAACCACCAGGCACATTGCCGAATGACCCATTTTGAAGAGTTTTTGGTTGAAAGATCATCGTGTCTTGGGAACAACTATTTTGAAACAAACCAAGACCTAAGCGTATTGACTTTTAAAAATCGAAAATAGACAAATACATCACAAACATAATTTAGAATTTGATAAGGGTGAAACAAAGAAAAATAATCTTACCTTAATTATTTGCCATTGAATGGCAAAAAACCATATTTCAAGAATTCCAGCGAGACTTCTGTAGTTCTATTTGTCCTTCTAAAGTTTTAGCTAGATTGATGACAAGCAACTGAAAATTTCACCATAAATGCGGTTAGAATTTCACAGCAGAGTAAAATACATCTAGTTAAATACCAATAAGACTTGAAAATTTAAAGACTGAGAATTTTTTTTGATGCTAAAAAGACACACATTGAAGCAGTTTCAATGGACCGATAGATGAGGTAAAGAATTGTGCACTGCAACAGATGTTTTCTTACAGAAATTCCATGCAGGACACATCAAAATCTTTCAACAGTATCTCAAGTATGAGGATTGAACTTTCTTTGTTTACACTATAAACAGTGACTTTAAATTTCCTGCTTGCAAGAGAACCACAATCAGCAAAGGCCAAATGGACCACATTTAGCAATTAGAAACTACTATTTCTGGCTCATTTTAGAAACAACGTATGTGCCTTTAGTTTCCCGATGCAATTTTGTAGGTGTTAATAAATATTAGCCAGAAATCGTAATTCCTTATTGTAAAATGCAGTCCGAATAAGGCATTGAAATCAACCCATACTTCGGGCAAGTAACTAGAGCTAACTTTCCCACCTATTACCTCCCTCTTCTAATAAAAAGGCAGAGATGCACATTTTTCTCGGCCTCCACAACTGTTTACAACGCGCTAGATTTTTACAAAAACGTCAACACTACGTGCTGATTAAAATTTTGTTTTTTAGGTGTGTGCAAAAAACCTCTCAGCCTTTACAATTTGGTCTTACTTGCACAGTTAGGAACAATTTACACCCCTCATACAAGGTATCTTTAATTCTGTAAAAAAAATTAGTATGCAGGAAAGTTCTTCCATTGCAAAATATATCAAAAATACTTCAGCGCATGATTTGACTAGAGTAGACTCCAGTTTATCTATGAGTGGGATGTGTGAATTAATGATGACAAAATTCGTTAATTTCTAACTTGAGAGTTGAACCTGGGAAGCTTTAATGCGTCCATTGTATTTTAGGTAAGATTATGAAGAGGAAACATATGGTTCTTAATTTTGTACCATGTCAAAAGGTCACTAAGCGAAAATGAGTATGCCCCCTACACAAATGATACTGTATTTTCCTGACAAAAAGACAAATCAACCTGAATTCTTTAAAAATAAACTTACTTGTGATAGGGCAATCCCCAAAGCCACCCCAGCAATGGTATACAGATTCCGCTCTGCCCACAGTCGAACAACTTCAATGCAGCCACTTGTCCAAACTTTTTTACTAGCCTCAGCCACCTGAAAAACAAATGCACGTAGAGGCTAAGTTACGATAGAACAACGGAATTCCTAGAAAATAGACAGCTTAAGCTAACGAAAAGCTTAGAGCCTGGACACCTATTGAAACTTATTTTCATCCAGTCACATACATTGTTTTTCTATCAATTTTAATCTCATCCAAGGAAGCAATTGTAAAAGAGAATTACATCAAGATTTTGCAATTTGGAAAGGAACTTGAAAATGTTTACAATATTCGACATGAATTATGTAAAGACGTAATTTATTCATAGAAGGCTCAAACAGTCATATGAAGTTTGAGTTGATTGTGCTTAGCTGAAATCTTTCCACACGCCGATTACCTGACTTAACTAAATGGATAACTTTACCCCTCTTGCACTCCTTTCGAATCCATAGTATAATGGAGTTCTTGCTCAGATGTGTGACGGTCTGCTGCAGTCATTCGTATCCTCGCGGGGATGCGAATGACTGCAGCAGACCATCACGCAACAGCCAAGCGCATCCCCGCGAGGATACGAATGACTGCAGCAGACCGTCACAGATGTTTCATTCATATTACCCCATTTACCTGCGTATTGTACGCACCCCAAATTTTGTGGTCCTTTGAAAAAAAAAGGGGGCATATTATCTTGGGGCAATACTCGCGTATTGTACACACCCTCAATTGGAGAGCCGAAATTTTGAAAAACAGGTGCGTACGATACGCAGGTAGATGTAAAATTTTATGCTTGATTTCACCGAAACTACGATGATATCTGAGGTTTAGTCTGGAGTCTAACATTGAACTTGAAAAGACTTACAGACTTGAGAGATTTTCAGACTGTACATGAAGAGTTAACCTAGGAATGCAAAAACTTTCTAATCACGCAAAAGATAGTGTGGCTGTTGGAGTGCTTGCATAAAAAATGGGAGGGCTATGAAAATTGGAAAGGTCAGCTTGCAGTAGTGTTGAAATGGCAACTGTTTGTAAAAATGCAGTAAAATGAGAGTGTTTAATAAAGAATCAAAGTGAAATTTGCGAGTTTGATGAAAAATCGCTGCAATGGACCACTAGACAAGGTACAAACTTCAGCATTCTGATACATGTTTCTTAGCAAGGATTTCACGTAGAACATGATTCGCGCAACGGAAATCACTGAAACCAACTCCTAACGGAGATATTAACATTTTTCTTTCACATTGGTTGCGAGGAAATTGAACTACCCGCTCACAAGAAACTCAAAGCTCTACGTGAGTCAAATCGCACACTACGACGGTTTCAGCAAGTTTCTCAGTCGAGCAATGTTCATGTCTCACCATGTATTGTTCGCAAATGAGCAATTTGCTATACCTAGCTGAGCCAAAGCGTCACGATTGAGGTTGCCAGATGCTTACATGGTAGATACTGTCGTGATAACGTTTAGCGCGCGATGTGAATCACGTAGAGCATTGAGTTTTCTTGAGCGGGTGGTTTGAATTCACGCATCAATATTCATTAAATACCTTCGTAAGGAGTTAATCTCGGTAAATTTTGTTGTGTGCATCGTGTTTTACGTGAAATTTTGGTTAAGAAACATGTATCAGAATGCTGAAATTTGTACCTTATCTAGTGGTCCATTGGAGAGTTTTAGACAAAAATAAGGTCATAACTTTGAAAATTTTTGTGAAAAATAGGTTTATCCACTGAGAAGGCCAGGTCAAAAATAAGAAAACCAAGAACTTTCTGCAGTCCTTGGCTAACCTTCAGTATTTATCTCTTTGCTTCTTACAGCAAAAAGGCTTAAAAAATATAATAAGTACATTGAAAATGATAATTTCTCGTTTTCAAACTTTAGAAAACGTAATAATACTCACGGTGAGCTCCTGCGCTTTGTACCCACACATGATGTTGATTAGGTTACCCTGAAAATGGTGAAAGAGAATATTGATGAGGAGAGAAATGACATACATATTAATGATAATAAAAATACACTGTACAATCTGCAAAATTAATGTTTTTTCATTACATAAAGTGAGAAACGAGCAAAAAATCGAACCAAGACCAATCAGTCCACACTTTGCGTATCTTTATGGACCCCTGGAGCAAGGCTGCTCATATAAGAAATGCACTGCATTTTAAATTCTTCCTCCTAATGCGCAACAGGGCCACAAAACTCGTCCGCAGGCATGACTGCAACATGTGTGGATTGGCCTTGAATTAAACTGAATTACGATACATTTGTAAGAGGTACTTCACAAATTCATTCATTGCTATCCTATTAATGAAACACCCGAAATTTTGTTGGAACCAAATCTTGGGTGTAAATTTGACGACTACCCAAGGATACACAATGATAACGATGTTTCTATCCAACACTAAATAGACTAAAGAGGGACGTAGAAGGATGTAGGATGTGCTGGGTCGACACTATTTAAGGAGAAACAAAGTCAAAAGAAGTAAACAAAATGAATTGAAACTTCGAATGGAATCCTAATCTTAATGATTAAAAGAAAACTATAAACAATAACTTACGGTGATTGTGGAGGTGTTGATACAACATGAAAATGGGACACCACAGCGTTCAGAAACACTAGGAGAGCTGCAGTTGAAGTAATCATTATTCGACCAGTCTGTGTAACCGTCAGAGCTGAGACCACAACACTGAAACTGAAGCAAGAAGTAACATTTATAAAAACTGGTTGCGAGTATTCTTACCAAAATGATATGGGTGTATCAATTCAGGGTCCACGATGAATACCTAAGATCTTTTTGGAGAGTGAATTATAGTAATACATCAAAAGTTCATGTCTGACTGAAAGTTCTGAAACTTAATGTTTGGTCTTTCATTAGTTTCGGTTCAAGAAATATTTTCTATCCTCCATTAGAGCATGTAGTAGCTTAGTATTAGAATCATTTTTTAAAATTAATTTTTAATTAATCATCTTGGAGAAAAGTGCATTCAAAAGGGATACAAACATGAGAAAGCTGAAAATGGAGTTCGAATTCTATTCTTTCAAACGTTATTAATAATGTAAACGTTAACGTGCAGGAAGACAGCCTTTAAAAAAAGTGGAAATTTTGCAATTTTGAATCTAGATAATTCTTGTCTACTCGACTTCTAAGACGCATCGCTTTTCGGCACTTGGGTCTTATCGTGAATTAACAATTCAATTGAGCCTCGTCCTAAGTTTTTGGATATTGCTTTTTCTTTCTCAGGTCGAGTCAATCGTCATTTTCCTTGCTCTTAAAATCACTTCTGGGGTCATTCCATATAGAACCTACCAGCCATGCAACCGCCCGACTCGGATTTTGATGATAAATTGTTTTCTTGATCAGACCACCAAATAATGAACTTCTGCAAAATATTAGGTCTCAAATCGAAAAACTCACTGAGATATGAATTTTGGAAGTTTTAAGAATTTTCAAGAAAGAGACGTTTCGAACTTCCGAGAAAGAGAGGGTCATTTTCCCCAAAAAAATTCACCCCCGGCCCATTTTTCGTCGGATTGAAATGAAAATTTGACACAATGTCCATGAAAGTATGTAAATTTGAGGATAAAATGCATAAAATGTTCGACTTCACTCATTGATGTGCTGCGGTTGATAGTTCGTTGTGATTTTGTCTGATTTTAGCGACAAAACCTTCCCCTCTTCAAATGCTCATAACTTTTGAGCTGCAAGTTATTTTTTGCTCCAATTATTTTTAAAATGCTCCTAAGATTATTAGAAAGACGCCTAAAGAACAATTCTGATGGCGTTTTGGGCTTTAGTATCTTTTTTTTTCACTTTTGTCCGAAAAAGGCCTAAAAAACTGGAAATAACACCAAAATTGTTCCGATAATCGACCATTACCCTGAAAAGTCAACTCAAAAATCGCTCAATTTTTGCCTGAATGGTCCTTACTGTGTGTACAATATGTTTGAAAAATAAAATCAATGGTATTTCGGGTTTATATATCTTTAACTTCGAGTTTTTTCCGAAAAAAGGCCAGCAAAACTGAAAAACACTGAAATTACACCAATTATCGGCTCTAACGTTGGAGTAGCAACTCAAAAATTGCTCACATTTATACTGAATGGTTCTCACTGCATGTGAAATGCGTCTGGGGAATAAAAGTGATGGTATGTTGGGTTTCCATAACCCTTTTCCCAACATTTTTACTCAAGAGAGGCTCGCTCAACTGAAAAAAGCGCTAGGAAAATCTCATTAACCGACCATTACATTGAAAAAACAATTGATTGGGGGCCCAGATTTTTCACCAAAGGACTCTTGTTGTATGGGAAGCACACTAACTTGAGGAGTGAATATAGCAAGGGATTCACTCTTAAAGGGAGGGAAAAAATATGTACAAAAATCATGTATTTAGATATTTTGCGATAAAAAAATAGAATGTTATCAATAAAGTAACTGTAAGGTTTGCCCTTGATTTACTCAATTCAGAACTTAGTTGCTTTTTCAACTCGAAGCATTAAATTTACTCCAAAAAACTTTTTAATTCACGGACGCGGATGGATACATAAATGAAATCTCAAAGTCGTTTTCTTCCTCTGATTTGGATAGAACAAGCCCAAAGAACCAATGCCTATCACGCACACACGCAACAACGAATTTGTTGAGATTTCTAGCATAACTTTAACTTACTCTGGGTTAGAGTAATTATTCAGGGCAATCAAGATCGTGATCTATATCAGCAACAGTCTAATTTATAGATCTGAAAATTCAAAAGTTTTTTGAAGTAAATTTAATGCTTTGAGTTGAAAAAGCAACTAAGTTCTGAATTGAGTGAATCAAGGGCAAACCTTACAGTTAGGTACTTCATTGATAACATTCTATTTTTTTAACGCAAAATATCCAAATACATGATTTTTGTACATATTTTTTCCCACCCTTTAAGAGTGAAACCCTTGCTTGAGATGTTGAGGAAATAAATAGGTAACTCAATTTTTCAAAACTATAATTACAATACTTCAACTCTAGTCAGCATGAATAACCTCCCTCAATTTTTAACAATTTAATGTTCTGATAATTCCTATTAGAACTTTTTATCTTTTCCATTAATTTTTATTTCAGAATACATTTGAAAGTTATTAACCTCATTATGATGCCATCCAGGAGTCAGTAAATCACATTTAATGTGAATAGGGATGCTGTCAACACCTTCTCATCTTTTTGCCTTACATTTTCGAATATTTCTTATTAATTTTAGAACACTCATTAGTGATGGCTGGATTTCGTCCACTTTTGTCTTCTTCACCCCTATCTCCCAGCCATCACCAAGAATCACCCATAAATTTAATTACTAAACTTGCAGCTGATAACTACATAGATTATAGCCAGCCAATCTTGTGTAGGCCTGTTGTCTCACCACCCGTGACCTCAGCAAGTCTATATAAGCGTGCGCTGCCCTAAAACCTAGGTCTGTCTGTCTTTTCTCATCTCTTAGACCCCAGGTTCTTTACCATCTAGACCCGTACAAGTACGTTTGTGCCCACTCTCGCCTTCTTGCACATTTTCTGAGTGACTATTTTCTTTACTGTTTAACTCTTGTGATTCTGTGCTATCTCTTTTGACTCAGTACAACTCTAAATTTCATCTCCAAAAATTCAGTGTCTATAATTCTCAATCCATTCTAGTAGTTTGTTGATTCTACCTTTTATTAAAAATCAACTGGTGCCGAACGGTCTCACAAACTTTCAACCCGAATTTGAGTCTATCACCCGTGACATACTCATATTCCATAACAGATGCCTATCAGTTAAGAGATACCTACAGTTTTATTTCCTTACTTTAAAGCCGATCGTAAAGATTGGAGTGAAGGGGAAAACTACTACAACCAAGAATACACTATATTCACTCCTCAAGTTAGTGTGCTTCCCATACAACAAGAGTCCTTTGGTGAAAAATCTGGGCCCCCAATCAATTGTTTTTTCAATGTAATGGTCGGTTAATGAGATTTTCCTAGCGCTTTTTTCAGTTGAGCGAGCCTCTCTTGAGTAAAAATGTTGGGAAAAGGGTTATGGAAACCCAACATACCATCACTTTTATTCCCCAGACGCATTTCACATGCAGTGAGAACCATTCAGTATAAATGTGAGCAATTTTTGAGTTGCTACTCCAACGTTAGAGCCGATAATTGGTGTAATTTCAGTGTTTTTCAGTTTTGCCGGCCTTTTTTCGGAAAAAACTCGAAGTTAAAGATATATGAACCCAAAATACCATTGATTTTATTTTTCAAACATATTGTACACACAGTAAGGACCATTCAGGCAAAAATTGAGCGATTTTTGAGTTGACTTTTCAGGGTAATGGTCGATTATCGGAACAATTTTGGTGTTATTTCCAGTTTTTTAGGCCTTTTTCGGACAAAAGTGAAAAAAAAAGATACTAAAGCCCAAAACGCCATCAGAATTGTTCTTTAGGCGTCTTTCTAATAATTTTAGGAGCATTTTAAAAAAAAATTGGAGCAAAAAATAACTTGCAGCTCAAAAGTTATGAGCATTTGAAGAGGGGAAGGTTTTGTCGCTAAAATCAGACAAAATCACAACGAACTATCAACCGCAGCACATCAATGAGTGAAGTCGAACATTTTATGCATTTTATCCTCAAATTTACATACTTTCATGGACATTGTGTCAAATTTTCATTTCAATCCGACGAAAAATGGGCCCGGGGTGAATTTTTTTGGGGACAATGACCCTCTCTTTCTCGGAAGTTCGAAACGTCTCTTTCTTGAAAATTCTTAAAACTTCCAAAATTCATATCTCAGTGAGTTTTTCGATTTGAGACCTAATATTTCGCAGAAGTTCATTATTTGGTGGTCTGATCAAGAAAAAAATTTATCATCAAAATCCGAGTCGGGCGGTTGCATGGCTGGTAGGTTCTAAATGGAATGACCCGGTTGCTTACAACCTCAGTGTATCTTATTTTTACATCCCATGAGTGTGGAGATTTACCGTTAAAATTAAACCCGCAAAACAATTGAAAAACTTGCAAAATAAGTGGAAGGCATACATAAAAAAATATGCGCAAATAGTTTTTTAAAGATTTGGATTCTTTCACTTGAAGTCTTTGAAATGCCAGCTTGCACATGGTTATTCAAAGACTTTGATGGGATTTCACATGTTTAAAAATTAAGATAACAAGCTATTACTTAAAAGCCAATCTTGGATTTAGGCTTCCCTAAGTTTTTATTCAATGACAGTAAACTATGCAATGAATAAAAATGTAATGTGCTATAAAGATACAAATACATATTAAAGAGTATTTCCTTACTTCCATTTGAACAAAGTCAATCAAATTCTGGAGGTCAGGATCTTCACGATATGACTGGATGATTTTGTCTGTGAACGATTCTTCGAAAGTCGACTGCATTGTGTGCGGGAAGACAAAGCCCATTATTGCTATGACCATCTCAAGTAGGAAGAAAATGAGAAGACACAGAGAGTACTGAAAGCAGAAAATGAATTACCTTAAAATAACAATGAAAGAGCATTTCTGAGTCGACGATTTTTAGAGCTTTGAATAATATGGACATACTTCATAATATCATTGGAGCAGCAGGTACACCTGCGAGTTGCAAGCACTTGCTGAAAGTGAAACACCAATCGGAAACCAGGATTTCGATTGCTCAATGTCAAGCGATCAAAATCCTCCTTACCAATTGGTGTTTCACTTTCAACAAGCGCTTGTAACTCGCAGATGTATCTGACCTTCAGAATGACCAGGACTGAATAAAAATATCCTCCTTAAAAGTAAATGCTCTTTTTAATATGATTTTTTCCCTACTTTTGTTGTGAATCATGATCTTTTCAAATTCCTGAAATGTACAATCGAGAGGCTGGGAGGACAAGGCGCGTAGCTTAAGTTTTAGAAAAAATTGAGATGTTAATGATTTCAAGTAAAACTAGTCTAAATGCATATTCTGAGAAAAATTTTCTCCCAAGTTCCAATTTTTAAGCATCCAAAAGTCAGTTGGAACTTTCTTTCCGCCATAAGGATCCATGTTATTTCGAAACTCCTAACATTTATTTCTCAAAATAGCCAAAACTGCGTGTTTGCAAAGAAAAAGTAGGTATAATTTTTACGGAAATGGCACTGGGAGGATTTTGGTCAATCAAAGGATTTGTTACAATTGGAAACAGCAGTTTGCTTTCGTTTTTTTTTTAAGTTATTGTCTTATCATTTCTTCATAGAAACTGGTTACATCGGTATTCTTCTATGTAATTTACTTACTACTGCCCCGCAAGCTGAACTCTTGGCAAGTACAGAAGCAGTTTGTTTTCTTTTATTTTTTTCTAAACTTTGGATAAAAAGATTAAAAATAAATCAACTATTGCTTGTTACGGTAGATAATCTTACAAATTTCAGCAGGCAAGTGTTTTCTCGTAGGGCTCCGACACAACCAGCAAAACTAACAATGAAGACAACTGCGCCTGTGATGACAAGCACTAGTGAAATGTTCAGTATGACATCATAAACTGTTTCGACTTTGACTAAGCCTGTGGATTCCCACTTATCAAGGAAGGCATAGAGCCCAATTCCAATTAGGAGGCCACCAAACAACTGAAACAAAATTAGGATAAATTTAGTTACCATGATTCTATAGAACGATTTAGGAGAACCTAAAGTAAGTTGTTGATTGGACAAGGTTGCATAAAAAATCTCCACTTCCCCAAATACTATTGTAATGGAGAGTAAGAACTCATGAGGTGAAATAAGAGAGTATCTGCACAGCGCAAATAGGAGACTCAAGGTCACTCTTAATTTTGGGAGATCACAATTATTTAGCGATACCAAGAGCTTCCAATTAAAAAATATGTGTAAATAATTCTTAAAGATTCGAAGATGAGGATGAAGTTGGATTGACTGACATTTCTTGCAAGAAAATTTTGAGAGTGATCAATTTGACCCAAGTTACTCGTTTATAATTAAAAAGGTAAGTTCACAGTAACACAGTCATATTAGAGTGATCTTACACGATTACACAAGGCAGCGAACCTCACTAGACACTTCTAAACATATTAATTGACTCATTAAAAATTTTTGGCTAGCTCTCGATAGATTCAAGAATCATACACACAGAGGTGATTGATGGTCAAGTTTGTGCATCAAAATGGACAACTCTCAGATTAGTAGTCCTCAATGCATCACCTTGACAACACATATTGTAGGTACTCACTCCTAACAAAAAGAGTTCAAACAACCAGCAAGAAAAACTCCTTGTTCTAGGGGCTATCCTTTCACTGTACTGCTCCTTATGAATCATATCAAGCCATAGAGAAAAAAAAAGAGGTGTTTGCATTTCGGGCATCTTGGAATTTTTTGATGACTTGATGACGTAGGTGGGTACAGCTGGGTACAGCGACGTCCCCTTCACGCTGTACCCACCTACGTCATCAAGTCATCAAAAAATTCCAAGATGCCCGAAATGCAAACACCTCCTTTTTTTTCTCTATAATATCAAGCAGTCAGATGATCCTTTTGCTGCTGTCACATGTACAGTCGACGAGACTTTCAGGAAAAATGAACAGTCACCTGTGGTCCACTGCTTAATTTTGCTTTCTGTAAATGTGACAGCAGCAATTACTATAATTGATCTGATCTGAGAACAATTTGAAATGAAAAGAGACTAAATTGTCACAGAGAAACATTTCTAAGGTTAGGCGGGTATCAAAACATTCTTACTGACTGAGGGGGGAAATCACTTAAGCATTAGGCAAAATTGGAAAATTTGGATTGAAAAGCAGAGTGTTCTGATTAATGACAGTCAGATACACCGAATACACACCCAAAATATGAAGTTCAGGAGAAATATCATGTACTTGACACACGGACTGATGTACGTAAAATTGTTGGGAGCACGTCTTCTGCTATGCATCATTCTGGATCGACCTGCTGAGTTCTGGAGGATTATGAGGAAAGTGAGTATTGAATGGTCACCAAAAAATCTACTGACCACGCGATGAAAGCATGAAATATCAAACTACATATGACTTCGAAGAACAGGAGATGAAAGCTACATCCAATCACCAGATTGGAAGGTGATTGAGGAATTCTCGATCACAATGAAGATTAATACTAGATTACACTTCTTCATAAAATTAAGTAGACTTGTTTCGAGATAGTTAGAGAGAGCTAAACTCTCAGGAAATAAGTAGAATTTAGAAACTGGCAAAAATAATCTGGGCAAATTCTTATGAAACTAGTCAGACATTGTCAAAACAAGGATGACTGTAAACATGGGAGCAATGGCCGAGAACTAGTAACGCTATCTAACAGCCAATACTAGAAGTTTTCCTTCGTTGCCGTTTAACCGCGCTCAACGCTGATTGGCCGTTGCATTCCATACTCTATCACCCGCCGAAATTCAAACTTGCGGGTTGTCATGCAGGTAGCCGACAGAGAAAGCGACATGCACCTAAAAATTATTTTGATAATATATCTTTTGAACTTTACCAATGCATACCTCATTCGTCATTTCTGATGGCTGAATGTTAAGTTTTCTCCGTCGACCAAGGTCTCTTTTCCTCTTGACAGTCATAATTTAATGACGGCAAAATGCAAAAAACGCATATCTCAGATTGCGACAGCCCTGCTGATTGTGAGACTCTGTAAATTTTCATCACTAAAAGAAAATCAAGTAAAGAAATCGAGGAAATTGCAAGCATCTATTTTAATTGTGGTTTTCCTTCCGGACCTTAAAAAATTATCAGAGGTTTTCTAAACGTTACGATTGAGACACGCCTTCTTCGCCATTGATGCATGAAAATTGTGAAAATTCAAAACCTCGATGCATCGATGGTGAAAGTGCAGATGCGCATTTCGATTTTTGACAGTTTTTAGTTAAGGCCCAGATACACACGGCGGTTAATCGCCTCGAGTGAAAGACTAAAGCCAATGGAGAGCCTCGATCCATTGACGTCGATATATCGACATCAAGGCTCTCCATTGGCTTTCGTCTTTCACTCGCGGCGATCAATCGCCGAGTGTGTCTAGGCCTTAAAATTTTGCATGTTTTTCCTCAGCGTAAGAGACGCAAATGCCTTCCATTCATTAAATTGTCTCTAAAATTTCGTCCTGTAGAAACTGTTGCCCGAACATGATGACATTTTTAGAGCTTTTGGGTTGTATTCGCAAGCACAGTGCAACACAATTGCAAGGGGCATGAAGGACAAGGTGCATAAACGCAGTATTTGTTATTTCGAGAAAAACGTAATTGAAGTTTAGAAATTACCCAGATCCTTCTAGCGGAAAGAGTTCAAACTGACTTTTTTATGCTTAAAAATTGGAATTTGGAAGCGAATTTTGCACAGAATATGCATTAAGACTGGTTTTACTTGAGATCATCAATTTCTCAATTTTTTCAAAAACTGAACTCATGCGCTTTGTCCTCCAGGCCCCTCGATTGCAATTTTCAACTGACGAGATCAACTGATGGAGAATCCGTATTCAAAGCGTGGGCGTCCTGCGAGGCGTGGGCATGTTTTTCGCAACCCCTCCTTGCGGCGCATCGAGCGGCGTGGCGAAATGCGACTGGTGCGTGATTTACCGTATTTACGATGTTAATGAAAGAGATTCTTATAAATTTAATATATTGAGATATAGTAATACAGAAGCTTCTCATGGAAGAGATGAATTAAGGACGGAAATTTTGAAACACCTCAATGGAGATACGTGGTTTCGCACTTCAGTCGGTCCGATACGGACATCCATCAAGTTTAAAAAAATGCATCAAGTCCCCGCCACCGCCGACCAACGCGTTTGTCGATCGAATCAACTACAGGTATTATGCGTAGGAGGTCAAAACGCCTTCAATTTTTTGAACGCAATACGGACATCCGTCGAGGTTGTATAGTTGTATCAAGGCGCCGTAGCAAACGCGTCCCATTGTTTATCGTTACAGACGATTATAAGTTGAGAGAGGCCAGTCGTAATGCCCTCAATTTTATACATACATATTTTTGGGCAAAATGAGAGACGATGGTTTCTCCTTTTGCGACGTTGCAGACTTCCTTAGAAATTTTATTTTTCTTTCGAGAAGCTGGTCAACATAAAACTTAAATTCTCCATGATTTTTCGTATTCGCTAGCAGGAGATTTGGTTCAAAATTTAAAGTCGTAAATTTGGATTGTTTCTCATGGAAGAGATGAATTAAGAACAGACATTTTGAAACGCCGCAATGGAGATACGTGGTTTCGCACTTCAGTCGGTGCGATACGGACATCCATCAAGTTTAAAAAAATGCATCAAGTCCCCGCCACCGCCGACCAACGCGTTTGTCGATCGAATCAACTACAGGTATTATGTGTAGGAGGTCAAAACGCCTTCAATTTTTTGAACGCAATACGGACATCCGTCGAGGTTGTATAGTTGTATCAAGGCGCCGTCATAATTAATAGATGAAATAATGCAGAAATTCAAGAAAAATAACTTTCCCTCCACTGTGAAAGTAAACTTCGTGCTGCAGCATTTAAACGTCACCTTGGCTTACCATCAATGGGCATCGTACTTTTCTACTTTTCTACTCCTGCGTTAAAGTCCCCTTGTGATAGACTCGGAACGGTGCGGTGCTGTGTAACACAATGGTGTAACACAATGGTTACAAACCGTAGACCCTACACTGCCGTGCTATAGAGAAACGCCGTACGAACCTTCAAGCGTCGCCACCTTTCCTTTGATAAAACACGAATTTCCTAGTAGAAGTATGAATATTTTTCTTCCAATTTTTCAAATAATTTTGTTCCCAATTTAACCTAAAGCTCTAACTTTCCTCAAAAATAAACCTTATATCGAAGGAAATTTGGCAACTCTCGGATGTTCATACGGCGTTCTTCATCTTTTGCACGGCAGTTTACCACACAGACTTATGACGTCACCTTGGCCTATCATATATGACGAGTAGAAATTCAAAACCTGGCGAGCGTCATCAGGTTATTGCTAAAATATGCATGTTGCTCCTCAGCGTAAAGTGTCCCGTTTTCATTGGATTTCAATCAGGAAATTTTCTCTAAATTTGGTCTATTGGAAACTGATGCCCCATTATAGACACCTGATGGCAGTTACCAGGTATTTAATCTCTGCTCTCCGTGTAAAAAAGAAAATTCACACTTCTTCAGCTTCGTGTTGCTCTCACCTGAAAATTTCAGTTTCGTATGGTTCAATAAAAATATTCTCGGGTTTTGACGTCAGCCACAAGCTATACTGCCGTGCTAAGGAAGAACGCCGTATAAACCCTCAGGCGTTGCCAAATTTCCTCCGCGATATCACGAATTTTTGGGAAAATGTTTAAATATTTTTCTCCCAAATTTTCAGATAATTTTGTTCGCAATTTCACCTAAAGTTCCTGAAAATGTCAAAGAAAAATATTCATAACTTTCTTCTTTACCTACTTAACGTTTTATCGGAGGACATTTGGCACCTCTCGAATATTCATACGGCGTTTTTCCTCGGCACGGCAGTATAAAGCACAAATCGTAAAAGGATCGGGGAAACAATTTTTGAAAAGCTCGTTTCCACACCACCTTAGGATAGTCCGATCAGGTAAATGATACGGTACTGCTCCTGGAGGTAGAGCTTTAGGCGCGCTTTTTTTAACGTGGTATCGCCATGAGCCCTAATCCAC